GCATGCTGCAGGTGGTAGCACCAGCAGGCGATGATGGTTGGTGATTGCTTGATTGATGATTGATTCGTTCATTCCTTCTTCCAACCTGATTCTTCATCAAGAGGAGGAGGATCCAGAAACCTGGTTTGTTCGATCTTCTTGCATTCCAGCTCTAAGCGCTACTTTATCGTTCGCAAAGCCGAATTGTTCATGGTGCTGGACGGCAATTTGTCATCTTCTATGCATCTTTCGACTGTCCAAACTTCAAATGGGCAGATTGTTTGAGGATCTGCTGCTACCGTATTTAATATACACACAAGGCAGCTGAGACACACTTTCCAAGGTTCGGTTTTAGTCCCTGACGATCCATCACAAGCCTCCGGATCAAATGAGCGACGGACAGACGAGTTAGTCCCAGTCATGAGTCACGAGTGCTTGGGTCATGAGCAAGGCTGAATCAATCAATCAAGAATCAAGAAGCCTTGAAAAAATAATCATACGAAACCGCATCATCTTGTTGTGGAACACTTGTATTGTAGTTGTATTATTGATACGATAGCAAAGACAACGTACCATAATCTTTGACAGTTACTTGTTTAATTTATTCACCATTCACCACAACGAAACGACAACAAAGTCAATCACAAAACAAAATGCCATCATCATCACCAGCTGACGTGGATGCTCCACCGGAAGCAGCTTTGGTAGAACCCTTGCTTCCCAATACTTCTACAGAAGAAGCAGCCGTCTTTTCGTTGATTCCAGAAGAGCAATCTCCCTTTGTTGGAACGACATCGGAACAACCAACGCGGATCAATGAGCCAGGTACGTTTGCCTCGAGTACAATATGATGCGGGGAAGATTGGAACAGAAGCACGACTCAACATTCCCATGCCCTTTTTTATTGTCATGTTGTACCTATTTATCTATCAGAAGTGCTAGAGGTTGCCGTGGACGACAGTGCGTGGGAACATGGAGAAGACCAAGATTTAAAGTTCCAGAATCCACTGTTTGCCTTTATTTTCTTGTCCCAAGCCATTGCACTGATGGTGTTTGGAGTTCATGGCATCAAGACCTTTTTGTCCTATCAAAAGGAGGATGACAATAAGAATCATCATCCACAAGACGACGACAGTGGCAGTGACGATATCGACCTTCACTTTATTCTTTACTATGCGAGGCACTTGCTGTTTGCCTTTTTGGCCACGGTCACTTCTATTGTAATGCTCTCGGCCAGCGTCTTGTCCTATTTGCTCCGTCAAACGGGAGCTACCAGAAGAATGATGGAAATTAGCTTGATTCTTAGTCCAGTCAGTTATGCCTTGTCGGCGATTGGATGCATGGCTGTCGGTCTCCTTCCAATGGCTGGAATCTTTTTGATGTCCACCCTCATTGGTATCTGTTATGTCGTTGCTGTCTGGAAACGAATTCCCGTGGCAGCTGCCAATTTGGCAGTGGCCATGACGGCCGTCAGGGCACATCAAGGAAGTCTCGTTGGACTTGGATATACCCTGACCTTTGTGGCCGCCAGTTGGACTTGTATATGGTGCTTGGCGATTGGGGATATTGGATTCCGAGATTCTTCCTTTTTTTGGCAGTGCCCCGCGGGCTCAAATCAACAAGATCCAGATTGCAGCTTGACTTCGGGCGGAGTTTGTGTCGGACTTTTATTGCTGTTGAGCTTATTTTGGACCTTACAAGTCATCAAGAATCTCTGTCATACGACGGTCGCTGGTGTGGTTGGATCTTGGTGGTTCTCCTCGGCCCCGTCCACCCACGATGAGGAGGTTGCCAACGGAGACTCGCTCATCCAGGAATCGACTCCTTCTCCCAAGCAGGTGGTATACGATTCATGGGTTCGGTGTTCTGTATACAGTTTTGGAAGTATTTGCTTTGGAAGTCTTGTCGTGGGTCTCTTGCAAGTCCTCCAATTCATTCTTCGTTGTGGACGAGAACAGAATCAACGCAACCGAAACTCGTCTTCTGGACTTGCCCTTTGCATTTGCCAATGCATTGTGAATCAGTTGGAACGATTGGCCGAGTACATGAACAAATGGGCATTTGGTAAGTTCGTGATATGCTGTCGTCGCGTCGTATCTTCCATCATGATTTGAATGGATGGATTCATTCATTGGTTCATTCATTGGTTCGTTTATGCATGTGATACTAACTTGTTGCACATTGTTATCCTTATTGTCCAGTGTATGTTGGGCTATATGGCTATGATTACTGGACTGCTGGTTCCAAGGTCTTTAATCTATTCAAGGCTCGAGGCTGGTCCGTCATTCTCAATGATCACCTAGTAACTCGATACTTGACACTACTCCAAACACTCTTGTCGCTTCTGTCAGCAGTCATTTGCCAATTCTGGGGTTGGCTTTTTGTCATTCGGCCACTCTCGGCATCGCTTCGTCAAGCAGCCGAGAATGATCCAGACAACAATGCTGATCCAGCTGACGTGTCCGCCTTGTGGTATTCCTTCTTTGCGATTGGTTTTGTGCTGGGAATGAGCTTGTCGAGTGTCCTATTCCGCTTGATTAGCAGTGCGGTCGATACCATTGTGGTTTGTTTTGCGGAATCTCCGAATCAGCTTTCAGTATTGGGGAGACAAACTGGGCAACAGCAAAATAAGCCAATCCTCAAGCCATCTCTGGCCAATGAAATGATCTTGGCGTGGAGACAAGTCTATCCACAAGAGTGTGGCTTTTAAAAAGACTGAATTTTCCATGCCTTCGTTGATGGATTCTATCTCATTACTATTTTCATAATACAATCATCCATACTACATTGACATAGCTCTAATCTATTTAGTAGTATAATATACTAGTATTATATACATGCTAGCTCTCAAATTTGTCCCCAACTTCAAAAATACTCCCGTCACAACTGCACCAATCGGCTACTGTCACCTCAGAGCTCATACCGGAGCCGTCGTCTTTTGGTCTCCCGAACCTGCGGGGAATCTGTGGGCATATTCAATAGCAAAATTGGGTCTCGACGAACTAGTCGCCAGACGACTTCTCTATGCCGCTGAATTGCTGCGTAATGTAATGGCGTCATTTCATCAATAGGTCTCTCATAGACGGCACCGCGATTCAAAAGCACTTGCACGACCTCCACACAACCACTACGACATGCCCAATCCAATGGAGTCAATCCAGGAATAGGCCTTGCTTCCATATTTGCACCTCTGTCCAGAAACAACCGAACCGCCTCCACAAAACCGTAATGGCATAAAAAAGCGAGTGGCGTACGTCCCCAACGGTCCTGTGCTTCAATATCGGCACCTCTGTCCAAAAGCTTTTTCAGGACTCCCAAGCGATGGTCCTTTGCAGCATGATACAAAGGTGTGAACCCAAATCCATCTCGTGCGTCCATATTAGCGCCATGGTCGGCCAATTCTTGAACCACTCGTTCATTGCTCGCAGAATGCAATGCGGTATGGCCAGAATTAGTCCGTGCTTCTACATCGGCACCCCGATTCAACAAGAGTCGAACAGCTTCGGCATGCCCTTGAAGAGCGGCACAATACAACGGTGTAAATCCATATTTTGCACTTGTCAAAATACTAGCACCGCGGTTCAATAAGAATCGAATCACATCGACATTGCCACTAAGAGATGCACAAAGCAACGGCGTACTTCCATAATTTGCCCTGGCGTCTATCTCAGCATCGTAGGCTAAAAGGACTCGAACCGCCTCGAAATTGCCTTGGCGACACGCGCAGTGCAACGGGGTACTTCCATCATCTGTCTTGGCGTTTACATCAGCACTGTGGTTCAACAAAAGTTGAATCACTTGGACGTGCCCCATACCGGAGGCGAAATGCAACGGGGTACGTCCACAACTCTTGGTTTCTTTAGTAGCACCGTAGACTAATAAGACTCGAACGACATCGACATTGCCTTCAATACATGCGCCGCACAACGGCGTGAATCCATCACTTGTCCTGGCTTCTCTCTCAGCACCTTTGGCTAAAAGGACTCGAATCACCTCGACATTGCCTTGGCGACACGCGCAGTGCAACGGGGTACTTCCATCATTTGTACTGGCGTTTATATCAGCATTGTAGGCTAAAAGGACTCCAATCACCTCTTGGCGACACGCGCAGTGCAACGGCGTACATCCATCATTTGCCCTGGCGTCTATCTCAGCATCTTGGTCTAAAAGGACTCGAATCACCTCGACATTGCCTTGGCGACACGCGCGGTGCAACGGGGTCCTTCCATCATCTGTCTTGGCGTTGATATCAGCACTGCAGTTCAACAAAAGTTGAATCACTTGGACTTGCCCCTCGGTGACGGCGACATGCAACGGGGTCTCTCCATCACTTGTCGTGGCTTCTATACCAGCACCGTGGTTCAACAAAAGTTGAGTCACTTGGACTTGCCCCATGAAGGAGACGAGATGCAACGGGGTAACTCCATTGCTTGACCTCCTGGCGTCTGTATCAGCACCGTGGTTCAACGCGAACTCCGCCATCTCAACATCACCGTTTGAACAGGCAGAATGCAATAGAGTCCACCCACTGTTCCCCCCCAAGCTCTCTTCTATTGTGAATTCACCGATACGAAGGAATTCTATCAAACGAGGAAAGTCACGATCGTGCACCGCAGCAATGACAGCGGCACTTGCCATTCTCAATTCCGTGTTCCGTCTTCTTCTGACGATGGACTGCAAAAAACGGTTTTGTACTATCGTCAAATTTTTCTCGTTTGAATTTTGAAGAATGAATGAATCAATCAATCAATCAGTCACGCATCTGAGAGTGCATTGTGTCCGTGTGACGTAGACGTCTACTGTACAGTGTACGTAGTGACATGACGGACAGGTCATGTCCGAGGAATCGAACTGTCCGACCGAGTGTGCGAGACATACGGTACTGTACGATACAGTAGTCGTCAGGACAATATGCTTGGCACAGTACCATACCAGGAGGTACTGTACATGGAATGGAAGGTTGTGGGGTGAAAGGTGTGAAATATTAGTGTCTACTGTTCCATGAAGCAGCATGCATTCCATTGGCTTCTTCTATCCCTACAGTAGTATCATTGCAACAACCTGGAATCGTGGCTGTCATGACAGCATGTTCGGGACTGACGTCTGTCGCTGTCACGAGTTGATTCTCAACGTTTGTGCCATGCAACCGACGATGAGCATCCACAATAAATAATGAACAGAGTACAAACAAGCAAATTCTCTTTCGAATCAATTCTACTTCTTGACCAAGAGCAGCAGCAATCACCAGGCTATTCTAGAATTGCTCTGTGGCAAAACGGCAGCTTCAATGTATGATGGCGATCAAGAAGAAGACGACGGACAGCAAGCAGATTTGGGTCTCACGAAGACAGCTGGGGAAGAGACATGGAATACCAACTTCTACATCTATCGAGGAGCCCACACATTAGCAACAATACCAGGGCCTACTCATGTTATGGTCGACATTTCCGTCAATCATATACCCAACAATGCCTTTTTTCAACAAGATTCATTAATGTCGGTTGCCCTTCCAAGAGATTTGCACCAAATTGGGGATCAAGCGTTTTCGCAGTGTCATTCCCTCCTTGCAATGACCCTCTCACTGCATTTGGAATCGATTGGTCGCTTGGCCTTTGCAGAATGTACTTCGCTGACACATATTGACTTTGCACCAGATTCTCAGCTGAAATCCATGGAGGATGGATGCTTTTCAGGGTGTCGATCCTTGGAACACATTCAACTTCCGCCCTCCATTACAAGCCTCGGAAAGAGAATCTTTTATAACTGTACCAAGCTTTCAACTATGGACTTGTCGGCATGCCATGGCCTAACGCGGATCGGAAGCCACTCATTTGGTTTCTGTTCGGGGTTGAAAACTTGCTTTTTACCAGCCGAAGTGACGGTGATTGACACCAGTGCCTTTGGCCAGTGTTACGAGTTGCGGCATCTTCATCTTGGTAGTTTGCGACAAGGTGGCTCGTCATCTCAACTTTTGACTATTGGAGATGAAGCCTTTGCTTCGTGTCGATCGTTTAAGTCAATTGCTCTTCCAAGGTCGCTTCAAAAGATTGGCAAACTTGCCTTTGCCAATTGTTTCGATTTAATCACAGTCGACTTTGCTCCAGACATTCAATTGCGGGAGGTTGGAGATCAGATCTTTTTGGAATGCAAGAGGCTAGTTAACATTGAACTGCCCGAACCAATTGCCCATTCTATAATGTTGAAGCACGGCACGTTTGACGGATGCACGGATTTGAAAGAGCGATTTGCGCCTATCGAAGGCCAAGCGAACGAGATCTTTCTGAAGGAGGCCCTCAGCATTCGGTATGGTATATCGCCACTACATCAGCTATGCTACGATCAAGCACATTATACAGTCGAAGACGCCATGTCCCAATTCGAAAAAATACTTGCTGAGGATGCAGAACCGCTCAAGTTCAAGTCGTCGCTCAAGACGAGATGGATAGATATCTTCCAAATGACGCCAATTCATATTCTTGTGGCGTCATCAGAAGGAAACCCAGAGCTCTTAAAGGCAATATTGGACCATTGTGACAGAAAAATGTCGCAAGTTGGACCTCTGATGATGACAGAAGACCTTTGGGGGAGACTTCCAATACACTTGGCTTGCTTGAGTGACTCACCTATCACCATGGTCGAGGTATTGCTACAAGTCCACACTTCTATCGATGTTTGGGAACTGGAGCCAGCACACTGGAAGTCTTGTATCGATGCGGCCACGTACCATCGCAGAGAACTACTTCCTCTTTTGAAGAGGGCTCACCTTGCAAGACGAATTGGTTCCTTGGGATTGATAAAGTGGAAGCAAGATATCGATCATCAAATTGAAAACATTGAGACTGAGATTGTGATGGCTAGTCGACGCTCTATTTCTTCGATTGAACGCACGTTGGAGAAGTACGAGAAACAAGAAACGGTAGCGCTACTGCGATCGGCGGTATGGAAGGCGACTTTGCTGAAGCTTCGTGAACAGCATGACAGAATTTTTGAGGAGCAACGAGCTCACTGCTTCATTCAATCTGGCGACGAAATTGCAGTTGCCAACATTCTACCGTTTTTGGGCCTTCAGCAACAGGCTTCTTGAGCAAAATGCCAGTATTTGCTTTTTTCTTAAAACTGAAGATACAGTCGTTTTGAGCAACCGATTTGTACTCGTCACTGTGGAGTCTATAATACGAAACTATTAAAATGAAACTAGGAGTTTGGTTCAATTTTTCTTTGTATGTATTCAAATGCAAACCTTATAAACAATTTTTAGAATCCAACGAACAGCACTGTCGTTCAGTTACAAAAGGGAAACACATATTACGGCCATCAACGTCGCACACGTTGTGACGCTAGAAATGAAAGCCGATGATGCTTGTATGTCAGGAGAATCGCTGGGAGACCCATCACCATTGTCTCCATCTCCTCCTGCACTTCCTCCCCCATCACCACCACTGTCTTCGCCAGTTCCTCGGGAGTCGGTGTTCTTGGTAGGGGCAATTGTCGGTAAGGCTGTTGGTGGACTGAGAGCAGTTGGTGCAATAGTCGGTGCTGGAGTTTCCACTCGACCTGTGACTGGGGCCGTGGTATCCTCGGCGGGAGCATCAGTTTCGCCGCCTCCGCCAGCATCGCCGCCTCCGTCTCCAGGCGCATCTGTGCGTCCATCTACTGGCGCTTCTGTACCTCCATCTGCTGGAGGATCAGTAATGACACCATCACCGCCACCTGGTGCATCGGTACTGCCGTTACCACTGTCCAAACTAGTACTCAATTGAAGAAGTCTCATTTCATAGTCGTTGAATTCTCTAGACAAATCAATCAAGTCGTTTTGTTCCTTAGCGTATGTGGCCTTGCTTCGGACTTGGCGTTTTCCATGGACAAGAGTTTCCGAAGAAAAGACTGTGGCAAGAAAGAGTAGGAATGCGGCGTTATTGATCATCGTATAGATTTTGTGTTGTGATTGTACCTGAATTGGAATTTTGTGTCTGCGTTTTTGTGAATTTTGCGATTTGGTGAATCATGTAAAAATGATAAATGTGGCGAGCGATTAGGAGCTAATTTTTCTTCCCTTGGCCATTCGGACCAACCAGAAAGGGGCGCGACGAATCTTTTTGTTTGTTCGTTGATTTTTACGTGGTATTAGCAGCCAAGTTTGCCATTGCTTACTCGCGTTATTGGCAGACAATTTTGGTTGATGGAGAACCTTGGCGTGACTTGCGCGCCCATTCGAGATCGCACACGACAAATCAATACAGTAAAACAAGTACTCTTTGACACATAAACAAACAATGAGAAACTTCCAGCCTCAAGACGAATGATGACGTAAGAAACTTCCATACTCAAGACGAAAGATGACGTTTCACCCACCGAATTGTATCAAAGCAAAGTTTACATTTTAAATTATAATCTTCTCGTCATATTCCGGTACAACTATTGCAGGTAGTAGTATTCTATGCATATCTTCGTCGACTTGCTGCATCACTGGCTGGAACGAGTCCACGATGCAAATGATATCATGTGGGTCCTCTTGCTTCCATTCATAATCATACATACAAACGAATACGATCGATTATTAGTTGGTAGTAGTCTACCAAAGAAGATACTATCAAGGTCAATATTGTAGATGCTATCATGACAAGCAGCAGTGGAAGTCGTAAATCCAATTGGCCCAACTTTTTCAGCAAATGGTTGTACTCGTCAGGTCTCCTTCGCTACATAGTTCCTTGAAGCAAAACATATCCAAGCGAAATCTGAGCGCGAAGTGAGACCGTCATCCTGCCATTGAATTCGCAAAACATTCCAACCACCGCCTTGTCCTAGTCTCAATAGTGACCCAGTAGCTTCCCATTTTGATTGACTTCAACGTCATCGTACAATCCACACAATCTAAAATTCAGTGTGCACTGGCTTGTCTTTCTTCTTCTCTTCTGAAGCTTCCCCAGAACCATCAACTGGCTTGTAGACTGGTTCGCTTTTGGCATGTTCCGCCAAGAAGCGTTCCAACTTTCGACGAGTAAAGTCCTTCCCTTCGTAGACTACTTGTTCTTCGGTTCCTTCCTTGACAATTACCAAGGCAGGAAGCTGGTCTGCATTGATACCATATTCCTTCATGATGCTCTCATTCTTCTTGGTTGGAACCACTTCCACCAATAGCAAGCGTCTTCTGAACTCCGTACTCAAGTACTTGATGACAGAAGAAGTTTTTGGTTTTGATGGAAACAAAATGGCTTTTGGTAGACCAAACTTGTCTGCCTTGGCCACTGCCTTGGCCAAGTCTTCTGGAAAGGAGACACGTTCCACATAATTGGGCATGGAATATTCCAAAAAAGTCTTCATATCTTTGGCCTTGCGTTCTTGATTGTAGTCCATGACTGTCTTTTGGGCATTACTACCCTTGGTCTTTTGCTGTTTCTTAGGTTTGAAGAAGCGAATGGTTGGAGTTCCCTTAATTTCACCAAGAAGTGCCGGTGGGCGACCTCGCTGTTCGGTATCCCAATAGGCAATCTTCGCTTGGCCCTTGACGGCCCCTGCCAACTTCTCCCACTCTGAATTGTCGGTATCGTTGATTTGCGAAGTAAAATATAAGATAAGGGAGGAGCAGCGTTGATGCAGTGCAGCGAACAGAACAGGGAAACAGTATTGTGAGAACGGTCGCAATCTGAAACCATCAGCAATCATGCCCGTCATTCCCCCATTCGTTCGTTCAACAGAAATACTTCAATATCATACTCTCAATGAAATCGGATCAAATCAAATTCGACTCACCAGGTGTGAGAAGTTGGCAGTATCCTCACCCAACACGACAGATATTGATGAAAACACCATGGGGAGAATCCAAGACCTCCTCTCGCCAATTCTGTGGTGTCAAGGCCACTACATTGGATGAAAACGGATTGGCTGCCTTTATTTGGCAAATAAGGGCACCAGCCAACCAGAGAAAGAGGTGAAGACGTCTAGATGACTGTCCGAAGTGTAGTGACATCATTGGCACCTTCTTATGGTTTGTGGCTACTTGATTGCTTGATTGACTTCCTCTGTAACTTGCTTGCGCTGAATTGAAACTGTTTTTGCTTATGAAGCAACGTCAAACGCAGAAAGGTCCAGGTTTCAGGACCGACTCTTCGTTGATGTTTTATGACTTGGGGTGCCGGTTCCAGGTATAGTGTCCAATGAGTTTCGATGGAAAGTTTGGGTTTTGATTGACTACTATGACCACAAACGATACTTTAAAGCGCTAAACAATCTCTTTAGTCGGCTTGGTCACAGATCACAGATGGAATGTTCGTAACGGCGCGCGGCGGCACACGCGTGTATTACCTACCGTATGTGATCCAAATCAGATGTATCCTATGATACTATCAGTACCATTCACTTTGCAGCATTCTTCAAGCAGCTTCACCTGATAATCGCTTCGGTTCTGTTAGTAGTGATGAGAAAGATGGAATGGATCGGTTGTAGTACTGATACGAACGGTACCTAGGATGGCAAACATTTGAGACTTCTTCATGCCCCCTTCAAATAAACACATGAATGCTGGCTCCCATACTTCTGCATATATAAGACTGCCGGACTGTTCGGCACGTGTTTGGTCTCCTTCCAAAACAAGCAGACAAGATTGCATTGGCAAATCAAGTTGGTTATTTCAAACTTGCAGTCTCTGTCGTTCTGAAGAAGGATTACACAATACAAAGAAAGTGTAGACTACAGACTTCCACGCCACAATACTTCTTCTCTTCTTCTTACCTTATTGTTCGTTTGAACTGCGCTTCAAGATTGTCCTTGAGAATTCAGAAAATCCTCAGATACATTTTACACGATAGGAATACAAATACAAACACACACGACTACACACGACCACACACACACATCTTTACCATGGGCGAACAAAGTTTACAGTCAAAGCCGTACAACATGCTTTTGCCATGCTGCTTTCTCCTTCTTTTGCTTCCACAATTGGCGCAAGCTAAACCACAGAAGACTTCGCAGACTGATGGTTCCAATCATTTTCCATCCTCTAAGAGAATATTGCAGCCCAGAATTATTGGAGGCACAGACGCCGAACAAGGCCAATATCCCTACATGGTCAGCGTTGTTGCAAATAGTGGTGCTCATGATTGTGGAGGCGTCCTGGTTGCCAAGGATGTGGTATTGACTTCCGCACATTGTTCGTAAGTTTGGGTATTTCGATTCTTGTTTGTTATGTTTTACATTGCATTGGATTCACAAACTAACTTGTGCGTGTGTGTGTGTCTATTTGTTTCTTGCAGCGGAAATTTGGCGCGAGTTCACGTGGGAAGATGGAATCGTAGGTTTCAATTTCTGGGAGATCAATTTGATGACATTGCCATTCGCAAGGAGTATCTGCATCCCTTGTTTGAAGGCGAGACGGATTCGGAAAATTTGAATTATGATTTCAACCTGCTCAAGTTGGATGGTTTCTCTGCATTGCAACCCATTCGCCTCAATGAACAGTTTTTTGTGCCCAATACCAATCAAGCTGTAACCGCCGTGGGATTTGGACAGACCCTACCAGACGATGGATCGAGCGAAGCTACGATATTGCAACAGGTCGAATTGAAGTACATTCCAAACGAAGAATGCTCCTTGTCGAGTGATGGCCTGGATTCCTATGAAGGACTCCTCTCGGAAGCCATGATGTGTGCGGCCGATGAGGGCAAGGACGCCTGTTTTGGAGACTCTGGTGGTCCATTAGTGGCTAGGAATTTGGACTCGGAGCCAGTAGACAATGATCCGTCTCGAACCACGGATGTTTTGGTGGGATTGACCAGTTGGGGATTTGGGTGTGCGGATACTAACTTTCCAGGTACGTCTTGTCGTGTCATACGTGTTGTGTGATTATTTTGTCAGCTAATCCTGCTGCTGCTGTTTCCATTTGTATAGGTGTCTACGCCCGTATTAGCAATCAAATTGGATGGCTGAAGGAAACCATTTGTCAAATATCAGACGATCCACCCAATGAATACTACAACTGTCCTACTTTTGCTAAAGATGGTAATGTCCCCGTCGTTGTGAAACTAACCCTGGACAACTATCCTTCCGAAACTTCTTGGCAAATCTCTTGCAACAATGTAGTTTATGGACAAGCGGCTGAGGGCAAATATGGGAATCGACCTGGAGAAGAATTGGAAGAGAAGGTCTTTGTTCCTTCTGGTTCAAGCTGCACCTTCCAAATGAAAGATAAATTTGGAGATGGATTGTGTTGCGATTCGCCTGGCAGCTTTCAATTGTACCTCTACAATGATCCGTCCCAAGTCTTTGCCAGTGGGGGTGGCAATTATGGTCCGGAAGCATCATATGGTTTCAATATCCCATCTGATGCCGATACCGGTGACATGGATCCTATTATCGGGGATGGGACAATTCCATTGACGGTGTCTCTGCTATTTGATGACTTTCCGGAAGAAGTGGGATGGCAGGTGGATCGCATCGGCATTGGTGCGACAACTGTGTACAATTTTCCACCGGGAACCTACCGAATGCCTAATGGCCGTGCCATTCAAACTGTCATGCTGCAAGACAATCAAATTTACCGATTTCGCATCACCGACTTTCAGCGAGATGGAATGCCGGGAGGAACAAGTGAGTATTTATTGTTTCTTCTGGGGTACGATTGATATGAATGGGAACTGCTGAATCTGACATTGCTTCTTCGCTCGTGTTACTCCTTTTCTTGATCACTTCAGTCCAAGTATTGCTGGGGACAATGGATGTCAACGAACGCGACAAGGCTATTTTGGAACGTCGGGGAGGGGATATGAAAGAGTCTTTCGAAGTCACCTTTACGAGTTGGGAGAATTCAAACCAAGCTACCGAGGCACCAGCCGTTGGGAGCGGAGAATCCTTTTTGACAATTGCCTTGGGATTTGATTTGTATCCTCAGGAAATTGGTTGGCAATTGCGGGTTCGGGATCGTTCCTTGATTGACTTTTCGAGGAGCGAAGAAGAGGATGGTGAAATCGTTGCCTTTCGACCTATTGGATACTATTCAGATCGAGCACGAGAGACAGTATTCGATCAAGTGGCCATTCCACAGCTTCCTCTGAACGGCGAGCGAGACTTTATTTTCATCATTACGGACGATCATGGGGATGGAATGTGTTGCGATTGGGGTAATGAATTGGTCGAGCCAGGCTACTCCATTTACGAAGGAGACGCATCCGCGCAGAATTTGATTCTATCCAGCAAAATGAAAGATACCAGCCGCGAGATCAAGTACTTTGACCTTCCCAGTGAACGCAAACAACCTGCTAGTACCAACGCCCCCACACAAGATTCTGTCGAAACGTCAGCTGTCAATCTGGAAATTTCGCTAGCCTTTAGCGAACGAGGTGGGTCGTCTAGCTTTTACATTGAAGATTCTACCACTGGGAATCGTGTGGTGAATTATCCTTGCAGCCCCAACATTGGTACCACACGAACATATTCTATTCCCAGTGGAGTCTACACCTTTGCAATTTCCAATGACTGTGGGAAAGTTGGTAGCGTGTCATCGGAAATGGAGTATGCGGTTAGATTGCAAGGGGCCGGTGATAATCGACCGCCACTACTTCAAGGTACCAAACCAGGAATCGACACCTTTGTTGTGTGGGGAGAGGAGGCCCAAGTGGAAACGATGGAAATGTCTCTGGAATTCACGACGAATTCGGATCCTTCTTCATTCAACCATTATATCAAGCGATTGGATGTTGAGGAAGATGATGCGTTCCTTGCGCAAGTATCCAAGTTTTCGCTGGAGCCAAACAGGTACTACATGCAATCGTTATCAATTTCCAAGGGCGGACTGTACCGTGTGGCACTTCAAGGTGTGACAGAGTCGGCTCTTGTGAACAGTCAAGTGATGTTGAAGATTGGAGATAAATCTTATCCTATTACCTTTCCGGGATTGAGGCCCAGCGAGGAGCAATACATCAAGTTCTTAGCTGGTTCTCTTCCTTCTGTCTCGACTGACGGACCAAGTCTGATGCTCCGCATCGTCTACGACAACGATCCTTTGGATTTGGAATATGTCTTGTTTGAAGAGACTGGCAACGGCGAAGACACAGCAACTTCTCGAGCAGTGAGTGGTCGAAAGATGAGGAGAAATCGTGTCTATGCCTTTGGGCCACAAAATGAAACTTTGGTATCAAGTTTGGCTGGACAAGAACACATTGAAATATTGCCACTACCATCGTATGCTGGCGAGAAAACCTTTACTTTGCTGCTTTCTGACTCTGGTGGAGACGGCCGTAAGTGAAGAAGCTTGAGATCTTTTCCCAAACAGCATTGATCTTTGAACTCACGTCAGCATCTTTTTTCGCTTCAGTTTGCTGCAAGCAAGGCAATGGAGGTCCAATCGAGTTATTTGATGGGCCAATCGAGGACGATAAGCTTTTATTTCAAGACGCTTTTAGCGGCACTACACGAAAGGCGTTCACTTTTACACGGCAAGGGGAAGCTCAACCTTCTTCTTCGTCTCGGTGTGCTCCGTTTTCGGTAGGTTTGGGCGTATCTTTCGCCCTAGCTGCCTTGTGGATCGTTTAGGCTTTGTGCCTTATTGTGCCAATGGCAATGTTATGCATAATTGTAGCTTTATAACCATAGATGACTAGACTGAAAATACAATTTTCCATTGGATTTGATTGATTCGTCATTCGTGCTTTCAACAGCCACAAGTCTAAGTTCAAGTTTCGGACCACAGGAAGTTGACTTGGAAGCAATTGATGGTTCATCGGGAATTGACCTTGGATAGGGATTGGGGAATTATTCCAATCAGCACGACTATGGTCCATTGGACTCGTTGCTTACAGGTCGCCAAGCTGGAGCTGGAAAGGCGGTTGATTTTTTTTATTCCGAGGAGGAGCCATACGGTATTGTTTATGAGGGGAAGGTATTTTCCGGTACCGGTAACGAAGAAAGTTGGTGCCGTCTTTGTTGGGAAGGCAAGGCGAGACGAGGCAATGTAGTAGCTAGATTCACTCTTGGAGAAATCAAAGAAAACAAATAGAAATAGCTATTAGTAGAACATTACGACTAGATTTTCGCTATAGGTGCAGTGATGGATAGATATACTTGCAGTACACTTCTAATAGTTGATTCATACAGTATATGGCTCTAAATGCTATATAGTCGAATGTCGCAAGTTTTAGACGAACGGGTAAAATGTTGTACAAAAGACTTGAATGAGGTCGAATGAGTGCATGATCTGTGCTTTGTAGCTAGGAGAGCTTATTCAGCATGAAAGGCACTGGATTTGAAACTTTCCCGTTCTTCTGAATTTGCATCGTTTTGCCCCAGATTAGAATTTTCGTCTTTTTGGCTCGATTGGAAATCTTTTGTCCATGTTCTTCTTCAGCTTGTCATTGGTCCTTTTTAGCTGCTTCATGGCCACTTTTTGACACGCCGCCTTCGGCAAGATCGTTGATGGCTGTTCTTCTTGATTGCTTCTGCAAGTCGGTCAATCGTGAGAGCGTCGGGCCGCAGTCATCTAGACGGGCTTGTTTGCTGATGTCTTCCAATTCCTTCTTGAATCCCATAGTTTCAAGTTTCCTTCTTTCGATATCCTCCTATCACTCGACATGTAACGCACAAACTGTGCCAATCGGTGCTGTGGTGTACTGTTTTCCCTCTAGATCTGATGTCGAGTCATTGTATCCTTCTTCTATTGACAGCATACCGTATATTTGACATTCATTCCGTCTGTCATCGATCGAGCGCTCGCTCGCTCGCTTCCTTGGAAGCTGACAGGCGTGCTGATTGATTCAAAAATCAAACACTTTTTACAAATCAGAAACGGCTTTAACATAAAAGCTTTAAGCTCCAAGCTCCAACGTCCAAGCCGATACTGTACTCTCTTATTATCTTGCCTCTCACCATGTCATGCATCGTAATGCTACCACATGGAAGTCCTGCTGATATAGATACGAACGAAGGAGCAAACGAAGTCCTCCGATCTTGTCCAACCTTTCTTTCAACCCAAATCAAAAGAATCAAAATTATCCGCTTGATTCCGGGGCTGAATAGTCGTCAAGATCTGTTGGACCAACTTGAACATGCACACGACGCCATTAGATGCTTCTCTCGAAACGTAGATAGATTGCTCTTTCGCGAGAAACTGGCAGAGGCTGAAAGCAAGTGTTGGTTGGAATTTGCCATTGACGAAATCAAAAAGATCACGATCAAGACAAGCTGGATTGAGCAAGGAACGCTGGACTTTGATGATTATGCTGCTTTGCAATCTTGTCATGAAATGTTCTCGCACCAAGTGCCTGTCAGTCTAGCTTTTAAGAGCGATTTCTTTCAAGCTTTAACTCAACTCTTGACAGCCCGGCAAGGAAGTACCAACGCATTCCCATCCAATGATGAATGTCGAAGCATCATTTGGATTGTAGACTCCGCTTTCACCACATGCGCAGAGCAATTGTCCTGGTCTAAAGAACGGGTGTTTCGGAAGCTAGAGAAGACGGGCATTCTCGAGCAAGCCCTTCGATGTTCCACTCGAACGTTCCCGCTAGGTCCCGATGAAAAAATTGATATGTTTCTGAAAGAGTTGCTCGACGAGCTTCAATCCTGTCCTTATGTTTTGAGCCAGTGTTTCAAGATTGGAGCACCTTGTGGCGACATTTTGCGGGCAATCATAGCAGAGGATGACGAAGCCAATGAAGTAGACCCCCCAGTGATCAACAGACTGCATGCGATTTCCTATCTGTCGGATTTGACGAATGAAACCTGCAATTGGTGTTGGGATGTGGAATCTTCAGAATGCCCTCTCAAGATGTGTAGTAGATGCAACAAAGCTCTCTATTGTTCGATAGAGTGTCAAAACGCTGATTGGAGGCCGCATCACAGGCAAATCTGTGTCCGTACAGCAGCCGATGCAAAGGAAGTAACTGCTGTTCAAAGACTGGTCAACAATTACTTCAACGATCACTATCGTCACATTCTACCCAAGATGGTCGAAGAATGTAACTCGAAATCCTTGACAGCAAATAAAATGGTTGTTGAGGTGGATTTCATGATCCAATACGACGTGATCCCTGCCATACATGACGATACGCCTCTTTTCAACATCGCGCCTCTTCAAGCCTACATCGACGGCACCGAGAGACCTTGTTTTCTCATTGGCTGTCACAATCCGGACCTTCAGAAGGACTATCTCGAAAAATGTGTCAGCATCTTGACAGAGTCGGCATCTTCCAAGAGTTTCAACACCTGCTTGTTCTTGGTAATTTTCGCTAATTTATGTATTGAGTGTGTGGAAGTGCCGATGCCCAAGGAACTGTGGGGCAATGCGAGTATTCATGATCATGCTGAATAGACCACGCACCTCAAATCATCCCCATAGACTTCATTGGACCAATTGACGAGACGCCCAAATCTTTCTATACAACTATACAATACTTGCGACAATCGGCTATGTAGCTTATTAGCTAGAACCATATACTGTAACCAACTATAATATAGTGTATTGTCAAGTCCCTTCGTCCATTTGATGTTAGTGCTAGCTACCCGGGACATTTGGATATTTTCAAACTGCCGAATGGTAAGGTAACATTATGCGCATTATCGCACGACAAACAATAAGCACCAGATGTCGCCAGACAATTTCAATTGGGACCGCACCAAGAAGAGCAATACAACGAGAACCATTCATGCCTACTCAAATGCACCATTCATCGAGTTGTTTGTCAAGATTGCTTCCCAAGGAATAAAGCCCGTTGGCACCATGGTCCTAGGCGAAGGATCGTATGCTGCGGAATTCGAAGACGTGGAATGGAAGGCGTATTGTTCTCTTGCAGCTGTTGCTCGGATGGAAGAAGATGACGACGTTGCAGTATCCACAGAAGTCACAACTTGTGGTCCTCCATTCGCTTTGAGATTGAGTATCCATCGCCCTTTGTCTCACACTGGAACAGAAAGTGCCCTCTTTTTGAATGGTCAAGATGCGGCACTGATCCGAGCCGCAGATGCAACTGGCCAGATGGTACTACACATGGCTAATCGTAAAAATGTCTCCTTTCCCATTGTGAGCGGACCAGGAGAGATCCAAGGAAGTGTGCGGCAATCCAAAATCATACAAAGCCAACAATGCTCCGTGGCACATTGCAAATCACGGATTGGTCCGAGCAGTAGCCCGCGTCCGATTCCACCAAAATGTCTTGTCGGCTCGACCATCCGTCACATACAGTTTTTTCAAATCCCATCAAATCGAATTGGCCATAGGTACTCGACACTGTCTTTCCGGCCGAAGGAGGTTCTCTATAATAGTAAAAAATGTCCAGACAAAGGTTTGTTCCAATTACCGGGCATTGAAAGCACCTTGATCATAAGGCATAACGCTAAAGTTCACAAGGAAAGAGAGGCGCAGTGAAGGAAATTGGGATAGATGAATAAAGGCATCGAATCAATCAAACAATCAATCAATCAATCAATCAATCAATCAATCAATCAATCAATCAATCAATCAATCAATCAATCAATCAATCAATCAATGATAACCACAGCTAGCCAGTGCATAGTCAATCGAAGCACTGCACCATCTACCGGATTATCATAAAAGTCATCGCGCATTTATTGGGTGAAGCCATGCATTCCTGACTTACTCGAATGAAATGAACGTTTCGCAACGCATGGCAATTATATAATATGTTAGGTGAGAAATAAACCAGAACTGCTGGTCCAAGAAGGCCGAGTGCGAACCCTAATGCTCTGGTCTCTCAGACTCCATGGATAGAAGAAAAGCATCTGAATCATGTTGTTTTCTTTGCTGATTGTGCTGCATCTCTGCTTTGTGCTCCTATGGAGTGCTTGTGGTTACCTGGTTTACATTCGAGATGTGGCTGGACCTCAACTACACTTTCCCTATAAGGCCAGCAAGGAATCCACCTTAGAATACTGCGGACCCACTACCGATAACTTTGAGGACTTGATTGTTAGTGAAGATATGGGCCTTGATAAGGCTGAGGAACAAACGGATGAACATGGATTGGCGGTTGTGAGAAACATTCTTTCTGGCAAGACAGCATCTAATCTTCGTGATTATATTCTCAGAGCCAACCATAAAATTGAATCTACTTTTGTGCTGAGTGGGCAGAACAGATATCACATCATGCCGACTCACGAAGAACCAGCCATTCAAGCTGCACTCAAGGAGATTGGGACACATCCAGTGATGAAACCACTGATTGACAGAATGCTTGGCCCCAAGAGTTCATTAGTGGCCTTTTCCGTCATTACCAATCTATACGGCGCTCAAGATCAGATTTGGCATTACGATACTGGAACGTCCCATGCAAGTTATCCAGACTACTTTGTTCCTGAATATACCCTTGCAATTCCACTTCAGGATACCACTAAAGAAATGGGTGCGACAGGCATTTGCCCGGGAACTCACAAATGCTCCTGGCCTGATGTTGACTGGGAAGATCTCGAAGAAGAATACAATTCTGATCCAACAGCCCAAGGTGTCTATGGCAGTTTCGATCAATGGACTCGATATCATTTGCCGTGTGACTTGGCTGTAAACGTCACTGCTGGAGATGGCATGCTATATAATGCAGACGTCTATCACCGCGGGTCGGGCCACAAGGATCCCAATGCTCCTGAACGAGTAGTTGCCTTTTTAACCTTTGCGGGTTCCCGACAGTCTCCCCAGGACCATCGATCTCTGCCATTGGGAACTGTCCACTCATTGGATTGGAGAAGTTGGGGCCATACCATTGATGATTTTGCTACCGTTGACACCAAGCCATGGCGACTATGGCATCCTTTTGGACTCTTCAATCCATGTAGGGCTCACGGAATCCGCCCTTGGACTGTCCTAGACTATTTCTTTATGATATTCCGACACAGTAACGAAGCCATGCACATGATTTCTGCTGATTTTGATGAAGAATATTTTGAAGAGTTGGTCTACGATACCATCTGGCAGGTATCGTGTGCTTCGATAGTATACTTAGGCATTGTGCCCTTCATCTGGATCTGGCTCTTTCTTCAACTATCGAGAAAAGTCCAACGTTTGCAAGTTGTCAAAATAAAGCAAAGCTAGTTTTAAATGATGTACATACTTCTACTAATATATCTTGACCACTTCTTGAAGACTCATCTCTCCCAAAAAAATCGAAATGCAGAGCCTCATAGCAACTTTATTTCCAAACCAGACGATGTCATTACATTATGATGAGCATATCATACGGTGCTACTCTCCACTAGCAGTGGAGCCAAAGACCTCCAAGACATCCGCCATCATTTGCGCATTCCTTTCGCCTTGTACCAATGGCGCTTTCATAACTCTCGCTCGAAACCAAAAACGTTTGGATAGAGTGCCGTTTCGGTTGTGTGCCCTAAACGATATTTTTTTATGGGAGCTCAAGAGTTTAGTGCGGTCCCTTTCTGTGCGTGCTTTCTATCACATTTTCGCCTTCTGGTATCGCGCTTTCATAACTCAGTAGAAACCCAAGAAAGATATTTTGCGTTTTGAAAGAGGTGCGCTTCGGATTTGCTGGTGGTGCGACATTATATTTTATTTAAAGAACCTAGAATTGTGGTCACTTTCACTTCCCAGAAATAGCGAACTCTCGCCAGCTACAACCGATCTCTATGTACCGGTATGGTTCTGTTCTTACCAGAAAAACATAGAGCAGAAGAAAGTATTGGTACCGGTATTCTGAATCAATCACGCGGGTATTGACAATCCTCCGCTCTGCCATTGCTGTGAAACCCCGAATGTCCTCTTTCGAGGCCAATCCAAGGTGACTCATTCACCTGGATTGCTCACCTTGGAAGTCCTTTTGAAGATGTGCTCTCTTACCGAGGCCAATCCCATATCACTCATACGGACTGATATTCAAGGTAGGGACACCTTCGTTCTTATTGGTAACGAAAACGGGAACTGGTATTACTGGATGCTTTCGAGATTCCGACAGTTGCAATAGTAACAAATACCCCAGTGATGATGGTGAAATCCTAGGAATCAACTACACTCTTACCGAGGTAAAGCATCCACAGAATATGAAATGGGAAAGTATTTGTGCTGGCGAAAATTGCGTTGTTGCGATCGATTCCGATGGAGTCCCACACTCATCCGGTTTGGAGTAAGTGATTTGTTCGATACTCGTACTTGTTTTGCTATTATAATACCCAATCTTACACTTTCTTGCTTGCCCCCTCCTTCCTTCCATCCCTCCTTATCCAAGACACCCTCGCAAATTGGCTCGAACCATCGCCAATGGTGTACCAAACCACGACACTCGTCCTCTCGAACAAATCACACTCGCCCTCTCAAACAAATCATTGGCGACTCAATTGAACTTGGAGAGCTTGAAATGGACCGTTTTAATCAACCACTATTTGACAACAGCGGAGAACCGGTCATGCTTCAGGAATACTGCCTCAAGAAAAGAAGTTGTCTCCCAGTTTGTGAAACCATGTCCAATGGTTTTTGCCGAACAATTTAGTGGACGGGCGACGAATGTCGCTGCTGGCGCAGTCCATAGTCTGGTTGTCAAACTCGAGAATGGTTCCACTAGTGTTCACTCTACTGGTCACAATGGCAGTGAGCAGTTGGGTCTCGGGGACAATGCTGAACGTCAGGTTCTCATCAAGGTATGCAATTCACCAAACTTCTTGTTTTCATCGTCGCACTCTTCCGTGTTTCTAACGTGTTCCGGAAAGATCCAAGATTTAGATGGAAAGGACATCCAGAAGGTTGCAGCTGGAAGGTTTCATTCTTAAGCACTCAACAAATATGGTCGTATTTGGGCATGGGGAAGAAATTATGATGGGCAACTCGGTATTTCCAGCGACGGCCATGACGTCGTGGTCCCTCGACCTATCGATTTCCAACGAGGAGTCACAATCGTTGACATTTCCGCCGCAAATAATGTCAGCATGGCCATCGCCACGGATGGCAAACTCTACTCTTGGGGATTGGGTGACACTGGCCACGGTAGCGATGACCCCATCAGAATGCCAACGCAAGTTCATGTTACCGAATTTTGCCAAGGCTGTTCCTGGTGTCAGTCATTCTCCTTTTATCTTCACCCCTTCTGGATACTACTTCGACGGCAATCACGTATCTTTCAACTTCACAGCTCCTTTTAAAGTTGAATGTGTTTGAGTGTTCAATGATTGTCTTATCGTCTAGCAATGGGTGATCATGGATTCATTCGTTTTATTTTCCTCTTCTTGACTGACAGGCGATGGGTCACCATCCTACTACTTCGATGCCAATCACATACAGTATCTTTCTGCTTCACAGCTCCTTGAATGCGTTAGAGTGTTCAATGACTGTGTTACCGTTTAGCAATCGGTGATCACGGATTGATTGATTGATTCATTCATTCGTTTGATATACAGTAAGGGTTTTGGAGTTCAAAGTTCCAGCTGGAAGCATTTAGTTGACGTCTGCATGTTTGTCGGTGTTATATGCAACAAATCCGAAGACAAGAGTTTTATGTTTCAAATCTTATCGCATTTTCAAATTTTGAGAATACCGAACATAATATCACTGTACCGGTAGTCCACAAATAAGTTCTGCGTCATCGTACGATCGGTACACACAGCAACTTGAAACTACAAGTTCCCTTCCTTAGCATCACTGCAATCAAGATGGTGAATGCTCACTCTTGGCGACTACTAATTGATCTTCACATTCTAGTGACAATCTGCTGGCTTCTGTCAGCATCCTTGTACTACCTCTGTTATGTACACGGCCCTACCTTGGCGTTTCCATATGCCATCGGGAAGCACCTGTACTTGCCCAATTGTGAGCCATCCTCCGATTCCATTCAAGATTTGTATGTAACGCCCAACATGACACCAGAAGTAGCCAAAGAACAAACTGAAAAGCACGGAGTTGCTTTTGTGGAGCAAGTCTTGAGTCCAGCCACTGCTTCCAATTTGCGGCAATACATTCTAAAAGCCAACTATGAAATTCAAGGTACCTTTATCAAGGAGAATGAGAATCGATTTCACATTATTCCTGATCCAATGGAGCCTTCCATTCGAATTGCGTTGAAAGAAATTGCATCACACAAAGTCTTTCGGCCACTGATTGATGCGGTATTGGGACCAAGCAGCTCGTTGGTGGCTCTGTCTGTCATTACCAACTTGTACGAGGCCGAAGGGCAAGATTGGCATCATGATACGGGAATGTCCTATGCCACGCATCCAGATTACTTCGTTCCTGAATACACTCTAGCCATTCCCTTGCAAGATACTACTAAAGAAATGGGAGCCACTGGCATCTGTCCAGGTACCCACAAGTGTAATAATCTGAATATGGATTACAATGTGGTTAAACCAATGTATGAAGAAGCGATGAGGCAGTATGAAGAAGCCCAAAGGAGAAGAGAGCTGAAAGCAGAAAGAGGCGGAGAAGGTGATGAGACTGATGAGGAAGTTTCTGAGGATGACAACGACGACGACGAAATGGAGGAATCAGAAGACGAGGAGGATTATGACAACGAGGCTCCTCCGACATTTGAAGAATGGCTGAACTACAACCTTCCATGCAATGTTACAGCTTCTGTCAATGCCGGTGATGGTATGCTGTACAATGCCGACCTGACCCACAAGGGTGGCGCTCACAATGATCACACTGCAGCGGAACGGGTAGCGATCTTCATTACCTTTGCAGGTACTCGCCAAAGTCCCTCCGATCGAAGGTCTTTGCCCATGGGGACGGTTCATTCGTTGCATTGGAAGCGATGGGGCCATACTATTGATGACTTTCTCACCATGGAAGAACAGCCGTGGAGGATCTGGCATATTTTTGGCTTGGGTTTGCCAACCTCTCCAACAAAGGCGAACAGTGTCCGACCATGGACAATGCTGGACTACTTTTGGATAATTTTCAAGCACGAGAACGAGTGCATGCATCCCCTATCGAATGAATTTGACTTGGAATACTTTACAAACGAAATTGTTGCACAAGTGTTCGTGTGGTCAGCTGGTATTATAGGTTTCTACCTGATTGCGTCGCCCACTCTCGTTGCACTTTCAATGAGACGAATAAAAAAGGAACAAGAATTCGGCGACACCAAGATAAAAAATGAATAATTTGTAAGCATTGTGCTTTTCCATACTACATGTATCTATCAGTGTCACGCATCGGTCATCGGAATCTTACACTTCTCCTCAATGGTCAAAGTACAACACGTGTTCGTACATGAGAAACCAATGCGAGCTAGCTCCCAAAATGACGAATAGATGCCAGATTTCATGGAATCCAAACTTTCCTGGAATTGGATTGGGTAACTCCAATGTGTAAATGGCACCTCCGACGGTGAACCAAACTCCACCGAATATCATCCAAAACAGTCCCTTCCAACCTAGGATTGGAGCCATGAAGTAGCTAAGAAAGACGCCCATCCATCCCAGGGTAATGTACAAGGTCATCGTCAGCCACTTGGGAATTTTGGCAAAGTGGTATACCAATAGAATCATAGAGAGAATGCTCAAGGCCCATACGGTACCGAAGAAGGTCCAACCAATCGTCGTATTCTTCAACACAACCAAACAAAGAGGCGTGAAGGTTCCGGCGATCAGTGGAAATATGGCCAAGTAATCCAAGGTTTGAAAGAACTCTTCCCACTCCGGAGTTGTTGTGATGGAATGATGTACGGTACTCGAAGCAAACAAGTTGCATAGACTCAATCCATAAATGGAAAAGCTGACAATCTTCCATGGAGCTCCCTGAGCACTTGCTTCCACAATGAGCAAGATGGAACCCAAAATGCTCAAAAACAAAGCCGCCAAGTGCGAAACACTATTAAAGACTTCATCTGTCACATGAACGCTGCCGTCGCGAGACAATTGACGGCCTTTTTCATCTCCAATGTTGGTGAATCTCCACCAGCAAGAGGAAGATTCAGGTTCATCTTGAGGATCTTCAATGCTGTCGTAGTAAGCGTTATCTTCTTCACCTTTATGACTACCATTGTTGTTGTCATTGGTTTGGTGAAGGGGAGTATTCATGTCGGAAGTGGCAATGTTCATACTGTGCATCGTTGTCGTCGTTCCTCTACTTTTGTTCCGAACTTCTTGCAGCTTCACGCAGTCACAAGGTACCTGGTACCCTGCGTATCGGTACGCAGCATCTGTCATTCGAAATTCAAACCTGTAAACTGTAAACCGGACACTGATTACGAACAGTTCGATGTCGCATTCGAAAATGTCCGTCAATGGAATTGTACCAGTCGTTCGACAAGACTGGGACTCGTGTCTAATGACCAAATTTCCCAGCATGCGAATTTGAGATCGCACAATTTTGGGAGATGGTATGTTTCGACGAACAATGAATTCCAATCACAAGATCAACACAACTGCATCAGTTGGTCTGAATAGCTGTATAACCATGATGATTCCAGTCGAAGATCTAGAGAAGAGCAAGGACGAGACTACTGCAGGCTCGCCATTGGCCACTACAGTTCCAGCAGTCGCAGCAGCCACTAATTTCAACGGTAACAACGCTCAAGACGATCAAGTAGAGCAATCACAAACCCAAGTTGAAACTGCTATCGCCTCTTCTGACTATCCGGACAGTGCACCTGTTGCTGACGAGATTGCTCTGAAAGCAAAAACAGCAGCAGTGGCATCAAGACAAGCGCCGACAGAAATCAGGCCGGATACCCCAAGCAGTTTTTTAAGTTCCTTGCAAGGGGAAGAACCGGATATGCAAAGTGTCGACACAAGTTTGGCCCCTTCTCTCGAAAGTGATGCTGACAGTGCTCGCTGGGTCCGTACTTCTCCCTTTGGAAATGAATCATTACTCGACCAGCTGTCTTCGGCTCAAGGTTTAAAGGTTGGCTTGAACCATACCTTGAACCATACCGTTCCACCTTTTGATAGAGAAGCGCCTGCTTTTGAAGAATCAAAGGAAGGAGTTGCCGAGTCGTTGGAAAATGTAACCGACGATGAGTCCGCCAAGCCAACAGAGGGTGAAGCCAAGTCTGATGAATCAAAGACGAACGACACCATGGCCGTTCCAGACGACAACTTGAGTCATCCTATGGAAGCCCCAATAGAATCAGATTCGTCTATTGCCCAAGTAACCCCCGCACCAGTGCTCGACGGCGATTTGATCGATCTCAGTCCCGAGCCAAAGCAAAATGATACTGGTCCAACAGAGATGGTTCAACTGGAAGTGGAAACTACGCTTCCTGAAATTCCTGCAGAAGATACCCAGACATTGGCACAGGTAAACCATCCCGAGCCAATAGATAAGATTGAAGTCGTGGCGCCAAGACAAGAGGAAACCCTGAGTGCCTTCGAACAAGAGCTTCAAAAGGCTCACGATAGTTCTCCTGGTCTTCAAGCGCTCCAGGCACTCCCAGGCTATGAAAACGTCTTCATCGAAATCGACTCTTCCACAGCAGAATCGGTAGACGAAAACTCTGAGCCAACACCAGTCACCGATCAAGAAGCACAGCGCATGATTGACGAGATCTACAAAATGGCCGAGGATGCTGACCTAGAAGAGGAAATGCTTGCATCGATTTCATCCGAAACCATCACTTCGCAAGCCTTGAATCGCATAGTGGAAGAAATGCGGTTGGCAGCAGAAAGCGCAAAGGAAGCCGTCGAGGAGAAAAGTCTGGCCAAGGAGGCGAAGAAGAGAACTAAAAAGGAAAAGTCCAAGAGACGATCATCAAAGCAACCAATCGAGCCTCCACAAAAAACAATCGTGATCAACAAGCACATGCCAATGGAACATGTAGTCAAACACTACACCAGGGACTACATTCCTAAGCAGTATGCGTCCAGCAGATCCAACACTGTGTCCTTTGTCGAAGAAGTGATCGAATATGAGTTCGATGGGGTGAACGATGACATTACGGACGCTGGTGACTCCTCTACCGTCACAAAAAGTGTGACGGAAGATTCAGTCCAGCGAATGATTGGGGAGCTCCAAAGAATGTCAGAAAACAGCGATACTGGCAATGATTCAGCGACTTCTGGATCCGCAACCATCACCCGCGACGAAATGGAACGAATGGTGGCAGAGATCCGTTTGGCTGCCAAGCAAACGGCATCAGAACCTGTCAAACCCAAGGATCTCACCGAGAACGAAGCCCAACAAATGGTCACTGACATCAAGGCAGCTGCTGAAAGCGAAGACTCCGAGACATCGAAAGAGCTCACGGAACAGGAGGTGCACAGAATGATTGTGGAAATGCGCCAAGCCGCTGAAAAAGCCGATTCCGAGGAAGCTGCCGAACGTGAAATGCAGAGAATGGTCGACGAAATGAAATGGGCTGCTGAAGAACAAGTAGAAGAAGAAGCCGAAGAACAAGCGTATCTGGAACGAAAACGAAAACAACGACGCCGAAAAATAGAGCGAAGCCGAAGTAGGAGCAAGAGCCCAAATAGAAGTAGAAGCAAGAGCCACAGCCGAAGAAAAAGCCGAAGTAGGAGCCACAGCCGACGAAGAAGCAGCCACAGTCGACGACGAAGTTCGAGTCCATGGAGTGACAGCTCCTCAAGCACCTCAAGCAGTGAGAGTTCAACGGACGACAATTGGAGCAGTGGAACCTCAAGCGGCTGGAGTTCCAGAAGCGAGAGTCCAACACGCGAGCGCATGAGAAGGGCGAGTCTCAAAAGAAGGAAAAGTCGAGCCCGAAGGCGTGGTTCCAAATCCAAATCCAAGTCCAACAGTCCCCAGGAGCAGGCTATACACAACCGCTTTGGCTACTTGACAGGACTAATTTCCAAGGAAGATCTGCAAGAAATCATAGATAATGAAAAGAGGCGTCGAGAACAACGGCAACTTCTCGAACTCGTTTCACGTTCTGATTTGCAAGGCATTTTGGATAGAGAGCGAAATCGCAGAAGCATTGAATATGAAGATATCCCTATTGAAAAGAAGACTAAGAAGAAGAGACAGTCAAATCGTATGTCAGCGAAGGCATTCAATTCATCAAAGAGAAGACACATATATGAAGAAGACAAACCAACAATGAAAGAAAAAGTGACCAAGCTGATGCCGAACGTATTCTCGTCAAACAGAAGGAAGAACAAGACGAGAAAGGAGGAAGATGAGATGCTCTCAAAAATGGAGTCGCAAGAGTCTTCAGTGACAGCTCTTGATAGAACTGTTCGCAAACCGTATAGTTACCTCTTCTATGGGATGGTTTGCATTGGTATGACTGGTCTGATACTAGCAGCCGTAGCTGTTGTATCCTATATGAATCAGCAGAAAGAGAATGTGCCATGAGGTTTGAGATAATTCATTGCAACATCGTCTGCAAAGTGGCCTGTCTTCTTTTCCCCGGGCAGCTTTACTACGGTACTTTGTGGGTGTGCACATGAAAACTGAGATGTTTGTGTAACAAAACTCAATCGGTATTACTCTTTAAAAGTTTTGGGGCAATAAACGATTTTGATTGCAATGTATTGATTGATTAAAATTAGTTGAGATTGATATCAAGTTTGAATCAAAGTTGAGATTGATTATTTGTTCTGATTGAATTGAATTGTGAGTTCTGATTTGATGAAATCTCTCAGATCGGCTCTAATCGTACAGTAGCATTCTGATCTTGCTTGATCATGCAATGACCCTCATTCAAGATCAGTTATTTATATTCTGGCATAGATCCAAGATCAATCATACCGGTATGGCAAACCAAGATAATCATAAGCCTCCTTGTTGACATTGGAATTCTCAATTTAGAATTCGTTATCCAATGGCCGTTGAGTCCACAGAGTCGATTCATGATTCAACCATTCATGATTTGGTTCAAATACCATATATCTGTACACTCCCTCTTTTGCTCCAAATCTTGATCTTCTCATTACCAACCAAGTACCAACTTTCTGAACTTGACAAAACTTGCTTCATTCAATGGCTTTGTTAGTATGTCAGCAATTTGATCCAGTGTGTGTATCTTGTGAATACTTATCATGCAAGGTCCATCATCACCGATGTATGATCTGAAGTGGTGTAGTCTGTTGTTCAAATGTTTTGTTCTTGGTCAAAACTTGTGCACTTTCGCAATTTCCAATGCTCCACTGTTGTCCTCAAACACTTTACAATGCACCTTTGCTTTTGGAGTTTCCAGAGGTATCCCAGTCTTGAAAAAGGTTCATGATAGGAATTGCTTCTCTAAGTGCATAAGATAGTCCAGTGTACTATTCTGATTCAGTTGATGAGAGTGCTACCTCTGTTTGCATCTGGGATTTCCAAACAATGGGACATCCAGCATAGGTGATGTAATATCCATGTCGTGATCTTGCAGTATCACGATCCTCATATTCATTTGGATCCCAATTTCCTGCAAAGTCAGCATCAACATATACTTCAATACCTTTCTCTTTGTCTGGTTTCAATATCGTCCCTTTGTTCTTCGTTCCTTTCAGATATCGACCTAACCATCTATTGGCCTCTCCATGTTCCTTCTTTGGACAACTCGAAAATCTTGCACATTGATGAGTAATGTATAATTCAATTTTCCTATCACTGATTGATAGTTGAATGATCCATCAAAGTCTGGAGAGTCAGAATGCCTTGACAGTAGTTTGCATGACGGAGCTGGAATCAATCTTGGTTTGACATTGTCTTCCAACCTTAGATCTTCAAGAATCTGGTCAATCAGATGTGGTTGTGTGAGATGGATTGTTCCGTCTCCTTTTTGTTCAATGTTAACCCCAAGAAATCTTGGATGTCTCCTTCAATTGTAACGTCCATTTTGGCAGCTTTAGTGTCTTCAATTGCATGCTCAACTTCTTTCAAATTGGGACCTGCCAATAATGAGCAGAAATCACAGATTCTTGATGGAACACACATTCATCAACTTTGGATTGCTTGAAACTGACTTCATCAATGAGTTTGCATGACAGAAACTTTAAAAAACATGCAAGAAGATTGTTTTCCGCCATATACAATTCAATGTAGTTTCATCATGTAATCTTCTGTACAGTAGTATTTGTAAGCAAGCAAACAGACACCAGACACGACTTGAGACATTTCGGTTTTCCACGATAAAAAAGAATTTTCTGATCAGAATCACCAGATTTGCCGAGTTTCCGATCAACAATTCTGTAGAGAAAAATTGAATTACCACGACACAAGTGGGTGAATTCAATCTCAGTCGATAAACTGGGCATCATTGCCTGGGCGCATCGACAACAACTTTTGACGGTCGAAGGCCGTTCGGCCTTTGTCCGTCTGTAACACAATGTAGTCAAAGAAATCGTACAGTGTGCCTGCGGTCTACGTTGGAAAATTTCACGTTCAACTGGTGCTTGTGGAAACGCCAAGAAATAATCAATTTGCCTTGTATGCCAACCAAGAAGAGCTGATAGGACCAACAAAGTTCGGATTGAGTTCCAGCTTGCAACTGGAGCATATGTTTGATCATAATGTTTTCCATATTGCATCTTTGAGCCGTCAATGTTCAATATTGCTTTGTACTTCTTGATCCTTCTTGTCTTGATATCTCTTTTTCTTTTCATTTGCCACACCACTGGTAATATTGTGCCTCCCTCTGGAACCTGCAATTGATCTACCACACTGAAATTTCCATTGTTGATTTGATTTTTGCATTCTTTCTTCATGGGAATCATTTTCTTGCATGGCTTCATGCATGTACATTGTGTCTGGACCCGAGGTTGCTTTATAAATACTCAGCGGGTCCTGCTCCATTTCTCCTGCATAATTGGGGAACATTGCTCGGAGGCAGAGTATTTCTCCTTCAATGTCATTCGCAGTGGCTCTCGATAGTTCTGCCTTCATTGCTTTAATGATATCCTCAGCCGGATGAGGATGCTGCGCTGACTTGTGAACTTGCTCCTTCTCTTTCTCCTCCTTGAAATCTGAAGGGCGAACAGTGTCTGCATCGCTGACTGCTCCTGGATTTGATGGTGGGTCATTGTTATTTGTTGGTTCATCCATTTGACTATCATTGGATGGGGATGGCTGCAGCCCATTGTCAAGGCCATCAGGGGTCGGCATCACAAACTGTGTGTGTTTTCCTGGCTTTGATACTTCATCGTCCATTCTTGCTTTCTTCTTTGGCCGTTGGACTCCCTCTGACGCTGGCAAAACTTCCTGTGTTCTAGGATTGACTGACTCCATTGTTGAGGTGTGCATTTGCTTTTATTGTCCGGCTTATCTTGCTGGACTAAGCCTGTCTTTGGTTGCCATTGAGTATCAACGTTGTCTTCTTTGACTGTTTGAAATCTTCAATCAAATATCACATGAAACTGAGGCGACACTAGCCCAGTTGTCCTATCAAGGACCAATGCAATGTTTCGACCATGGTTTGGAGATTGCCCAAGATATATGCCCATTTTGGATCAATACTCCCATTTGTTGTGAATCCTTTTTCCACTCTGCAATGCAGTATTCAGAACATAGACTTGGTAACCAAAAGGCACCCAATGCTTCTCATTCAATTGTACTTGAGAGATGCTGAACAGTTGCAATGGCAAGCGTCCTTGCTTATCCTTCAGGTTGACAATTCATTGATTGTGTCATTGACATTCTCAGAGCATAAGGCCATAGATGAACGGTACCTGCCATGCTCCACCTTCTGTGTTGTTGTATCAGCATTGATTGAGCAAGATCCTGTAGTGATCGAATTCTCCTCTCAGCCAGCAAGTCCATTGGAATGATGTGCATTTACTCCAGCAAAGAAAAAAGTCCTTGCTCCATCCTCCTGCATTCACCAACCCATTTATGTGCTCTGAAAATTCCGTTGCCGGCATGGTAGTGTTGAACTCTCACGGCATGTTGCTTGCAATAGGCTTCAAATGCTTTCTTGCCTTCAATAGTCTCATCTGCGGTTGCTGTTTTCTGCAAGTAAACAAAGCTCAATCCTGGATATTGGTCGACATAAACAGTAGCGTACGTGTATCGCTTCTTTGTCAATGTGCCAGATGTTTGAGAAATCAATCCAGGTGAAGGCAAGACAAGTTGATCAACAGAAATGACTTCTCCAGGTCTTGTGATAGTTTGTTCCTTTGTCCAATGCTTTCTCCTCTTCTCCCGCCATTGTCGTCTTGTAGCTTTGGCAAAAAAACTGGCAGTGCATCTTGGAATATCAGCATTGGCCAACCTTCTTGGAATGATATTTTGCTTTGCCATGCTTGGTAATTTCCCAAAAGAGATGTGACCCATTTGGTGGTGTAGCCGTAGTAGTTGCTGGCTATCTGTTGTTGGTTGTTTCTCCTCCTCCTTGGCTATCACCGACGGTTTGGGTGTACCATCTGTAGTTGGTCCATCCAAGTTGAAAGCTGCTTTGCGGCCTTTTCCTTTTTGTTTGGACATCAAAATTTGGTAGCAAATTGGGACCAAAAGGTAGTGGCTGTAGTTGGAGGGGGGCTGGTGGAAGAACATAATCATCATTGTCATTGTCATCTTCGTTATCACTGACAACACCAACTGGAGAGATAATAATCGGCTCCTCCTCACTCTTGTCAAGTTGACATTGCATTCTTTACAAAAGAGGTCAAATCGTTTGAAGCCAGGCGCTAACTAGAAGGTGGCAACATTTGTTGGATATATTAGGATTTTTTAAGTACATATTTGGAGAAACGAGAAAAAGAGAATGCATGTGAACGATAGAGAAATGATGTCGACTGATACGACTAAAAATGAAGACTGGCGCGGCATTTGCAAGTTTCCGCGTGGAATCAATCCATTGATTTGATTGGTTTATCAGTTATGCGGCTGCCGGGATGCCCACTAAGGTCAATCTTCTTCACAAAGTCTTTAGATCATTCCTTCCTCAACAAATGGCATCATCAACCGGCAGTGGCACCGTCGCCTTCAGCCGCGGGATTCTCTCCCATGCATGACACCGCTACCAGGCCCACATAACCCTTTTTTTCTTCTTCATGGAATGAAAAAAATCAGTCCAGCAACAACGGGCCGCTTTCAAACCGGTCGTTCATTGAAGTTATCGGAAATCACGGCCACAGATTTCAATGAGACTTGAACGGTACACTGCTGCTCCTCCTTCCAAAAAGAGTTCCAGAATGCCACAAGATGGTATGGAGGGGTTTTCACATTTGCTCAAAGATTCTGGAATCAAACCCAAAATCAAGAGGCTGGCAAACAAAGCAAAGAAGAAGGAGCAGATCAGACCATAGGCGAAAAACAAGAAATCCTTCTAGAAACGGGAACCAGGAGCAGAAGCAGAAGCAAATCTCTTCCCAAATTCGATTTCAAAACAAATGAATCATTGGGCAAGACTCGTAAGAGTGGCCGCTTGACCCCCGTTCGTGGCAACGGTGATTATTCCAAAACTGCCTTGTTGTCTACAATTGCATTCGTGTTCTTCGCAAGTGGAATTTTAATCTACAAGCAACCCGCGAGAAACGTTATTGTACCTTATTCCTCGTGATAGATTCCTTGATTAATATTCGTGTTCCATCCTGGCCATTCTTGTCGCTAGTCTTGACCTGTTATGACTACTACGGTCGTCCAAGACTGCTGAGAGGCAATTCAGTGGAGGAATAAATAACCAAGAATAGACTCAAGAAAAGACTCTTCTAATATATTTGATTGCTATAGCATATGATTCTATATACACACCCGAATGCGTGCCAAGGACGTTCATCACAAAACGAAAAACGGTGGCACTGGAAACACAAAAACAATTTCAGTCATCTTGAGAGTCGAGTCGTCTGAAATAATGGCCATCTCGACAAGAAGATGGTCCGTTTCCCTCCAATTGCTCAATCACGCTTTCCTTGCTTGATTCTTTCACAAGCTGGGCAAGCCTGTTGAGGGATGAGGAAAGCATTGCGACAATTTGGACAGATCCACTCAAACGGATTGCGCAAAGGCCCTAGTCTTGCATTTACTTCGATTAGCGCTTCTCTTGCGCTGGCATAAGCCTCATAAATCCAACTAGTACCATTGGTTGAGTCAAACGCAATGTAGTCGGGAGCATGGCTGGGGGGCGCGGCAACATTCTGGTTGAGTTCAAATGTACGGTTGCCAGGAATGAAAACGAATGGAGTCGTCTCAAACAGAATTGGAGAGGACAGGGCGGCGAGAGAATCGCCAGTCCTTTGTTCCTGGATGGCAGACGACTGCATCTGAAGTCGGCAGCGCTTTTGTGGAATGCAACTGTCAGGAGAACCAGCAGCAGCACGCTTCAAAGTAGTAGTGCTCTTGGTAGCTTTGGTGGAAGGTTGTTTGGCAGCAGACGACGGTTTCTCAGATCGCCGACGCTTTTGTGGAGTGGCACCGTCAGGAGTAAAGGCAGCACCACCACGCTTCAAAGTGGTTGTGCCCTTTGTACCTTTTGTGAAAGGAAATTTCTCGAAATTCATACCTTGCTTTTCTTGTAAGTTTTGTAGTCCTTCATTTGATGGGTCGGATGGAGAGTAGGAACAGTAGTCGTCCCCCCATTCTTGGTCCAAACCATCTTCATCAGGCGTCCCGTCAGAGGCATGCGTTCTACAAGTGATGGGCGGGGAAGACCAAGGTGCAGATGCTGCTCGGGGCACACCTTGCGTAGGCGATCCCAATGTACTGAGATCAGTGTTACCGGCAGGGACGTTAGATGGTGAACCGAATGGAATTCTTGGAGAACTGGTAGTAGTTCGTCGTGGACGTGACGCAGCAGCTTTTTTGCCGCTCTTAGTTCCCGCGAATGGGATTGATTCATTGTCAGAATCATCGTCGTTGGCGATCTTCGCTTCCGGCTTGGGCTCTTCGTTCTCTTTGTTGTTGTTGTTGTTGTTGCTGTCCCCTTGAGGAGCATCACGATTGTCTGCCATCACGATCGTAAGCCCCCGGTCGACTGATTCCAATCGACCATCGTTGGTCTCGCGCTTCTTCCCTTTCCGTGCTTTCACCCTCTTCGCGCTGTCGTACTGTTGTTTGCGACGGTGAACGAGCCTCTCCGCTGGAGTCAAGTCCTCGAGACTTTGCCACTGTTGAGGAGGTAAAGTGGGATCTGTACCCCTTTGCTTACGTTTGCGTTCTCGGTCGGCCTTGCGTCTTTTCTCTCTCTGTGCTTTCTTCTTTGTCATTGTACGAAGCAAGTTGCGAAGGTGGTTGGGAGCGAAAAGTTGTTCCGAATGTGGCGCCACAGTTGGTTTTGATGGTTTTCAAATTCTGATTTGTCTCTGCTCGATTTTTTTTGCGTCAACGGTACACGTCACGGTATAACGGTAACGGTACCGGTACCGGTACACGTGCACTAGCTAGATATAGAACCACAGCAAGACGGGGTAATTTTCAGATATTTGTGATATCCGGACGGACGGGGCTACTTCTGTGAGCGGGATCTCTAGTCGATTCCAGTGGCCCGTCTTCTTTTATTCACTGCCTTCTGGGTGCGTGCATGTGAAAACTGATCAGTGGAGTTTGGTGTTCGGGTGTCAGAATTTAAGCTATTTATTTAGTACACATTTTTGTGTAGCATCTTGACCACATAAAAATCAATTCATTGAGGCAGTGGGAATCCCCGGATTTCTCCCCTAGTTGCGAGATTTTCCAACAGCTCAATTTTTCCCACAACTCAATTTTTCCCACAACTCAATTTTGCTTCCCACAACTAGTTGTGGGAATTCCCTCAACAGTTGTGGGAAAACTGTCATTTCTACACAGAAAATCACGTAGGATATGTACTGAGACAAATTTGAAGTTTCCCACAACTCTAATTGTAGTTGTGGGAAGTTTCCCACAACTCAAATTGTTTTATTGGGAATTATGGGAAAACTGTCCGTTCTACGGAAAACTGTCCGTTCTACACACAAAACAACGTTTGATATGTACTGACTAGAAATTAGACAACTACATATGATGTTTCCCAAAAACTCTAATTGTTTTCGTGATATTTCGTGATACATTTAAGGCAAAAAAACGGACAGCTGCGCAACGGAAATTCCCACAACTAGTTGTGGGAAATTCCCACAACTAGTTGTGGGAAATTCCCACAACTAGTTGTAGGAATTTCCCACAACTATTTTTTAAGATTCCTACAACTAGTTGTGGGAATTTTTGGCAAAAATCTGTTCCCACAACTAGTTGTGGGAAATCGCGTTAAATATCGCGGGGACGAAGTAAAATGAAAAGGGGGAATCCCACTGCCTCATTGTCATTTATTGTTAAAAAACTTCTCCCACCAATTGCAGACCCTATACCCTGTACACATATTCAAAAAAGAAATAAGTGAAAGACATCGTAAGAAACTGGTTTGATGCTACAATAATACGTATGGTACAGTACACCGCATATGTGTGCATCGCATGACAGAAATGGGGCTGGCAATGCGCCCCGCAATTATTCCAGAACAAATTCCATCTTCCATTATAGCTGGATACGTGGCTAGAGAATACACCAGTATTTCAACCGCTATCAATATTTCAAAACTTGAACGAAGCTGTCCAGCGAAGTACTCCTAATCCTGATGTTCTGTGCAGCATACTATTAGTGCAGGAAGCGGTGTACGATTTGGCTATTTGTATAATAGGGCAACAACAACAGGCATCATTGCGAAGAAGTGGTGTAGTATTATTACTAGTTGTGTACGCCGTTCCTTGACTGTAGAAACGAATCCATTTGCGTCATATCAGCACCAAAGATTTTCAACCAACGACCACTGTAGGTGAGCCAAACATTGAGCAGTATTGCTTTGGGGTCCTGCTCCTTGCTTCTTCAGGAAAGCGGCGGCTTCTCAAATCGGTCGGTGACGCTTTTGTCCAGCGGGATCGTCCTGAGGGGCAGGAGCACGCTTCAAAGCATTGATATTGGCGGGGACTTCTGCTACTAGTCCATCTCCATTACCATCGCCGACAGGAAAAGCGAAGGGAGCAGGCGAATTAGGGCATGCTGCTTGGAGGTCTACGATGAGCGTGTCCTTCGCCTTCATTTGGGCATCCTTCGCCTTCATTTGGGCATCCTTCGCCTTCATTTGGGCATCCATCACCTTCATTTGGGCATCCATCGCCTTCATTTGGGCATCCATCGCCTTCATTTCGTCATCGTTAGCCTTCATTTTGTCTACGGTTTCGCGAAGACGGCCTTGGAGTTCGTTTTTCTGCGCCCATTCGGCTTGGTAGACTACAAAACTTGCGTCTAGAATTCCTTGAAGTTCTGCGTGCTTCTTTTCGACCGCTTGTTGGAACGCTTGGCGGTACTGGCCTTTTAAGACTGTTTTGATTTCCTTGATCTTATTGCCATCTTGTTTCAGGGCGTCTTGGTGTTCCAGGTCCTCCTCCGTGGTCTCCTTTCTCGCCAGCCTGCCGTGCATCGCAGCTAGTTCCTGCGCAAGAGGGATTGCATTGCGAAGTTCTGGAATGTCACGGCCAACTAGATATTCCAAGTAAACAATACAATCTTTCACTGATTTGGGCAACTTTGCCCGATCCGTGATAAGTCCATCCTCTCCAAATAGGCGTTTGAATTCCGAGTTTGCCAAGAGAGGTTGGAAATGCTTGTTTTTTGTAAGGCCCCAGCGTTCGAGGGCCACAGATAGCCTGTAGATAGCTTCCGGGATCTCTGTGTATTTTAGGCTTTTGTCGATGGTAATCCAGAATCTCAATGATTCACGGGTAATGTTTTTGAGTGGTTCAAGATCACTGTGGCTGTTGAATAGCATAATAGGGGTTAGGCCAATTTGAAAGTAAAACATATCATGAACGCAAGCATTAACCATGGAATGTGCAATCGGCACAATGTACGTACAGTGCAAACTGAATCAGACCCAAGCGTGCTAAAATAGCGGTAACTTCGAGCTTTGTTTGTGTTTTCGCGTTGTGTCTTTGGCGATCCTGTTCGACTTCCGCAAATGGGAAGTAAGGATTCTTGTACCCTTCGCCCCCCCTTGGGGACTCCAATTCTTCTAGTCTCTTCCTGAGCCCCTCGAGATGCCCCTGCAAGCTACGTTCCATCTCACAAAGCTCTGCTCTGGTTTTCCAAGAAAGATGTTTTACCAATTCTTCGAGTTGCTCTCGGTTCATCATCGTCTTGCTTCCAGGACCCGCCGGTAGAGTGCGCTCACCACCAGTAAGTACTTCGCTGTAAGAGACGAATTTTCTTTCGTCTATCTGGATTTTCTGTGTTGTCGGTTCCTTTTCCACGCAGATCATCATTGCAGACGATGGTGAGTAAACTTGATTGAAGGCTTGGTTGCAAAATCACCAACATATATCCATATGAACAAACAATGAACTTACCATGTCCATGTTGTTATGCTGTCAAGAATAGTGGTTGCGCAGCGAAGCGACAGAAAGAAAAGATAATGCTGTGAGGGCTCGTCGTGGTCAAGTGGTGACAGTCCTTAATATTTTTGGCAACAAGGCTTGGTTGTCTCTCTTCAAGTGGTTGATATCATCCTCAATGTCTTCTTCAAAGCTTTGTCCTTTGTCATCGTCAGCGACGAAGACGAGGTCGAAGCGTCAAAGGAGACATCACCAACAGCGGAAGAATAAGCACTATTTTTACTCCTCATTATTCTTTCATTCCACCACCTTTTGGCTGCTGTCATTGTTTGAAGCAAAGCAAAGCCTGGTGACTGCTTCGTAATTTGGCATTGTTGATGCTGTTGCTGCAAGTCTGTGACGGGTTCACTTACCGTTTGCTCGACTCTTTTCGTTATTCCTTTCAATCTTGGTACGGCGGGTTTTCTCAGCCAAATTCAAATATTTGTGATCAAAATAAGACTTGCGAATATAACCGCACAAAATTGGCCCTTGCGGTACGACTTGTACGACTTTTTTTAGAAATGGCGCGGCATTTGCAAGTTTCCGCGTGGAATCAATCCATTGATTTGATTGGTTTATCAGTTATGCGGCTGCCGGGATGCCCACTAAGGTCAATCTTCTTCACAAAGTCTTTAGATCATTCCTTCCTCAACAAATGGCATCATCAACCGGCAGTGGCACCGTCGCCTTCAGCCGCGGGATTCTCTCCCATGCATGACACCGCTACCAGGCCCACATAACCCTTTTTTTCTTCTTCATGGAATGAAAAAAATCAGTCCAGCAACAACGGGCCGCTTTCAAACCGGTCGTTCATTGAAGTTATCGGAAATCACGGCCACAGATTTCAATGAGACTTGAACGGTACACTGCTGCTCCTCCTTCCAAAAAGAGTTCCAGAATGCCACAAGATGGTATGGAGGGGTTTTCACATTTGCTCAAAGATTCTGGAATCAAACCCAAAATCAAGAGGCTGGCAAACAAAGCAAAGAAGAAGGAGCAGATCAGACCATAGGCGAAAAACAAGAAATCCTTCTAGAAACGGGAACCAGGAGCAGAAGCAGAAGCAAATCTCTTCCCAAATTCGATTTCAAAACAAATGAATCATTGGGCAAGACTCGTAAGAGTGGCCGCTTGACCCCCGTTCGTGGCAACGGTGATTATTCCAAAACTGCCTTGTTGTCTACAATTGCATTCGTGTTCTTCGCAAGTGGAATTTTAATCTACAAGCAACCCGCGAGAAACGTTATTGTACCTTATTCCTCGTGATAGATTCCTTGATTAATATTCGTGTTCCATCCTGGCCATTCTTGTCGCTAGTCTTGACCTGTTATGACTACTACGGTCGTCCAAGACTGCTGAGAGGCAATTCAGTGGAGGAATAAATAACCAAGAATAGACTCAAGAAAAGACTCTTCTAATATATTTGATTGCTATAGCATATGATTCTATATACACACCCGAATGCGTGCCAAGGACGTTCATCACAAAACGAAAAACGGTGGCACTGGAAACACAAAAACAATTTCAGTCATCTTGAGAGTCGAGTCGTCTGAAATAATGGCCATCTCGACAAGAAGATGGTCCGTTTCCCTCCAATTGCTCAATCACGCTTTCCTTGCTTGATTCTTTCACAAGCTGGGCAAGCCTGTTGAGGGATGAGGAAAGCATTGCGACAATTTGGACAGATCCACTCAAACGGATTGCGCAAAGGCCCTAGTCTTGCATTTACTTCGATTAGCGCTTCTCTTGCGCTGGCATAAGCCTCATAAATCCAACTAGTACCATTGGTTGAGTCAAACGCAATGTAGTCGGGAGCATGGCTGGGGGGCGCGGCAACATTCTGGTTGAGTTCAAATGTACGGTTGCCAGGAATGAAAACGAATGGAGTCGTCTCAAACAGAATTGGAGAGGACAGGGCGGCGAGAGAATCGCCAGTCCTTTGTTCCTGGATGGCAGACGACTGCATCTGAAGTCGGCAGCGCTTTTGTGGAATGCAACTGTCAGGAGAACCAGCAGCAGCACGCTTCAAAGTAGTAGTGCTCTTGGTAGCTTTGGTGGAAGGTTGTTTGGCAGCAGACGACGGTTTCTCAGATCGCCGACGCTTTTGTGGAGTGGCACCGTCAGGAGTAAAGGCAGCACCACCACGCTTCAAAGTGGTTGTGCCCTTTGTACCTTTTGTGAAAGGAAATTTCTCGAAATTCATACCTTGCTTTTCTTGTAAGTTTTGTAGTCCTTCATTTGATGGGTCGGATGGAGAGTAGGAACAGTAGTCGTCCCCCCATTCTTGGTCCAAACCATCTTCATCAGGCGTCCCGTCAGAGGCATGCGTTCTACAAGTGATGGGCGGGGAAGACCAAGGTGCAGATGCTGCTCGGGGCACACCTTGCGTAGGCGATCCCAATGTACTGAGATCAGTGTTACCGGCAGGGACGTTAGATGGTGAACCGAATGGAATTCTTGGAGAACTGGTAGTAGTTCGTCGTGGACGTGACGCAGCAGCTTTTTTGCCGCTCTTAGTTCCCGCGAATGGGATTGATTCATTGTCAGAATCATCGTCGTTGGCGATCTTCGCTTCCGGCTTGGGCTCTTCGTTCTCTTTGTTGTTGTTGTTGTTGTTGCTGTCCCCTTGAGGAGCATCACGATTGTCTGCCATCACGATCGTAAGCCCCCGGTCGACTGATTCCAATCGACCATCGTTGGTCTCGCGCTTCTTCCCTTTCCGTGCTTTCACCCTCTTCGCGCTGTCGTTCTGTTGTTTGAGACGGTGAACGACCCTCTCCGCTGGAGTCAAGTCCTTGAGACTTTTCCACTGTTGACGAGGTAAAGTGGGATCTGTACCCCTTTGCTTACGTTTGCGTTCTCGGTCGGCCTTGCGTCTTTTCTCTGTCTGTGCTTTCTTCTTTGTCATTGTACGAAGCAAGTTGCGAAGGTGGTTGGGAGCGAAAAGTTGTTCCGAATGTGGCGCCACAGTTGGTTTTGATGGTTTTCAAATTCTGATTTGTCTGCTCGATTTTTTTTGCTTCAACGGTACACGTCACGGTATAACGGTAACGGTACCGGTACCGGTACACGTGCACTAGCTAGATATAGAACCACAGCAAGACGGGGTAATTTTCAGATATTTGTGATATCCGGACGGACGGGGCTACTTCTGTGAGCGGGATCTCTAGTCGATTCCAGTGGCCCGTCTTCTTTTATTATTCCTGGGGCAGCTTCACTGCCTTCTGGGTGCGTGCATGTGAAAACTGATCAGCATCTTGACCACATAAAAATCAATTCATTGTCATTTATTGTTAAAAAACTTCTCCCACCAATTGCAGACCCTATACCCTGTACACATATTCAAAAAAGAAATAAGTGAAAGACATCGTAAGAAACTGGTTTGATGCTACAATAATACGTATGGTACAGTACACCGCATATGTGTGCATCGCATGACAGAAATGGGGCTGGCAATGCGCCCCGCAATTATTCCAGAACAAATTCCATCTTCCATTATAGCTGGATACGTGGCTAGAGAATACACCAGTATTTCAACCGCTATCAATATTTCAAAACTTGAACGAAGCTGTCCAGCGAAGTACTCCTAATCCTGATGTTCTGTGCAGCATACTATTAGTGCAGGAAGCGGTGTACGATTTGGCTATTTGTATAATAGGGCAACAACAACAGGCATCATTGCGAAGAAGTGGTGTAGTATTATTACTAGTTGTGTACGCCGTTCCTTGACTGTAGAAACGAATCCATTTGCGTCATATCAGCACCAAAGATTTTCAACCAACGACCACTGTAGGTGAGCCAAACATTGAGCAGTATTGCTTTGGGGTCCTGCTCCTTGCTTCTTCAGGAAAGCGGCGGCTTCTCAAATCGGTCGGTGACGCTTTTGTCCAGCGGGATCGTCCTGAGGGGCAGGAGCACGCTTCAAAGCATTGATATTGGCGGGGACTTCTGCTACTAGTCCATCTCCATTACCATCGCCGACAGGAAAAGCGAAGGGAGCAGGCGAATTAGGGCATGCTGCTTGGAGGTCTACGATGAGCGTGTCCTTCGCCTTCATTTGGGCATCCTTCGCCTTCATTTGGGCATCCTTCGCCTTCATTTGGGCATCCATCACCTTCATTTGGGCATCCATCGCCTTCATTTGGGCATCCATCGCCTTCATTTCGTCATCGTTAGCCTTCATTTTGTCTACGGTTTCGCGAAGACGGCCTTGGAGTTCGTTTTTCTGCGCCCATTCGGCTTGGTAGACTACAAAACTTGCGTCTAGAATTCCTTGAAGTTCTGCGTGCTTCTTTTCGACCGCTTGTTGGAACGCTTGGCGGTACTGGCCTTTTAAGACTGTTTTGATTTCCTTGATCTTATTGCCATCTTGTTTCAGGGCGTCTTGGTGTTCCAGGTCCTCCTCCGTGGTCTCCTTTCTCGCCAGCCTGCCGTGCATCGCAGCTAGTTCCTGCGCAAGAGGGATTGCATTGCGAAGTTCTGGAATGTCACGGCCAACTAGATATTCCAAGTAAACAATACAATCTTTCACTGATTTGGGCAACTTTGCCCGATCCGTGATAAGTCCATCCTCTCCAAATAGGCGTTTGAATTCCGAGTTTGCCAAGAGAGGTTGGAAATGCTTGTTTTTTGTAAGGCCCCAGCGTTCGAGGGCCACAGATAGCCTGTAGATAGCTTCCGGGATCTCTGTGTATTTTAGGCTTTTGTCGATGGTAATCCAGAATCTCAATGATTCACGGGTAATGTTTTTGAGTGGTTCAAGATCACTGTGGCTGTTGAATAGCATAATAGGGGTTAGGCCAATTTGAAAGTAAAACATATCATGAACGCAAGCATTAACCATGGAATGTGCAATCGGCACAATGTACGTACAGTGCAAACTGAATCAGACCCAAGCGTGCTAAAATAGCGGTAACTTCGAGCTTTGTTTGTGTTTTCGCGTTGTGTCTTTGGCGATCCTGTTCGACTTCCGCAAATGGGAAGTAAGGATTCTTGTACCCTTCGCCCCCCCTTGGGGACTCCAATTCTTCTAGTCTCTTCCTGAGCCCCTCGAGATGCCCCTGCAAGCTACGTTCCATCTCACAAAGCTCTGCTCTGGTTTTCCAAGAAAGATGTTTTACCAATTCTTCGAGTTGCTCTCGGTTCATCATCGTCTTGCTTCCAGGACCCGCCGGTAGAGTGCGCTCACCACCAGTAAGTACTTCGCTGTAAGAGACGAATTTTCTTTCGTCTATCTGGATTTTCTGTGTTGTCGGTTCCTTTTCCACGCAGATCATCATTGCAGACGATGGTGAGTAAACTTGATTGAAGGCTTGGTTGCAAAATCACCAACATATATCCATATGAACAAACAATGAACTTACCATGTCCATGTTGTTATGCTGTCAAGAATAGTGGTTGCGCAGCGAAGCGACAGAAAGAAAAGATAATGCTGTGAGGGCTCGTCGTGGTCAAGTGGTGACAGTCCTTAATATTTTTGGCAACAAGGCTTGGTTGTCTCTCTTCAAGTGGTTGATATCATCCTCAATGTCTTCTTCAAAGCTTTGTCCTTTGTCATCGTCAGCGACGAAGACGAGGTCGAAGCGTCAAAGGAGACATCACCAACAGCGGAAGAATAAGCACTATTTTTACTCCTCATTATTCTTTCATTCCACCACCTTTTGGCTGCTGTCATTGTTTGAAGCAAAGCAAAGCCTGGTGACTGCTTCGTAATTTGGCATTGTTGATGCTGTTGCTGCAAGTCTGTGACGGGTTCACTTACCGTTTGCTCGACTCTTTTCGTTATTCCTTTCAATCTTGGTACGGCGGGTTTTCTCAGCCAAATTCAAATATTTGTGATCAAAATAAGACTTGCGAATATAACCGCACAAAATTGGCCCTTGCGGTACGACTTGTACGACTTTTTTTAGAAATGGCGCGGCATTTGCAAGTTTCCGCGTGGAATCAATCCATTGATTTGATTGGTTTATCAGTTATGCGGCTGCCGGGATGCCCACTAAGGTCAATCTTCTTCACAAAGTCTTTAGATCATTCCTTCCTCAACAAATGGCATCATCAACCGGCAGTGGCACCGTCGCCTTCAGCCGCGGGATTCTCTCCCATGCATGACACCGCTACCAGGCCCACATAACCCTTTTTTTCTTCTTCATGGAATGAAAAAAATCAGTCCAGCAACAACGGGCCGCTTTCAAACCGGTCGTTCATTGAAGTTATCGGAAATCACGGCCACAGATTTCAATGAGACTTGAACGGTACACTGCTGCTCCTCCTTCCAAAAAGAGTTCCAGAATGCCACAAGATGGTATGGAGGGGTTTTCACATTTGCTCAAAGATTCTGGAATCAAACCCAAAATCAAGAGGCTGGCAAACAAAGCAAAGAAGAAGGAGCAGATCAGACCATAGGCGAAAAACAAGAAATCCTTCTAGAAACGGGAACCAGGAGCAGAAGCAGAAGCAAATCTCTTCCCAAATTCGATTTCAAAACAAATGAATCATTGGGCAAGACTCGTAAGAGTGGCCGCTTGACCCCCGTTCGTGGCAACGGTGATTATTCCAAAACTGCCTTGTTGTCTACAATTGCATTCGTGTTCTTCGCAAGTGGAATTTTAATCTACAAGCAACCCGCGAGAAACGTTATTGTACCTTATTCCTCGTGATAGATTCCTTGATTAATATTCGTGTTCCATCCTGGCCATTCTTGTCGCTAGTCTTGACCTGTTATGATTACTACGGTCGTCCAAGACTGCTGAGAGGCAATTCAGTGGAGGAATAAATAACCAAGAATAGACTCAAGAAAAGACTCTTCTAATATGTTTGATTGCTATAGCATATGATTCTATATACACACCCGAATGCGTGCCAAAGGACGTTCATCACAAAACGAAAAACGGTGACATTGGAAACACAAAAACAATTTCAGTCATCTATAATGGCCATCTCAACAAGAAGATGGTCCATTTCCCTCCAATTGCTCAATCACGCTTTCCTTGCTTGATTCTTTCACAAGCTGGGCACGCCTTTTGAGGGATGAGGAAAGTATTGTGACAATTTGGACAGATCCACTCAAACGGATTGCGCAAAGGCCCTAGTCTTGCATTTACTTCGATTGCCGCTTCTCTTGCGCTGGCATAAGCCTCATAAATCCAACTAGTACCATTGGTTGAGTCAAACGCAATGTAGTCGGGAGCATGGCTGGGGGGCGCAGCAACATTCTGGTTGAGTTCGAATGTACGGTTGCCAGGAATAAAAACGAATGGAGTCGTCTCAAACAGAATTGGAGAGAACAGGGCGGCGGGAGAATCGCCAGTCCTTTGTTCCTGGATGGCAGACGACTGCATCTGAAGTCGGCAGCGCTTTTGTGGAGTGCAACTGTCAGGAGAACCAGCAGCAGCACGCTTCAAAGTAGTAGTGCTCTTGGTAGCTTTGGTGGAAGGTTGTTTGGCAGCAGACGACGGTTTCTCAGATCGCCGACGCTTTTGTGGAGTGGCACCGTCAGGAGTAAAGGCAGCACCACCACGCTTCAAAGTGGTTGTGCCCTTTGTACCTTTTGTGAAAGGAAATTTCTCGAAATTCATACCTTGCTTTTCTTGTAAGTTTTGTAGTCCTTCATTTGATGGGTCGGATGGAGAGTAGGAACAGTAGTCGTCCCCCCATTCTTGGTCCAAACCATCTTCATCAGGCGTCCCGTCAGAGGCATGCGTTCTACAAGTGATGGGCGGGGAAGACCAAGGTGCAGATGCTGCTCGGGGCACACCTTGCGTAGGCGATCCCAATGTACTGAGATCAGTGTTACCGGCAGGGACGTTAGATGGTGAACCGAATGGAATTCTTGGAGAACTGGTAGTAGTTCGTCGTGGACGTGACGCAGCAGCTTTTTTGCCGCTCTTAGTTCCCGCGAATGGGATTGATTCATTGTCAGAATCATCGTCGTTGGCGATCTTCGCTTCCGGCTTGGGCTCTTCGTTCTCTTTGTTGTTGTTGTTGTTGTTGCTGTCCCCTTGAGGAGCATCACGATTGTCTGCCATCACGATCGTAAGCCCCCGGTCGACTGATTCCAATCGACCATCGTTGGTCTCGCGCTTCTTCCCTTTCCGTGCTTTCACCCTCTTCGCGCTGTCGTACTGTTGTTTGAGACGGTGAACGACCCTCTCCGCTGGAGTCAAGTCCTCGAGACTTTTCCACTGTTGACGAGGTAAAGTGGGATCTGTACCCCTTTGCTTACGTTTGCGTTCTCGGTCGGCCTTGCGTCTTTTCTCTGTCTGTGCTTTCTTCTTTGTCATTGTACGAAGCTAGTTGCGAAGGTGGTTGGGAGCGAAAAGTTGTTCCGAATGTGGCGCCACAGTTGGTTTTGATGGTTTTCAAATTCTGATTTGTCTGCTCGATTTTTTTTGCCTCAACGGTACACGTCACGGTATAACGGTACCGGTACCGGTACCGGTACACGTGCACTAGCTAGATATCGAACCACAGCAAGACGGGGTAATTTTCAGATATTTGTGATATCCGGACGGACGGGGCTACTTCTGTGAGCGGGATCTCTAGTCGATTCCCGCTTGGAATGCTCGTCCAGCCGTTAAAAATTCTCGCTATACTATTTGCCAAAATAGACCTCGCGAAATTTGTTTGGCCACGCAACCCGCTTGAGAAACGATGACACCCCGTCTGTATAGTCCTTCCGGCGTCCGTAGCACTAAAGCTGTACCCTAAACCATTGAGATGTGTTCGCGCTAACTGAAAGCGACGGAATCTGACAAAACGGAATCTAATTATTCAGCAGTACTGCTGAAAAATTCAGCAGTCGATTAGGGAATTCAGCAGAGTTTTTCAGCAGTTCGCTAAATTTTAAAATTCCCTTTGTCATTCCCGTTACATTAATCGCCAATCAATCGTCAGATATAAACCACCATCAACACCTTCTTGACAACGCCTCCGACAAGCAACACAACCTGCCAGAGCAGCTCATTAATCGACCATGATAATCCAATTTTCTGAAGATGAGTTCCTGAAACTAGGAACGTTTCTAGGAAGCAGCTGGAGCAACGAACAAATCGATAGATAATCCAAGACTAGGCGACAAAGCTTCTTCACGGACGATTTCTATGCCGATGCAAAGACTGTGAAGCAGATGTTCAAAGATGTCCAGCAAGAGCCAACGAAGATTATGCTGGGTAACTGCACGGTAGCCAAAGACACGGACGGCGAATGGCATGGGTCACCAGCAGAAGCCCCTTAGAGTTGATGTCGAAAATGGCAAGCACAAGGACATGAAGCCCAAAATGCTTCACCAACAACGCGATGAGTATAAAGCGTGTGACTTAAAGCTTTCCGGGCCCACATCTATCAGGAGACTAGGCGAAACAACGTAACGTGACTGACTGGACTGCCGAGTCCGGAGCAGATATATTAGAGCGATCGAAGGCCAACGGTCGTCGCCAATCTCAAGCCCAAGATCAATCATCTATCATCTACTCACAGCTGCTTCAGACCCCCGTAAATACACCCCAATAGCAAAATCAATCACCGTCTATCATGTCCAACAGTAGCTACATCAATGCACTAGTACGCTCTCTCCACGATGAGAGTCAGGAGCACAACGTTATCACGTTAAACGAGATTCGAGGTGCTTTGTCTTTTTGATGGTCGGTCAAAGCGTTTGCATTCAATACCGCAGCAAGACAAAACAAGAAGGTATCGATATTTTCGTTGTTACTACCTACTTGCTATTCTGATGTAAGTACTTTGTGTGAAACGTTGGATTGGAAGACTAGTAATCCTGTCAAATGAGATTTAGAACATTTCTAATTTATCTCCTATTCTATGGTCGAAGAACCATCCAACCGAGAACGGGGTCGCTCATATCAATCCTCTGGTTCATGATTGACTTGTGAACATGGCGTCTCCACTCTCGACCATACCGGGTTGCATTAATACCATTTCGGAATTGAAATAAAGTTGGCAGGAAATCGCCAGTGAAGAATTCTGATTATATTGAAATCTTTTGCCGCCTTCTACAAGCCGAAACAGTGTCTTTGCCAGGCCTTCTGTCATCATGATTCCATTATGATGCCCAGCTGCACCAAATGCTGAGTAGGGGACAATCGGTCGGCCATCATATTCCCCCTTCCCAACCCTTGCGTGCAAAGGCACCATGCCGTCATAGCAGGAAGGTGATGGCCATTTTCCAAGCCAATCATTTAAGACTTCATAGTACTGATTGCACTTTTGAAAGTACTTTTCCCACATGAGATCATTGACCTCACGGGCCCATGCTCCAAAAAGGACATGATTGTCTATTTGCAGTGACAACCGACGAAGCATGACTCGATGCACCCCAGGTCCTTGTGGGGGGAAGACAAACTCAAAGCTTTCTGCAATGCTAGTGGGAAGCATTCCAAGGAAAGAAGGATCAGTTGAACTAAACATAGCCTTACAATCTTTACAGAGCAAGCGATGGCAATAGACCCATCGGATCTCATTGTGCTCAAATGCTGGACGCCAAGTCTGTGCGTTGTGTTCTATGGAACAAGATTTGCAGTCGGGGCACTTGTAATCAAACTGAATGCTGTGGAACTGTTCCTTGGGTTTCCAAATCCGAACCATATCTGGCAAATAGAACTTGTCTGGAGCTGGCGACGACCCAAGGCCACAAGCCAATGGTGACTCAAGCGTCCGATAGTAGTATTGGCGGCACTTCCAGAGGCCATTGTTTTCAATCTGACCCTTTGCATGATCAAGAAATGCTTGCAATGGCGTGCACTTGGGAGGCATAATCGCCCTTCTGTAGTATTTGGCTTCATTGTCTGTAGTAGGCGAAGTGTCATAGGTGACATTCCAATTGTCGGATGTAGAGTCAATGATACCAAGCGTAGGCACATTTTTCCCTTTGGGCATTGACGGGTGATCGAGCACTTCTGCAAGCATTCTTTGCGATTCTTCAAAGTTTTTTTCGCATACCGGGTGATCTGTCCATTTGGGAGGTTCCACTGCTTTCTTTCTCTGTTTGAAAAAATCATCGGTGCGTCGTTGTTGTTCCCCTTTTTCCTCTTCCAATCGTTTCTTGTACTTCCTTGATTTTCTATCTCCTCCGGCCAAATGACCTGATTTGTTCTTGCTTCCTGAAGGCCGTCCTCGTGCCATGGTCCAAGGCCTCTTTCTTACTTCTCGTTGTCACCAAAGTTACGTCGTATTTGAGCTGCGACTTGTGTTTTGTTGTGTGTAAAATTTAATTTTCTTGTCTGTAGCATTGGTGAGTTTCTCCGTGACGAACAACATTTTTGATTCGCCTTTTTTGAATCTAAGTAACCTGGATTTGGCACCAGCTCCCGTCACGTACCGTATGTAGAAACTGGTAGACGCAAGCAAATTTGTTGACCAAGATTGTATGATACCTGCCGAAGTTTTGGGTCGTATTAAAAGGCACAACAAGATGTGACACAAAAAGGTTAACTAAATAAATATTTCTTTCCCATTTTGAATTTAAAATTTCTGACACCCGAACACCGAATCCCACCCCATTCCAAATTCGCATGCACACGCACAAAGTAGTAAGCAAAGCTGCCCGTGGAAAAGAAGACGGGCCACTTTGCAGATTATTTGTCTATTTAATTAACGGTGGTGATTCGGAGTGGTCTCGTCGTTTGCAGCGTGAAGATAACACTTCCGACCGAACTGCTGTGAATGGTCTAGCAGCATCATTGCCAAAGGCAGGGGGGTCACCGTTTGCGCCCGAAGCAGGACAATTGGCTTGATTGTGACCTGAAGACGGCCCAGGAAGTCGAGCTACTGGCGAAACAGGAGCCTTGTTTTCAGCTTCTGGGTCATTCAAACCGAGAGAGATTCCTACCTGTAGCTGGAGTTTAGAGGCAGCAGGTTTCTTCTCTGAAGCAAGATCTGGTTGGACACCAGTCGAACTATTGCGCCCATCCGAGTGAAAACAGTGGATGAAAATCCAGTGTAGTGTGTATCATGAATATTGTCCCGTCAACCATATCATCGACGAAGCGCTTGAAGAGGTCAAGAGATATAATATGAAGTATCCGAAATTTTGATTGGGTTGTGGTACCAGTACTGCCGAATGCCTGCATCAAGGTCGGAAGTGATGATCTTTGACAAGGTCCTCAAAGAACCGTTGCAACATCTTCTGGACGAACGATTCTTGGCTCTTGCAACTTAAGGATGGCAAAGAAGCGATTGACTATAAGTTCAAGGAAGTTAGAGAGCGAACCGACACCTCAGAGCCATTCCACATCGAGGTACCGCTATATGCGTCTTCGAAAAGATTAGAACAAAGGTACAAAGCCATGCTGCGCCCAAAAACCAACAAGACCACCTTGCCCACTCAAGAATAGAGCTGCTGGTCGCTTGCTCAAGCAGGCTCATATGCTTCTCTATGGCAACAACACCCAGCCGATTCATTCCGCTTTGCTCTCTTTTCAAAACTATCTTTCTTAAAAGATTCCTGTGGTTGCGCGCGTCCTATTCGAGAATATTTCCATGAAGGATACTGCACCAAAAAGAGAGCTACCCACTACTCGTGTCCTTTCCACCGCTACCTACTGGTATCTTGCTTCACTGCAACACGTCTATGAAATGATACTTACTGTCGTAAAACTTTTTACCGGTATGTGAAGGAAGGAATGAATTACTACGTGCAAACACTTATATCAGTTCTTCCAAGAATGAACTGTACCGTGTCGCAATTTTTTCCAAGGATGAACTGTACCGTGTCGCCACCCAGCGAAATGCAATGCATCAAGTTCATGGCTGGGTCTTTTCCTTCTGTCGCAACTGACAGACCAAGTCTGGTGCCCGCATTGCTCATTACGACAAGCTCTTTTGATTTGGAATATGCCTGGCTGTCTTGTTTAGTGAGAGACTAGCATCAACGAAGATAACCCAACACCTCGAGCAGTGAGTGGTCGAAAGATAACGCGAAACCATGCCTATGCCTTTGGACCGCAAAATGAAACTTTGGTATCAGGTTTGGGTGGACAAGAACGTATTGAAACTTGCCGCAACCATCATCGTAAGCTGGCGAAAAAGCCTTTATTTGTTGCTTTCCGATCGCATCCTTTATTGTGCTCATTGCCTTTTGGATTTTTGAGGATCCCTGCCTGTTGCCAATGGCCCATCTTATACATAATTGTAGCACCATAGCTACCGGTATGGATGACTAGATTGACAATACTATAATTGTAGCTAGAATAACACTACTGATAGATGCATATGCTTGAATACAAGTCTATTAGTTGATTACAGTATGGTTCTATGCTATATATATCCGAATTTCGCAAAAGTTAGCGGGTAAGGGAACATATTCTACAGAAGCAAGAGTCGCTCTTGGACGTCTCATGCTTTGCTCTGCACGTCAGTGAGCCTAGGAAGACATCTAAGGATGTCCTCCTGTGTTACGATAGAGGCGGCGGGGGCTGGATTTGGATTTGGATTTGGATCTGAATCCAGTTCCAACGCTGAACACTGGTGGTGTGTCAGAATTGAATCGACTTGGGGGTCCTTGATTCTCCTGATCCTCTTCCATAGGTTCAGGGAAAAGTTGACGACTGAATGGTGTCGGTTGCACTGGAGTGTTGTTGTTGTGGGTTCCCAATGGAGTGGGTGCTGTGGGGGCACCACTTGTAGACGGAGAATTGACTCGAACTCGTTCGGAATTAGTAGCTGCTGGCTTGGAATCTTCTTCCTCATCATCGTCGCCCGAGGGATTGAGCGCTGTTGCGACCAAAGGCAAAGACCCGGGAATGTTCTGCGATACCTCTTCTCCCCGTTGAAGTAAAGTCTCGCTAGATTTGGTTGCACTCTCTTCAGCTTTAAGATTGTTCTCCAATACTTTTTGCTTCATTTCCAATAATTTTTGCTGCATTTCCAATACTTTTTGCTGCATTTCCAATACTTCTTGCTCCAATCTTTCGCGTTTGGTATTACTCGTTAGTAATCTCTTGTGCTCCTTTTTCCTTTGAATGAAGAGCAAGACTGATCTAATTTCTTCTTCAGTCTTTGCGGCTGCCACCAATTCGGCGTATGTGGAATGACCATAAGGAGTGTTGAAGCCGTGGTTGAGATGAGAATTGAATTGAAGCGAAGGTGTCCTAGGAGTGGTACTGAAGGTTTGTTCTGGGGTTTGTCCTGCATGAGCATGACCGTAACCAAACTCGTTTGGATTGGATTGTTGCGAGAAAGGATTACCACCATGAGGGCTGCTCACGAATCCACCTGACTGATAATTGTTTCGAGTTGCAAAGCCGTTGCCGTTGGTTGCTGCAAAAGGCTGGTTTGGGACGCCATAGCCACCTGCTGTGGAGAATGGCGACTGGTTGTTGGGGGCCGTTCCATAAGAACCGTTGGCGGCAGCAAATCCAGGATTCGCGAATGTCGACTGGTTTGGGACACCATTGCCGCCTGGTGTGAAGAATGGCGACTGACCAGCAGCATGATGAGCTTGACTCATGAAAGACCAGTCAGATGGACCAGCAGCAGAAGGATTGTTTGGCAACTTCATCTGTTTGGATGCAAGTTTTGCTGCTTTCACTTCTGCCCTGCGTTCTCGTCTCCGTTTGGCACGATGGGCTTTCTTTTGCGCCTCAGTCTTCTTTTTAAGACTTTTTCACCTTCGAACAGGTAAATTGGGATTTGTTTTGGTCCTTTTACGAGCCCACGATCGTTTAGGTCTCTCGATGCCTCAAGCTTTGCTTCTTTCTGTTCCGAAGTTGTATATAAAAGCAAGTGCAAGTTCAGTTGTGTGAAAACGAAGATTCTTGAAAATCTAGAGCCAACGGAAAGTTCGTTGGACATGCGATTATTTTTGAGTCTGAAGTCTCACGGTGACAATAATTGGAGAGCGACACAAAAGGGGTCACATCACGATTGATTTGTTGGTACGTGTACCACCACACGCCAGTATACACAATTTACCCGTACGCTTCGTACTGACCCGCGCTAAGATTTGAAAACCGTTCCGTACCGAGCGGTTTTCATGTGCTGTGAATTATCGCGCGTTTCGCGTGTTTATTGACGGTTTCGATTTCTCTTTTGTAAATGCCCGAATTTGTAAAATCGGCACATACAGTACATATTCATCTGTAACTATAGCAGAAACATACAATGACTCGACATCAGATCTAGAGGCACCACAGCACCGATTGGCACAGTTTGTTCCTCACAGAATGGCATTGAAACAAGGGAATGACGCCCTCAATTTTAAGCGTCAGTCGTCCCACATTATTGACCAGAAATATGCCAGAGTTCCATGTTATTGTCTCGCTACGGTGTATGCTTTGATATTATCGGTTCCGTTTTTGTCCAATACAGCAATTCTACTGTTCAGGTTATCTGTCGACCAAAACTGTCGTCGAAGTACCCATGGGTCCCAATATATTATTAGTATGGATCCATTGGGAGTCAGAAGGGCCTTGTCACAGGGACATAAATGACGGAAGTGGACTTGAAATTGGAGCACACGATTCTACAAAAAAATAGTAACAAGTTGGAAATAGGGAGTCGAAAGATTGCGCTTGAAAGTGCGACCTAGATCGAAGCAAGAAATCCAAAACAGTTTTGCTATGATCGCACCGGTGCTGTTCCAGAAACACGTCGAGACTTTCGATACCAGTACACCGTCGGCAACTGCACCGACCCATTCGCTTCGCAACCACCGGTCGCATCTTCTGGCAGTCCTCGCGAAGAAACCACAGGGAACAAAAGGCAAATGGAAGATGCATCCACCACTGCTTAAGCTTTTGCCGATCAACAGACTCAGTTTCACAGCACGACAACGACGACATCACTTCAAGCACTTCCTAGACGCACCTCCAAAGCATGATGATTCACTCATTCGTCCACCAATTGAGATATTCCAGTCTTGCTGCACAGTTAAAAAAATGCTCATACAGTAGAACCATCCTGTAGTAATCAATTATAAATAGTATCAGCTTTTGTAGGTATATTCATCTAAGCCAGTACTACAATTATGGTTTCGTCGTCGTAGCGGCATCCGTTGCGAATAACTGCCTTCATTCTGCTCTAATTATGTCTTACCGGTAGGTAGATAGCTAGGTCCGCGGTACCCTCAAGATTGAATTCCTCTTAGTAGCATACTCCGCATACTGTACTCTTTCCGTTCCTGGACAACCGTAGTAATCAAAATAGAACACTACGACTCAATGTGTCTATTGAACATGCATCTACATACGATCGGTTACTTATACATCATAGCAATGCAGCAGAACAAGACCGTGCTGCCTACCACTTGGGTGCATCGGAATCCAGCGGACCAAGACTCTCTCGAAGAAATTGCAAACTTTGTCGTCTCTTGTTGCTGCCATTTGTACTACCCGAAGAGAATTCAGTACTCGGTTTGTAAACAATTAGCCCCTGGCCAGTTGAAATAGTCTCTGAAATGGAATTCCGGCGTTGTCGACGGTTGCTGCGTGGTTTGGAATGAGATACGCGGGGTGTGGATTGAATCTCCTGATGAATGTAGCGTTGCTTTTGTTGCACAGCAAAGTCACTGCAATCATCATCGTCATGATTGTAATTCAAGCGACCACTCTTACCACTAGTCTCGCCCATTGATTCATTCATTTCCAAAAAGAAGTCGGGGAGAGAATTGCGTCTGCTGGGGGGTGCCTTTTCTAGAATACTTCTTGTGCGGCGATGGGCGGATCTTGTTTGTCGAGGCGAAGTCAAAGTCTTGGTTTTTGGCGAAGTCCAAGATTCTTTGGGCAAATGTGGGAACTCCTCCATAGCCTCTTGCGGCATTGCCACTCTTTCTGGAAGCGATAATTGCCGTGATGCCATCCTCGGTCGCATCTTCCTTATTTGAGGAGATGAGTTCAAGTCCAGCGCTGCTGTTTCTGATAACTTCACCGAGACACGAGGATTGATGGATGGTTTCGAAAGAGAGCCATTGCTAAATTGCTTCCTTCCCTCCATGGAAGAACGGCGGCGTTGCCGCCTTTGTCTTGGTGTGCCTGGTGGTGATCTCATGGGAGAAAATCCCACTGGAGAGGGCGACGGTGCCACTGCCAATGCATCGGGCAAAACAATTTCCATGCCACCCGTTGACAGACGTCGAGATGCTTTTGCTGTTGGTGTTATTGATCCTAGCGAAGCCCGGGAATGAGACGAAAGGATTGGGCCACCACCACCATGGCCAAGTCTCGAATGAGACGACCAACCAGCACTGTTTGTTGAGCTGCCATAGCTAAGTCTGGAATGTGAAGACCAACCAGGGCCGTTGCTGAGAGCGGTACCAAAACTAAGCCGGCTCTGACTCGAGCCATAAAGTGAATCGGCGACAGTGGTCAAAGTGGCTATCGATGCGTCGTTCGGTGGCTCCCACCAGGGATCGTCATCATGTGTCGACACGATTTGTGGTTTCTCCCAGTTCTCAGGGATTGAAGGGGGAGACACCGTCCTGGTCTGCCTTTCTGATCTGGAAGTGACGAAGTCTAACAATTCATCATCTGATGTCTCATCTGCAGGCGTCTCAGAATTCTCGTCGGCATAATACCACAACCTCACGTACTTTAGATGACAAAATGCTTGTCGCCGCAACATTTCTGAAGCTTCCGTTGGTTTTTGGCCCTTTTTCTTGACAAGATCAGCTTCATAGAGAGCATTGACCCATTGATTCCCTCCCCTTTCCATTGCCAAGACATCAGAATGTGTCCCTACAGTAAAGAAGAAATATAAAACATGAGTTTGAGGTGAGGTCGTACGCTCACAACAATAAATAAAACAATCATACTTCGTCCAACTTACAAGATCCAACAGAGATGCTCTTGATCTCGGTGGTAGGAATTGCAAGCATTTTGTGCGCCACTGAACATGCATAACACACGAAGGCTCCAATGGACGGTTCTGGATGGTCTTCGTTTCGGATGTTTCCACGAGACGATGAAGATGCTGAGTTCTTTTTGAAAATCACCGCCCACTCAGGATCTTGGACGCCGCAATCACAACATGATTGATTCGCTTCTTTTTGTTGGAGCTTGTTCAAGCATTGAAACAACTCTCTTTGACTCTTGCCAGTTGCATTCGTCTTTCTTCCAAACGCCCGCTTCATGATGATGATTCTACTCGAAAACCTATTGCTTCGGAAAATGAAAAGGAATTTTCTGATTTTTCGATTTTTTCAACCACGACGAGTGAGTCTCGTCTGATCAATAAATGTCAAGGCCTATTTTTGTGTCTGTCATGAGTCTCGTGTTAATTGTGGCAAACAAACAAAAGAGGAGACTATGGCCGGTCTCTTTTGAACATCTATGTACAGCAGGATATCTTCACCCTACCGGTACCGCAGGTACCTCATGCAATAATTAAAAATGGAAATGTGCCTTTCATAGTAAACGTACCGGTACGTGGAGTCAAGACTCCTGTATTGCGGTCGATTCATGACACGCGCACATGAAAAAAAATGGATGCAATGCGTATAATATAGACAGCAAAATTGTATCTATACTAGGATTATCATATGCCATGAGAATCCGTCACCTACCATTTGGGTGCTTCCGAAGCATTCATTGTTCCAAGACTTTCTCTCAGGAACGCCAAACTTTGTCTTTGGGTGGTGTCACCATTGGGATGTAAATAAGTGAGTCCTTGAGAATAAGCATTAATGGAGCCTCGACGTCGTTGACGCGGAGCACTTGCGGTGATTGCATCGTCAGGCTTGATGGCGGGTCCTGATATAGAAGCTCGACGCATTTGGCGTGGATTGGTACGTGATGCAGCTCCTTGAGAAGTATTCGAAATGGAACCCCGTCGACGGTCACGGATAGTGCAAGGCCTGGCTATTTCACGATCGGGTTGGGGGACGAGTCCTCCTGCTTGAGAGACCTTTGATATGGAATTTCGATGCCGTTGATGGGTGCGTGGTTCATTGGAAGTGGACGGATCATGGAAACCGAACGATCTGGAGCTCATCTCCATATCAATCACTTGTGGCTTGACAACAACCGAGTCAATGAAATCATCATCGATGAAATCGGGGAGAGAGAAACGTCTAGCTGGTTTCTTTGTATTGTGTGCCATATCCAAACCTTTTCCCGGTAGGGTCAGCGTAAGACGTGGATTAACGGATGGTTGTGAAGGAGTACTGTAGCTGCTTGGAAATGCACCTCCAATCGAGGAGCGGCGGTGTTGCCGACGTCGACTTGGTGAGCCTGGTGATCTCATGGAGGAGATGACCCATTCATCCATCGGAACAGGCTCCGAGCCACTCGTTGACGCACGCCGAGCTGCCCTTGGCCTTTGCAACGAAGGCCCAGAGCTACCATGGTTGTTCGAAGAGCCGTCATTTCCAAGTCTGCCTAGATCATGTGATTCAGAAGGATTGGTGGTAGCCGCGAAGGATGAACCAATCGAGGAGCGGCGCTGCTGTCGACGTCGACTCGGAGTGCCTGGTGATCTCATGGAAGAGATGGCGGACTCATCCGTTTGAACCGGCTCCCTACCACTCATTGACGAGCGACGTACTGCTCTTGCCTTTTGCGGTGAAGGCCCATCATTACCATTGTTCTTTGAGGGGCCAATATGGCTATGTCTGTCGAAACGTGATTCAGGCGAATTGATGGGAGCGGCGAAAGATGAGTCAATCGAGCAACGCCGCTGTTGCCGACTTCGACTTGGTGTGCCTGGTGATCTTATAGAAGAGACGGCTGAAGACCATAAGGATGAGGGCGATATTGTTGCATTGTCACCTGCTGAAATGCCTCCATGACTGAGGTCATTAGAGTGCCCCAAAAATGCCGATGGAGGCATTGCGGATTCACCATTGGGTACAAACGCAATACCGCCCGTGGACATGCGCCTTGTCGCTCTTCTTCTGGGTGGCGAAGACACTTCACCCCGAGGAGAATCCGACGACACACATGTGGAACTGTTATTTGAAGAGCTTATATTGCTAGGTCTACTGTGATTCGAGTCAAAACTTGAATTCGCAGCTGTTGTGGAAGTAGCGAAAGAATCATCAGTCGATGGCTCCCACCAAGGATCACCGTCAAGTTTGGAAAAATCAACTGGTTCTTCCCAGTTCTTTGGCGTTGTGGAGGGAGATTCCTTTACAGATGAGACGGCATATATTGACGAATCTCCGTCTTTTGTGTCCTTTGTAACCGCTTTAGGCATATTTTCGCAGTAATACCACCGCTTTACGTACTTGAGATGGCAGAACGCATGTCGTTGCAACATTTCCGATGAATCTGTTGGCTTTTGACACTGTCTCTTCTTGACAAGTTGGGCTTCGTAAACTGTATTGACCCAGCAGTTTCCTCCCCGTTCCATCGCCAAGATATCATTGTGAGCCCCTAATCAGATGCAAGAATAAACAGTGAGCTTTTTTTCTCTCTAAAATGATAGGTAGCTTTCTTTTTTGAGAATCCATGACTTACAAGATCCGACCGAGACGCTTTTGATTTGAGTGGTGGAGATTCCAAGCATCTTGTGTGCCAGTGAGCATTGATAACACAGAAAAATGCCAACAGACTCCTCCTTTCTATTACATGCAGTACTCGGCGACGACGACGTTGGCGACATGAAAATCACAGCCCATTCCGGATTCTGGACACCACAATCACAACATGACTGATTCGCATCTTGTTTTCGGAGTTTGTTCAATGAGTGAAACAACTCTTTCTGGCTCCTTCCAGCAGTGCTTTTCCTCTTCCTGAAGACTCTGTTCCCTATGTTCATATTCATCCTCGAAAATGATTCTTGCTTTGGAAATAAAGAGATAGATGAAGTGTTTCGATCTTCAGAAATGAAAGTCAAATTTCACAAAATCTGATCGTCATATTCGTCAGCAGCGTTAAATGTGATTCGAAAAAGATTTCAGAAGATTGGGATTATTCTTGAATAGCGCGATCACTCTGGCGAATTTCACGTTTAGAATTATTGCAAATGTTGCCCGGTGCTTAACGTAACAAGACTTCCGATAAGTTCTTGGAAGTTCACCGACTGAAAAATACCCACAGAGATGAAGATTCTCAATTCGTTATATATTATAAATTAATTACATTCAGTATCAACAAGTATACCGTATATAAATGTACAGGGTAAGGTCTGCAAATGGTGGGGAAAACGAAGAAGAAAAATTTAGTCGAGTCGGGGAATCAGCTATGACATTCAAACGGTCGAATGAGTCGGAACAAAAAGGCTTTGGTGGTCGCGGTCAACTGCGACATGGTGCGACACGGAGCTACACGAAAATGAAATAAATAGCTTTAATTGTTGACACCCGAACACCAAACCCAACCCACCGTACAGTTCTGTACATCTCAGTTTTCACGTGCACACCCACAAAGTAATAATAATGCACTACTGTATTGCTGTTGTGGAGGTATGCACAGAAATTTAAGCAAAGAATGTTCCAAATGAGACTTGCCCGATGAATGAATGAAAGCAAATCACTTCTCAATGAAGAGTTCGAACTTGGGCAAACGTGGCATAAGAGAAGTTGCGGGTGCCTGCTCCAAGCTTTCCATTGGAATCTTTTGTGTAAGGCAATATTCTGCATTTCATACTTTAACAAAACTATATTCATCCAAAGACGAAGCATCCTACGTATAGGCCTTTTATTGGCATCATACGGTAAAGGAAAATCTTCATTCAATATATAATCTGCAAAGTGGCCCGTCTTCTTTTCCCAGGGCAGCTTTGCTTAATGCGGGATGCCGATGCGATTACCAAGGAATTGAAGGGAAATTTGGTAGCACAAAAGGTCATGCAAGAATGGCTATCTAGGTACCACTGCCAATTTCTATTGCCTAAAGCCATTGACATGCTGGGAGCCTTAAATTCTCTTTTTCTATCGTTGAAAGAGACGGAATGATTGCCGTTACAGCAAACATCTCTGGACGACCTACCCAGGACCATGCGGCACTGATGCTAGGAGGCGAATGATTCAAGGCAAGGATATCTGGAAGCAGCAGATGAATGAGTTCATGCAGAAGCTCATGCCTTATTTTAATGTTGCTATGGTGTTGCAAAAACCTCCTACCAATTCACATGGACCCAAATGGATACTTCTTCTCTATTTCCGTCTATTGGCATCGGTCAAGAAACCCATTTAGAGCTGAAATGGGACCTTGATCATTTTTGTGTCATGATACTTGTTTCTTCAGTCGCAGTACTGCTTCCCACACGTGACGACATTAGCCCATGAGATCTTGAAACAACTTTCTGACGTCGAAGGTGAATTTTTGGATGGAGACATTGGTTATTCATCTATCGGAACAGGCTCCAAGCCATTGATTGATGCACGCCATACTGCCGTTGCCTTTTGTGGTGAAGGTCCAGAACTACCATTTTTGTTCGGAGATCCGCCATGTACATGTCCTTGTCTGATAAGATCATGGGATTCAGAAGGATTGGTGGGAGCAGCAAAGGATGAGCCAATAGAGGAACGCCGCTGCTGTCGAGTTCGACTATGTGTGTCAGATGATCTTATGGAAGAAATGACCAATTCATCCATCGGAACAGGCTCCGAGCCACTGCTTGATGCACGCCGTACTGCCCTTGGCTTTGGCTTTTGTTTCGTTGGCCCAGCACTTCCATTTTTGTTCGAAGAGCCGCGATTATCATGTTTTTCAAAATCATGTGCATCGGATTGAGCAGCGGGAGCAGCAAAGGATGAACCGATCGAGGAATGGCGCCGTCGTCGAGGTCGACTGGGTGTGCGTGATGATCTTAAGGAGGAAATGGGTGATTCGTCCATCGGAACCGGCCCCGTGCCACTGATTGACGAACGGCGTACTGCCCTTGCCTTTTGTGGTGAAGTTCTAGCACTGCCATTGTTGTTCGAAGAGCCGCCATGGCCATGTCTGCCTAGATCATGTGTTTCAAAACGATTATTGGGAGCAGCAAAGGGTGAACCAATCGAGGAACGCCGCTGCTGCCGAGGTCGACTTGGTGTGCGTGATGATCTTATGGAGGAAATGTGTGATTCGTCCATCGGAATAACCGGCTCCTTGCCACTGATTAACGAACGGCGTAATGCCCTTGGCTTTGGCTCTTGTGTTGATGGCCCAGCACTACCATTTTTATTCGAAGAGCCGGCATTTCCATGTTTGTCTAAATCATGTGCCTCGGAAGGATCAGTGTGAGCAGCAAAGGATGAGCCAATAGAGGAACGCCGCTGCTGTCGAGTTCGACTGTGTGTGTCAGATGATCTTATGGAAGAAATGACCAATTCATCCATCGGAATAGGCTCCGAGCCACTGATTGATGCACGCCGTACTGCCCTTGCCTTTTGTGGTGAAAGCCAAGCACTGTGATTGTTGCTCGAAGAGCCGCCATAACCATATCTGACTAGATCATCTGTCTCAGAAGGATTGGTGGGAGCAGCAAAGGGTGAACCAATAGAGGAACGCCGTCGTCGAGGTCGACTTCGTGTGTGTGATGATCTTGTAGAGGAGATTGCTGATTCATCTATCGGAACCAGCTCCAAGCCATTGATTGATGCACGCCGTACTGCCCTTGGCTTTTGTGGCGATGGCCTAGCACTACCATTTTTGATCGGAGAGCCGCCATTACCATGCCTGCCTAGATCATGTGATTCAGAAGGATTGGTGGGAGCAGCAAAGGATGAACAGACCGAGGAACGCCGCTGCTGTCGAGCTCTACTCGGTGTGAGTGATGATCTTTTGGAAGAGTCGGCCGGAAAGCACAACGATGCAGTCAGTGTAGTCTCATTGTCACCGGCTGAAATGCTTCCGTGACTGATGTTATTAGAGTATGGCAAAGATGTCGATGGAGGTATTGCTAATTCACCATGGGGAACAAACGCAACGTCGCCAGTGGACATGCGCCGTGTTGTTCTCCTTTTGGTTGACGATGGCACTTCTGCTTCATCCTGAGAATCCCACGACATCCATGTGGAACTAGTTTTTGCTGGGCTTTCATTGCGAGGGTTGCTGTGATTCGAGCCAAAACTTGAATTCGCAGCTGTTGTGTAAGTAGAGAACGAATCATCCGTTGGTGGCTTCCACCAAGAATCATCGTCAAGTTTGGAAGTATTCACTGGTTTCTGCCATTTCTTCGGCGTTACGGTGGGAGATTCCTTTACAGACGAGACGCCATGTAATGATGAACCTTTTTCCTTCATGTCCTCATTAACCGCTTTAGGAATATCTTCGCAGTAATACCATCGCTTCACATACTTGAGATGGCAGAATGCCTGTCGTTGCAACATTTCCGATGAATCTGTTGGCTTTTGACACAGTCTCTTCTTGACAAGTTGGGCTTCGTAAACGGAATTAACCCATCGGTTGCCTCCCCACTCCATCGCCAAGATATCACTTTGACTCCCTAGTTTTGTTTAGATAATAAAATAAACAGTGAGCTTTTTTTTTTCCCTTCTAAAATGATAGGTAGCTTTCGTTGTTGCGAATTCATGACTTACAGTATCCAACGGAGACGCTTTTGATTTCAGTGGTAGAGATTTCAAGCATCTTGTGTGCCACTGAACATTGATAGCACACAAAAATGCCAACAGACTCCCCCTTTCTATTACAATAAGTACTCGGTGACGACGACGTTGGTGACATGAAAATCACAGCCCATTCCGGATTCTGGACAGCACAATCACAACATGACTGATTCGCTTCCTGTTCTCGGAATTTATTCAAAGAGTGAAACAACTCTTTTTGGCTCTTTTCGGCAATGTTTTTCCTCTTCCTGAAGACTCTTTTCAACTTCATCCTCGAAAATGTCTATGAAAATAAAACTCGTTTGCTTCGGAAATTTTATGAGAGATGATAAGCACGATAAAGTTTCGATCTGTCAGTTGGCGTGCACGGTATATATATTTTTTAAAATATCTTTGATTTATCCGTTTCGCATCCCGGACAAAAAGAAGGGCTGAAGAACGGCGCAATCAATGATACCGGAAAAGAGAGATGAAAAGGTGTTTCGTTTTTTCTTCATATTTTATAAAAAGGGACTGAATTTAAAAGGTGAAAATACAACCTTCGTTGCTCAGCTTTTGATTGATTCCGAAGTCATGCTCAACCTTGTGGAGCAGTGAACGAAAAACAGATTTAAAAAGTAAATTCAAAGTCATTGTCGTTTCTCTATTTTGCATTGAGACCGCACGCACAATGATACCGGTATATGAAGAATAGTATTTGGCGGATCTGAAAGGTTACTGTACCAGGCTAGGAAACATATTATATTGCTAGCGCTGCTGTTGGGCGTCATCGTTGCCATTGCTACTATTTCAATACTGCTATGAGCATTTCATGTGTAGAACAAAAATGGCAGCATAGCTCGTTCCAAGAACAAATATTTACTGTCTGTTTCAGTCATTCATTCATTCAAAAACGCAAGGATTGGCCAAGGAAAGAATCGACGTTCTGGAGCACAATGCCGGCACCACATTGTTGGAAGGCTTGCTCTCGATCCTCCTCCAATGAAAAAGACGACATTTTCGATTTCCATACGGCCAGCTCCAAGCGTGACATAGCCTCACCTTTTTCATTCTGTCCGAATGAATCTAACAAGAGCGTCGGTCAACAAGCGATTGCGTCGCATCTTGTCCGCTTAGGCAGCAATCTCATCGGCTCGAGCCTTGCTTCCAGGAGGGATGACCCCAGCCAGGCTGCTGGTAGTTTTCAGTATGGCGCTCCATTGGACGCACCAACCAGACTCGGAGAACAGTCTGGAGCAAGTATTGAGGCAACAGGCAACAGGTCCCAACGGGAAAATACATAATCCACTGGTCGGTGTCTTGTGACCCCATCAAAATCAAAGCAATTTTCGTAGCAAGTTTTCAAGTCGAAGACGGGGGGTGGGTAGAATTCCAAAAGCACCAAGAGCAGATCGAGGCGAGGCGAAACAGACAACAAGAGGAGGTGAAAGGGGAGGGGCAGTTCCAATGCTAAAGCAAGAGGCATCGCTTCGCGCAGTTGCTCGACGCTGGTGGTAGATGCGCAGTAGCATAGTTCGTGGATTAGAAACCCTTCGAAACGGTGAAACGCATAAAAAGATGCGGCAGAACCCTCAGATGCGACAGAACCCTCAGATGCGAACAATCTCATATTTGAACCTTCGGAGAAAAAAACCTTGCTTCCAAGTTGAATTCACCAAATTCTGCAAAGATGCACATGCCCATGGAGTTCATAGTAGCAGGGATTGTGAATCTTTGAATGGAAAAGCAATCCTTTTAAAAGCTCCCGCTCCGATCGTTTTCAACCCCGGTAAATTCTGCAAGAAGTCATGGGGCAACTTTTTGCAACCTTCAAATGAGAAATTGCCAATCGTTTCAGTTGTGGGGGGCAGATTAATGTCTGTCACCTCTTGGCAAAGTCGAAAGGCGCGGTCTCCGACTTTTGTCAATCTTGGGGGAAGGGTATGGCCACTCGCAAGACACTGTCATTCTTGCAGCAATCATCTGCCAGCTCTGTCAATGCTGGATTGAACCTCGCTGCGTAGATATTATCGTTATCCCTTTGCATCTTTTGTGTTTGCTTCTTGCCCTTGTTGCTTGCTTGGTCAGCTGCGCTGATCGTTCGAACGTTTGGTTATTGACAACGATAATGCATATACCCGTACCCACCATATTCTATGTGCGGGAGATTGAAGATTTTATTGATGTGATGTGTCATTTGCGGACGAACACCAGACGAAACAAGAAAGGGGAGGGGTACCGGTAGATTTTAAGGACGCTGCTTTTTTGAAGATAGATTGATTATGCCTCGCATACCGTACAATATGATACTACTGTGATACAGAAGCTCTCTCCCCCCTAGTTATTTCCCCCGACTACATCCATTTGACCCATGTGACCAACGCAGAGCGCAACATTCAATCTGGTACCCATGACAGATGAGTTCAAAGTGACAGCACTATACCCACAGTCAACACTACGTAACCAACAAATGCACAAATGAAGCAACGATGAATACTGACCAAAGTCTCAAGATTGTCGGACTGCTGACGTTCCTTGTCGTGCTGACGACAACATTCCACAATATGCATGTAAGCTGGTATTCTCAACTTCGCTTAATTATTCATTCTAATGATGTTCAATAACGTTCCATTGCCTCACGCTTAATTTTTCTTTTGCACACCGCCATTTACTATAGGTGGCATCAGACTCGATAAAAGCTTCAGAAACTTTGCTACAACAATTCTTGGATTCTTCCAGCAGTCGATTCGGTCAGGGAACGAGCTACTACCAAACACTCCCATCACAATCACAGGCCATTTGTTTTGTCACTGCCAGTTACGCGTTGAACGAAACCGTCATGGATCCATTGCCCGACATGACAAGCTACAAATGGCCTTTTAAGTTTTTCCTCTTTACCAACTTGAAGGAAACGCAATGGGAAACTCCTGGATGGGAAAAGGTGGTGACAGATTTTACCTATCGTCGTCGGATCACCCACTCTCGATATGGCAAGTTCTTGTCGTGGAAGTATCCCCGGATAACGAAGCTGTGCCGGGCGATCTTTTACATCGATTCGACCATTGAACCTACAAAGAACATCTCGCTATGGGAGGAGGCTGCCAGTCGAATGGAGGCGAATGATGGTCCTGGCTTTATGCAATACCCACACCCCAAGAATCGGTCCGGTCTTCCAGCCGAATTCCGTGCCATTCGCCGGTCTCGAAAGGATACCTATCTCAATGTCAACAAATCCTGGACTTGGATGGAGAATGATCCCAGCTGGACGCCAAAGATGAGGATCTTTCTCAATACTTGTCTCGGGTACAATCCAAAATCCAAGACCTTTCAAAAGGTATCCCAGTCCTTTTGGGACCGCTATTCGCTCGAATTGGATTCCTGGAGGGACCAACCACTTTGGTCCTTCAATCTCAATCGACATAAGGTGATACCTCTCAACTTTCCTGATACCTTTCACGAAATATTCAAGCAGGCCAACATGTCTGTCTATGGTCACAATGGACATACCTACCGAAAGGATTCGGAGGTGAATGTGCAGTTCTGATTCTTTTTTAATTTTTTAGACTCGGACTTGGAAAAATTATTTTGCTGACGATTGGTCCCTATACTCCAACTGCATACTCCGTCGAAAAAAAGAGTACGAGCGTCATGGAAATGGTGCCAAGAATATGATGTTGACTTTAGGGCAAACTGTTGGAATGGATTTGGCCTGAGCAATGATTCTTGTTGTCGGGAACGTGTAGACCAAGAAGCAAGGATATACCTATGCATGCCGCTTCGTGCCCTTGCCTTATTCTGCTGAACAACCAGGATGAAAAAGTTTTTATTGGTCTGGCTACCGGTACTGTTGCTGAGACAGAAATACACTGGACCAAGTCGTGAAGAGAATACGTAGATAGTTGAAACTTTGCAACAGTTTACCATTTTAATTCTATCTCTCTGTATCCCTATTCCGGGGTCTATACATGCTGATTGGCCAGAAAAGTTTCCCTGCGGGACAATTACAAACACTTGAGAGGACACCGTAAAGCTGAAGAGAGCGCAGCTAAGAGTGGAATGCCATATTTCATTATCTGGCATCAGCCATTAGTATACTCTTGTATATGACGATTGGTTCTTCTGCATATTGCATACTGCATACTACATACTCCGTCGAATAGTACAAACAACATTAATGACATTTGTTTGGCAAAATGATGTCGACTTTAGGGCAAGAACTGTTGCAAGGTATTTGGCTTGAACGATGCTTGCTGTCGGGAACAGCAATCTCAATCGAGTGCAGCATTTTTGAATATGTAGCAGGAACTAAGTTGGCTCAGCATGGGGGACCAAGAAAGATATACCTACCCATATTGCCTGCCACCAACTGCCAATAACGCCTTTTCTCTCCGAGCAATGATCGGGACAAAATAGTATGTCTAGCTACAGTTAGTAGCTACTAGTAACTGAAATAAGATCTCGCAAGGAGATAGTTGCAACTCCATACCATTTTGTCTCTGTATCCCTATTCCGGAGTCGACACGCTGGTTTCAGATTGGCCATCAAAGATTCCACATTACTACAGTGCTTATATTCTGCTGTGGAAAAACTGAGACCGCGCCAAAAGTCAACCCGCGTACACGTGTACGAGCCCAAAAGTAAAAACGTACCTGTACAGTAAAAACGTACCGGTAAAAGCACTGATTTAGCCCTCTTGCTCGGAGTTCACATTATTTTTATAAAAGAATAAAAGTAGCATTGCGGAACAATAAAATAAGTTTGATAGATATCTCTCTTTGGTCGTTTACCATGGATTCTGGATTACGTCGCAGCAGCCGTGAGTCCAGGCCAAGAAAGCTCCTCGGACAGGAAACCGATGGTCAGCTTGGCATGAACCAACCTGGCTTAAATCATATCCGGACATCGGAAGAGAGAATTCAGAGTGCAGAAGCCATCGAAGGCCTCAGGATTTTCAACGAGCATCTCCGTGGAAAGGGATGGGACTTCGGGCATAGTGACAAGTTGGATTTCATTGAAGTCTACTACGACACAAGGGCATCTATCCAAAATGCAGTGGAAGGTGTCAGCAAGTTCTACAGCTATGACGCAATCTGGCGCAAATGGATATCTGATAAAGAATTTCGGCGCATGCACAGTTGTCGAAAAGGGAGTTGTCGACGCACCATCTCCGAACAGGGAGTTCCCGACGCACCATCGCCGGGCTACGACAACCTTGGCGAACCGACCCTTGGAGTTCCTGCTGCAGCAGGAAGATCGACCGAGAGCACCAGGGAATCGGGAGCGAAAGAAACCCGTGCTACTCCCGGCATGAAGAAGAAGCGTGGACGCCCTTCTGGTAGCTCCAAGCAGCAGAAGCAGCAGCAATCTAAGAAACGCCAAAAGAAGAGAGAGCCGTGTTCAAGCCCTCGACCTCAGACAAGAAGCAGTCCTGTCGCCCAGCAAAATCAAGCAAACTCTGGAGCAAAGACTGAAACTCCACCTACTGCCAGTTCATCGACCGGTGCCCTCCAATTGCCGAACCGATCGGTAGTCACTCCTCCGTTGGGTCGTGCAGACCTTCTTGATGATTACTCCCATCTCGCTGACGAAAACGCCGAACTCAAAAGGCGATTGGAAGGAAAAGATGCACGAATCGACCAACTCGAAAGGGAATTGGAAGACGCACTAGATCTTGCAGCAGCCCAAGCAGTTCAAGTTGAAGACCTCAACCACTTAGGTGAAAAGACTGCAAAGGAAAAGGTTGCTCTGAAAAAGGAACTGGATCAGATGAGAATGAATCAAGTTCGTTAGATCTTTGACAGGGCCCCCTGACATGATTAATAGAGTCGATAGTAATCTTTTGAATTCTATTAGTAACTACAAGTACTTGTCTGTATACTCCACCGAGTGGGTCGTGATGAATGCGCTAGCCTAGCTACATTACGTGTACTAGCGACTGAAATAAGATCCTCTTACCAAGCTCTGAATCGAAACATTGTTACTAGGTTGTCACTTTAGTTGCGGCCCAAAGCGGTTGCTTCGCTCGAAAGGCATACCGGAGTCATTGAGTTTTGGGACGGATCCAACTTTCAGCTATCGCGTCGGCTATCGCGGTGGAACGCGCTATATAATTTTTGAATGGCCGAAAAGAGTAATGTGGGTTTCAAGTTTTTCATGGTACCCATGCGCGTGCCGGGAAAAATACTATACCCGGACTCTTGTAGGTTTAAAAGTTGGCATGCGAGTGAGTCAGTCCGAGTTCAAAGTTAAAACGAACAGCATTGCCAAGTTTATCGATCGTTTCCACTCATATATCTCCACCATGGAGAAGAGCACGGCAAATTCAAGCATGGGACAGTCCAACTCTACCATCAGCGGCTTGTGGAAACAATCAAGTCCACCAGATGATGTTGATGATTCCACAGAACCAAGTTCATCTAGCAATGATTCTGCACCAAATTATAGATTGCGCCGCAGCAGTCGGAAGCAAAAGCAAAGACGGTTTATGTTGAACCAGACGCTGGTCGACCGCGGCAAGGCTCTCGAATTGGAAATCGATGGTCAGTGTGGCATGGACCAGCCTGGCAGAAAATATTTCCGAGATGAGGATGATGAGATTCAGAGTGCAGAAGCCAGTGAAGGTACAGAGGTTTTCTGGAAGTATCTCAAACCGATGGGATGGCGCTATGCCAATAGCGACAGGCTGGAATTCGATTTCGTGTTCCTTGCAAAAGGAAAGTCTGCCAAAAGCGCCGAGGAAGGCATCAGCAAGTTCTATGGCTACGACGCAATCTGGCGCAAATGGAAATCTGATGAAGATTTTCGGCGCATGCACGGTTTCGTTGGAGACGTAAATCTTGCAGTCAAGCAGGGATCTGATGCAGCACCATCTCCGACCTACAATAGGCTAGGCGAACCGACCCCTGGAGTTCCTGTTGCAGCAGGAAGAGCGGCTCAGACTATTCTCCGCAAGCAGAAGAAGCGTGGACGCCCTTCTGTGATCTCGAAGCCGAAGCAGCGGTCCAAGAAACGCCAAAAGAAGAGAGAATCATGCACAAACCCTCGACCTCGGACAAGAAGCAGTCCAGTCGCCCAAGCTCAAGCAAAGTCTGGAGCAAAGACACAAACCCCATCTGCTGCAAATTCATCGACTGGTGCCCTCCGATTGCATGACCGATCACTCGTCACTCCTCCGTTGGGTCGTTCGGACGTTGTTGTCCCTCTGCGACGACCCAACCTTGATGGCATAGCTGATGTCTCGGATCTCTTTGAGGAAATCGCCGAACTCAAAAGGCGATTGGGAGAAATTCAAACTGAAAAAGATGCAGTCGAAAGGAAATTGGAAGTCGCTCAAAATCAAAAAGAAGACGCTCAAGATCTTGCAGATGCCCGAGACATTCAAGTTGAAGACCTTCAGAAACGAGTCAACCAGTTAGGTGAAAATTATGCAAAGGAAAAGGTTGCTCGCAAAAAGGAAAGGCTTGCTCACAAAAAGGAACTGGAAGCATTGGAGCTGGAAAATCAAGAGAAACTGGATCAGATCAGAATGCAGCATGCTATGGAGGTAGGCCTCTCGTCTTCAGGGTTGGCTGAAGATAATATCTAGGAATAGATCCTCCAGAGGACCCTCCAAAATGAACAATTTCCATGGGGCTTGAATTGTATTAGGATCTTCATTCATTTACTTGTATCTTTGTTCGATTTCAATAGTAGCATCATGACCACCTGCCGTTTTCAGATTCAGAGTGATATACAGTATACGAGTATACCGGTAGCGGTATAGTGACGAGTGATGATGCCTTTTCTCCCTTGCTTCTGTCCGTCGCCATGGACACTCTGGAAAACAGTGGTTCTTTTTAGAAACTTTGAGTACCCAGTTAGTGGACGGAAAGTGTTGGTATCGTCGTATGTCGAATCCAAAAGTAAGTACAGCCAGATCTGTAGCCGCCAGACGCTATAAGATAAAAGTAAGCTCTACCACGTCCTTTACAAATCTATTGTCTCAGATAAAGATAGCAACAGCAACAGCATGAGAGGTGACAACACTACTACTGCAGAAGTCAGCTTTCCAAGCTTCTCCCAATAACAAAATGCCAGTGTAGTCTCGTCCTATTGACACAACGAGCTATAAGCATGCAATCGGCGATATTATATCTCCCTCTCAAATGCTTTCATGTGGGTTATTGCAACCTCCGTCTTCTTGCAACCAATATTCCAATTTTTCAATTTTATAAATCCACCATAGGTATATCCCGGCCGCATGGTGTATTGTGACTCAAGGGTTAAGTCGTTTGTAAAAGAAAGATCGGCACGATTCATAGCATGTCATGGTGACAGTGGTCGCTGGCACAAAATGCAAGACTCGAGCTCCAGCTCCTCGAAACAAGCCCTGTGTTCCTTCTCGTTATGGAATACTTATTATTGAGAAAGCACGCTGAAAATTTTCCGTTTGATGGATTACTTAGACCAAGACAATCGACAAATTTGTCGCAACATATCAGAATGTGTCTATCAAACAGGATTCCAATTTTTCGAGACCTGAAGACTTGACACACTTTTGATGACCACACTTGCACTACTGTTACCCAATCAGCTGCTGCCATCTCAACCATGGGCAACATATTCAGTCCATCCCAACCACAAACAAGCTTATCGGCATCTAGTCCTAAGTCTTCAGTTAGCCCCGGGGACGATAAGGACACCAGCGCACCAAACAAGGGGGAGGCGGGGCCAGAGGACGCCGAGAGCCAACAAGAAGTGCACCCAAGTCAACAGAATGATGCCACACCACCACGTCCTGCCACCAGATCTATACCAAAACCTCGTCATAGCGGTCGGAAGAGGCACAAACCCACTTATCTGCTCATTAGCCAACGAGAACTAGCTAGCAAGAAATATGCCGAAGAATCGTCGAACCAAGCTGATCGAAATTTCGTCAAGGACGACGACTTTAAGGCTCGAAGAGATGAAGAACACCAAGGACATGAGATCTTTCACGACTTTTTGAAGCCTTCTGGATGGAGGCACACAAAAACCGCAAGTTTGAAATCAGGGTTTGTCTTCCTAGCTCAAGGGAGCTCGGCCGAAACGGCTGAAGAAGGAGAAACCAAATTCTATAGCTACCAGGATATCTGCCGGAAATGGAAGTCAGACAAAGCGTTCAGAGAGATGTATGAAGATGCCGGTTCCGAAGACGAAGCGGATACTACCCAGACATCTTCGAATCGCGACAGATTGGGGAAGCCAACCCCTAAAGAAGTCCCTATTGCTGCTGGAACGCCGACTAAGATTACGGAAGAAAGGAGGACTGCAGAAGAAACGCGTGGTGTAACCCCAAAAAGAAAAGTGAGGTCCAAACGGGGCTACTCCCCGTCTCCTACGAAACGCCCAAGGACGACACGATCTGCTTCCAAAACAACAAGATCTTCCTCTAGATATTGAATTGCCCGCCACGAACTTCAACACAAAATGACACTACTCCTATGGCGCAGAAGCAGCAACTACCGTAGTACCGAACGAAGGCCCATTCTTTGTGACTGTTATGGTACATGCGCTGGGAAGGGCATGGGCGTGGCCATTCGTCCACCCGCCGGAGGTGCGTCAATAGTTTCGCATCAGCTAAGCAGTGGAATGATGAAGTTGCACCAATAATGCAGAGCAAGCAAGCAAGCCCCCTTGAAATCAACCAGAAAGATGATCGAAGCTACAATATTGTAAGGGAACGCAATGAAGGCAATGCAACACAAAGTCAAACAGGGAAAAGCAAAATGTTTATGATATGGTAATTCTAAACCGTTATTTTAAACTAGGACTATAGATACAATGCGTTTCATGTAATAAATATCATTCTATATAAAATGTGCAACGATGCACTAGAAAAATGTACAACTCCAACTGCATCCATGATGGTAGCAGCACAGCACTGTGATCGGGATTCTCGTCTGCTGCTTACAATCGCTTGACAGATGGTTTCTGGGTTTGCTTCGTAATCGTTGTTGTTGGTGTCTGTTCATGGACTGTTCCATAGACACCAGACATGCAATTCCACTTGGCAAAGAAATTCTTCAAGGTACTTCGGCGTTTGCCACTGGCGGTAGTCGCTTGAGATCCTTGGGTGACTGTTCCAGATTGCACGGAATTTTGATCCATCTTGCTCTTGGATTGTGGGGTGGCACTCCTGTTGTTGGAAGAGGACATGGTGGAAGACAAACGGACACCGGTAAAGTCATCCATGCCAACTGGAACGGCTTCGACCATGACTTCGGATTCCTTGTCCACCATATTATCATTGCAATAAAGGGTATTGGTCTTGCACTTTTGATAGCTAGAATCGCAGGCATTGTTCTCTTCCAATTCCTTCTTTTCGTCTTCTGGGACGTAGCTGGTGGAGAGTGGCTCATGCACCTCGGTGGTAAGTGAGCTCTCTTCCTTGGCTTCGAGTTCCAACTGAAGCTCTTTGGTTTCATCGTCCAAATCTTGTGATTCGGCAGCTTGTTCCAAAGCCTTGGAGAGCGAAACGGCATCCATATCTTCCGAACCTTCTTGCTTCACCATTGTCAAGTCTCCCAACAATGGATTCTGCTCGGGAGTAGCATTCCATTCTTGATGTTCCGTCAAAAGACTAATGGCTTGAGAATGATCACATTCTGGGGCCACTTGCGAAAGTGGTACGGACTCGTCGTCTCCTGCTGCCGAACCATCTTCTGGTTCTTCTGGTGGTTCGTTGCTTGGTTCTTGTTCTTGCTGTTCTGGAATCGAGGTTTCTCCAATCTGTTCTTCTTGTTGAAGTGGTTCTTCTGGTTTCTCTAGAGCAGCATCCTCGTTTGCTTCATCAACAGCCACATCAGCATTTGCTTCATCAACATTGTCATCTTCTTGCAAGACTGGTGGGGATGGTGGGACCAATCGATTGACTTCTGGAGTCACTGCCGGCGTAGTACCAATAGTCATGTCCGCCGTTGGTTCCGTCCCAATGGAATTCTCCGCAAATGCCGATTGAATGGACCTGGTCGGGGTATCCACAAAACTATTGTTCCCCGACATCAAGCGTAGTTCCTCGTCTTCATCATTCCAGTAAGATTGCTGCTGCTGCTGCTGCTGTTGTTGCTGCTGTCCAAACGAAGAAGACGATAGACGTTTTTGCCGACGGGTTTGCTTCTTGAGAACTTCTTCAATCTTTTCCTTTTTGAGTTGATCAACTGTCATTTTGAAATCTTCTTGAATCTCCATCAATTGTTCTGCCGTGGTTTGATAGTCTTGCTTGACTTCCGTCAATTCGAGGGTGGTAGTTTGGTAATGTTGTTTGACATGAGACAATTCGGAGGAGATTTGGCGAATGAGCATTTCGTATTCGGCGATCTGTTCTTGCAAGGTCGAATTGGTCTTGGCCAATTGATCTTTTTCCGACTGTAGCTGCAGGACCTGTTCGGCATGTTCGTCATGCACAATGTTGGCCATGACAGGATTCTCAATGTTGCGTGCTTGTGTGGCATAACGCAAGGTATTGACCGTTTCTTCGCAATGATAATCCGTGGGAGAACAGCAGGCAATCATGATGGTCCGAGCATTGCCACCGAGGGAATTTTGCAAAATCCGAGTCAACTTGGATTCCCGGTAGGGAGGATGCCGTTTGTGGGCGGAACGGGTTTCCGTGAGCGCGGAAATGACCAATCCGAGAACGTACAATCCCATGTTGATGTTAATTCCTTCCTTGGCCCTCCATCCGGTATTTTCCGTCTTGGAAAGGCGTTCGCTTCCGGCCAAATCTACCAATGTGAGTCGAGACTGGAAGGTGACATCGTAACTGTTGGTTCCCGTGACGGTCAAAATGCAAATGGCATGAGATCGCGAGGAAACTTCATTGAGTTTGGTGGATGCCACAACCCGCTTGGCATTGGCGAGTCTCATGAGTTCAATGACTTGTTCGGCATTGGTGACAGCGACCGAAGTCTTGCCTTGGACAAAGACTTGGCCGTCCGTGTCTTCTCGAATTTGGAGGCCACCTTGACTACCAGAGCTGTTTGGAGACAATGGGAGACCTTCTTGTTGGGCCAATCGTTCTCGTTCCTTTTGTTGTTGGAGGGCGGAACTATGAGACAACTTGGAGGTCTTCGTGCTCAACAAATCCCGGAGTTCTTCATTATAAATTTCAAGATAACTCAGTTCGACCGTGGCATCGCCCATGCACTGTTCTTCCACTTGTTGAAAGAGATCGTGACAGGCTCGTTGAATGACACCGGCTTCTGGATCCAATACATCACTTCCCGTAACTGCAAAAGTACTATTGCTGGCAGTATTTGACTGGGGCTTGGACGCCATGGTTCCCATCGTATAGGTCTTTCCACTTCCGGATTGTCCATAGGCCAAGATGGTACAATGAAAACCTCGAAACAAGTCTTGAGAGATGGCCTTGTAGGCACCCGATCGTTTGTAGACATCTTCTTGCGAGTCCTGTTCTTCCAAGACACCGTCTAGCGCAAAGCACTTGACGAGTTCGCGATTGTTGGAGGCTTTGGCGAGAGTGGGCGCCAGTTCCACCCGCACCACTTCTTCATCATTTTCTTTGGCACCATTCAAGACGGAATCAATCGTACGAACCTTGTGAACGACCTTGTGAGCGCCTCGTTTGGTTTCGTGAGGGACAATGGGCCTCAAACGCACCACCACCGAGACATTGTTCGTGTTGCTGGCGCTATTACTATTGGCACTAGCAAAGGTGCTCGAACTGCTTTGTGTTGTGAGTGTGCTGGTCTGTCGTTCTGTCATTTTGTTCATTCTTTCTTTCGCTTTTGTTGGTTTGGCGATTGGTATTCTCGCTGCTGCTGTTGTTATTCGTGGCGCTGTTGATGACTTTGAAGCTACAACTGGCTTGCGGAATGAGGGTGACTTTGACTTTGACTTCATCCGCTGCTGCTTTGGATGCTTCGTTTGTGAGTCTTGTTGTTGTTTCGTTTTTGCATGTGTTTGTGCTTGCGATGGTTTTGAATTCAAACCTTGAAACGAGACTCTCTTGTTATTATTTTTATTAAGGCTGCGGGAGTTGGATGGATTGGGTGGAATGGATGGACGATTTGTCACTTGGTTCAACTCCTTCTTCTTCTTGTGTTCGGTTGTCCTTACTTGGTTCAACTCCTCAGATTCGTCGTCTTGCGCGTGGTGATGATGAGAATGATTCTCCTGTTGTTTCTGTTTGAATTGCTTCCAAGACTCCTGGTACCGGCTGGCAATGTTGGTGCTACGTGAGCGAGTTGGCATCTTTTGATACGAAAGTAGACGTTGGTGATTTGAATTGGATGTGGCGCCCATTGACAGATAGCGGTGCGAGAGCATTCCAACCATGCACATATTTATTCAACGGAAGGGAGTGTCTTGGTTGTTAACTGAGACCATGTCGCATGAGGCCAGGCGTTGAGCGGCAAATCAGCCTTGTCTCCGTACCACATGTCTACAGGATGTGAAGCTGGTACTTTGTTTGCGCAGAGTGACTGAGTGAGTCGAGAGCGGGTGCGATTTGGAGAGCTATTTTAGTGTTTACATTCCTCATCGTCATAATCACCCATCACCCGTCACCCACACCATAACGGACATCATCACCCATCGTGGAAAAATGAGGATTCTCACAAACTTCGAGATGCATGACGCCATTTCAGTATCCTATGATCCTATTGGAGAAATAGCGTTTTCATCTTTTTGGGGTGCGAGTGAAACAGGATTGATGGAGTTATGACGAGCTGAAAACGTCAATTTTTGGCCTGAATGTCACTACTTTCCAGAAACGAATCTCGACATGATAATCGTACTGATGAAGAGCGATAATGGGAGATGCATATTTGCCTTGGATTGAAGCTTGCACAGATGCACTTTTGGCGTTGATAGATGGAGAATTGGCGGAGATATCGGAGTCGGTGCCGTACAAGAAGTCGATGCGAAACAGAATTTTTTTGGGACCTTCATTTCCGCCGTCACCGTATTGTTACGATTCACATTGCGTTATGTTCTTGTATCGACTGAGTCGATTTCTCATTCGAGTGAGTCAGTCACATCAGATCAGAATAATATAGGTACCGCAGGTACTACTACTTCGATGCGAGGCGATCCATCTATCATCCATCCATCATCGAATCATCGAATCATGCATCATCAATAATCATCGTGTGCCAAGCTTTGGACGAGACAATCAATTATCAAGAACGGAATCAATTCCCTGTTTTTGATCTCGCAGAAGACCAGCTACGGTCAAGATGATGATGGTGCTTCATTTCAAGGCATCATTTAGGAATCGTCCAAGAGAGGCTCTGGGATGCATCGATACGATGGTTGGAGGAAAGCGCGACGGAAACATACATTGAAGACTACTTATTTATGGACAATATTGCTCTATGAAATGTATGATTCTACCCTTTTAAGTCGTGGGGAACGATCCTGCCTTTCTTTTACTGTGGCATTTATCCCAAGGCCTTGCTGGCAATGGCAGTCAAACAGATCATGATTTTGGGATTGATTACATCTTCTGCAGACACTTGCCAGGAACCGTCGCCGGGCTTTTGAGTTACGGCGCCACAACACTTGTGCGATTCCGTGTCATAGACTTTGAATTGCAATGGACCAACGTCACGTCCACGAACCCTATAGTCCACATGATCTTGGCCGGCTTCTTGAATGTCATAATTTTCCAAAAAGTAATTCTGTCGTTTCACAACGGCATGCTCATATACCTTTTGGCCCTTGATCTTGATCCGGTATGGCTTTTGCTTGGGATGCTTAGGCGTGGCGGTGAGCAATTTGTAATTGAAATGCATTCCACATTTCTCAGTCAAAATGACAGCAATGATCTCTTCTGTGTTTTCATCTTGCAGAATGGCACGGCCACCAAACCCATCCAAGCTGCCTTCGACTATCCAATCATCTCCGAGACCTTCAATGGCCAAGGCTGTACCCTCCTCATCCTCCTCGTCCTCATCCCGTGGTGTCGTGGTTTCACGAATTTGAAACTTATGATTGCTCTTGTCCGGATAGGCGGAATTCAATTCTTCCCACTCTTCTGGGCTGAAGTCGCTGTTGGATAGGCGAGTTGGTTTCGACCTGGTTTTGGATGGCATGATGTTTGTTGAATTTTAGTTGCTTTTGGTGACTACCGTATTTTTTAAAGTTCTTTTGGATGACGATGTGCAAGAACGTTTTATGGTACTTGTACAGAATTTGTGAGCGATCTGTATATGTACAGTAGTATTTGTAAGCAAGCAAACAGACACCAGACACGACTTGAGACATTTCGGTTTTCCACGATAAAAAAGAATTTTCTGATCAGAATCATCACCAGATTTGCCGAGTTTCCGATCAACAATTCTGTAGAGAAAAATTGAATTACCGCAGCACAAATGGGTGAATTCAATATCAGTCGATAAATTGGGCAGCATGCATTGCCTTGGCTCATTATTGACAACAACTTTTGACGGTCGAAGCCGTTCGGCCTTCGTCCGTCTGTAACATATTGTAGTCAAAGAGATCGAACAGTGTGGCTGCGGTCTACGTACCGGTATACGTTGGAGAAACCAACCAATCAATAATGCAGTCAAAATCCAAGGATAATCCAAACTATGCTTCCAGAGGAAAAGGAAGAGCGGCACTTGCTGTGGCCATTGGTGACTTGCACCGTGTTATTGTGGCGGAGATGAGACTGCTGTACCAGGTGATTTCAAGTAGAAGGACAGGCAGCCAGTGGTCTTCTGTTCAAAATACCTAGTATTGATATCAAGTACTACTAGGACTGTAGTGACGGACTCCGCCGAGTCGTGATTTGCTGTAGCAATGGGGACACTCACCCTCAAAAGCAGACAAAATGCGATTTGCTGTTTATTGTACACTATAGGGTAGCATTACAACTAGACATGATTGTAAAGAAGTATTCTACTAAAATACAAGAAAATAGACTTGCACTCCATTGACTGCGGGAGAAACGAGTCTACTTGTTGCTGGTGATGCTGAGCACCAAAGAGCTTCATCATTCAGCAACTGTCGTAAGTGAAGAGAAATTTTCTTCTCAATCTGATCCAGAGGGGTAATTGCAAAGACCCATAGCACTTGTCCTTTTACCCAGCCAATCGAGCCCGGAGCTCTTCAATTTCGTTGTCCTTCTTAGCCATTTCGGCTTGGTGATGCGCAGTCATTTTGTCTACCTGTGCCTTGACCTCCTTGTTGAGCATTTCCCTGACATTTTTATGGAAGGCTTCCAATTGCTTTCCGGCATCGATTGATTGCTGCTCCATATCGGTTAGTTCTTCCAGAAGATGCTTGTTCGTTTGTTGAAGTTCGTCATTCAGTACTTCAAGTTGCTCATTCTGTTCTTGCCAGGCCGCTGCACCGTCATCGTCCTCATCATTGTCCATCTCCAAACGCAACCACGCAAATTCAAGAGTTGGAATTTTAGTGCCAACAAGTAGCTCAATGTAGTTGACACACTTTAAAGTGGACATCTTGGAGAACTTTAGCCAGTCCGTGATGATGACATCCCCATAATGGGTTTTCCAGTCTTCGCCTTCGAGCATAGCTTTGACGCGTTTGTTGCGTTCAAGGCCCCCGCGCTTGAGAAACAAACAACCTCGATGCACAGCTTCCTTGATCATGGAGCGATTTGGGACTTTGCTGGCATCGTTGACCATGAAAATGTTCGCTGCCAAGAGTGTGCAGTCGAAGGATCTGGCGAATAGTCCAAGTTTACTGTGGCTGTTGAAAGAATAACAAAGAAGTTAGACAAAACTAAAAGCAAATAAAACATACTTGGACATGAGTTTTAGAATGCAGAATCGGTACACTTACAGTGCAAACCAAAGTGGCTGCAGTTGGTCCCAAGTCTTGGATTTCTCTGCAAGAAGCCGGTGCTTTTGCGCGCTCTCTGTTTCCTCTTGTTCTACATCCTTCAAAGACGTGCCGCGACCATTGCCGGACTCCTTGGGGGGCTCTTGATTTGAGATATCTGTCAACTTCTTTGTGACCTCGTGAAGTTGCTGCTCCAATGAAGTTGCCTCCTCCACAAGCTCTTGGTCGGAAAGAGCGAAGCAATGCTCTCCTGCATAAGAAGCATCATGTTTTGATATCTTCACCAGCCCAATATTTGGAACATTTACAGGAAAGTGCTCGTTTTCAAGTCCTCCTGCTTCGACCCCTGCAGCTGTTGAAGCCAATTGAAGGAAATGATATTTGTCTACTATCTCGAATATCTTTGTTGTCATTGTTTTATCGTCAATGGTGAGTCGAGGGTTTGTTTGCACAAGAGCCAATATCAATCTCAAAAACAATCAACTTACCATCTTGCTTTGCTGTCAATGCGAATGAATGGTTGCGCAATTGATAAAAAAGAGTTTGCTGTGAGGAGAACAATGACAACAAATCCATTTGCGAATAGTAAAGCGTTTGATGCCAGCGCCATCCCCCATGTCCACCGCAAGCTGTTGGACTGGCAAATATGATGGGAGAATGCTCGGTTCTTTCTCACTGTCAATGACGAAGACGAGATCGAACCCTCGACGGAAGAAACAAGCGGGAGCTAATTTACTTCATTCCACCTTCCTGGCTGCTGTTGGCAGTGTTTGAAACGAAGCCAGCTCTGGAGGCTCGTTCTCGATTCGGCGGTGGCTTGGCATTTTAAATTCTATCGATGCAAATGTGCGGTGGTTTGGGACGTACCTGTGCTCGAGTCGTCGTCGTCGTCGTCGTTGTTGCAGTCTTGTTCCGTGATGGACAAATTTGTGGATGAAACGGTTGGAATAATAAAAATATTCGATTTTTCGAAATCAGAAAAAATGGCTCTGTAGGACAGCGCCGGCCAAGCTACGTCTGTAGACGTACACGTACTGTACCGCAAGGTATTCTACTGAAAATTGCCTTCAACCAATTCATGCAATTTGATTGGTGATTGCTTGATGGCTACTGTGCCGCATGCGGGCATTGATGAACTGTAACCTTCCCACTTTTTCTAGAGTAAAAACAATCGGGATTCTACTATTCTTATTACTACCGTACTATGCAGCAACTTCTAAACTATCTTTCTCTTAGATTTCTTTTCGCTTTCTAAAATCTTATTTGTCATGGATTTTGCTGCTTTCACATGATCACAAAATGCCTTCTTGTTAGTAAGCCAAGTCCAGCAGATAAGGCAGGAAATCGATTCAAGGTAGGACCTACAGTGCTGCCATTCCACATAAAGTCTATCAAACGTTCCTCCTGGTCAAACCAATGAAGCCCTTTGCTTGTAGCAGTATTGTGGCTGCACCATATCCTCGTGTTGGAACATATAAGCATTGACATTGTCATCGTCGTTGTTATTGTACGGAAGCTTTCAAGCCATCGAATATATCTCCAGGCCAGTACATCCTCTTATATAGGGAACAATTCCATATGATCACCATGACTTGATATCGACGGTAGTAGTAGCGCAGTCGAAGAATCCATGACATTGTGCAACCAACTTGAATGATAAAACATCTTAAAATCGAAGAAGCGGAGTGCGTGGCCTTCAGCCAATCGTGTTCAAGCAAGGAAATAGCTTTGAAATCTACAAAAGGGATGAGCGCACCATCGCATACTGCGGCTTTGAACTTGAAGTCGGACCCACTAGGCAAGACGGAAGTGCCATCTCCAGCCATGGAGCCGAGAACTGCAGCTTCTGTCGCTTTAGCTCGTGCTTCAAGAACGGTTCAAATCTTGGTGTAGAGAGGGTCCGGAGGGAGACCCGCAAAAGATGCGGTCGCATAGTCAAAGGAATCCTTGAGACGCTTCGACTAGATTGGTCCAATCGTGCCGCCAGATCTTGGAATGCCAGCAAATCTTGTCCCTCAAAATCAGAAAATTTACTCAATTGCATGACGGTAAAAATTCCTTTGAACTCAGTCACCATCGCAGCTGTTGCAGGATCTTCGTTCCATACAATAATAGCGATGATCGACACATTGCAATCGGTGAATTTGTTGCTCGTCGGAGGAAGTTGAGCTGTTGTTGTGTTGTTCAATGGAATGGCAGTATCATTTGGGTTCTTTGAAGTCCCTGTCCTTGTCCAAGATCATTACGTCAGACCTTGAGGTAAGCATTCGGCGCAGTACCACAACCGAATAAAACATTCGGATGCTTCGTATATCTCTTGACCTTTTCAAGCGCTTCGTCCATGATATATGCTTGACAGGACAAATCATGATGCACAGACTCATCATGACGCAGATGAAACTTGCAACTGTCCAGAGCAAGATGCAGGTCAATTCAGCAAATACGACTGGGGCGCATATGTTCTTGAGAGTAAGCTTTACAAGACTAATCATGGTGCAGAGCAGCCAAGCTGGAAAGTGCCGAGGTCATCACCGTTCCAAAAGAGTATTTCGGAATGGCAGGTGCTGGCGACCATGGCACAATCATGCCACCATCACAGTTGGAATCGTTATCAGCTTGAGGATTCCTTGGCCCATAAATGCAAAGAAGGGTGTGATACAAAAATACCAAGGCTTCTTCGAAAGCTCTCATGATCAAGTCTTATTGTGGAAAAAATATGGGCACCAAATATTGAGAAGCTCCGAGTATGACCCCAAGTCTGTGCAAGTAGTAGTAGCTCTGAGCACCAATTCTCGTGACGCCTGCTGCAAGGGTGGTGGTTTGGTTTGCGATGACACTGTGGACTGCTGGTGCAACTCGACTGATGAGTGGTTGAGCAATGACAGGCATAGCGGCGGCGAGCATGACAATCAGAGTCAATGCTAGTGACACGATGATGCTGTTGTTGTTGTTGTTGTTGTTGTTGTTGTTGATGTTGCGAATGAAAGAGGAGAACATCGTTGCGATAAGATTATTTGCTGGTAAGGAAGATATCACACACAAAAACTTGATGCTTTGTTTGTATGAGCATATTCGAGTGATTTGCAAGACTGATAAAGCAAGGTCTTATTGGAAGAAACCGCTGGAATAAGTTTGAGCATCGTTTGCGAAAGAAGAGGCGTCAGACGCAAACCAACACCCCAAACTCAAACCAAACTCAAACCAAACTCAAATCACGACTTAATGTGCTGAATGAAGCAAACAAAGGCCGGCTGTGTTCATGTATTATCCCTCGGTCATAATATAGGGTTGTGGCGCCTCCATCATGGGATGGACGCAAGATATTCCACCGCCATTATTGTCACCTCGTGATCTGAATGATCTCAAATCTCCACGAAAATCATTTCATCGTCTGGCCTGCGCACGGTACTGTACCATTCGTGACTTCGCTTTTATTCAGTCACTACCGTTTTAGTTCTTCATTATATTTTCAAATTTATGTTGTGTCAATTGTTATAATAACTGTCACTTATTTCATTTCAAGTGCTCTGATCACACACTACAGCATATTACCGCCGCCTCTTATCAACGCCGCAATAAGAGATCAATAACCCAAGCTCCGAACTGATTATGGCAACCTTTCCGATGCCTCCAAACAATAATGTCTTTGTTGTCACAGCCGCAACCACCTACGGCCAAGTTCCTAGGAATGTCCGGTTTGTCCGCGTCGATGGATCCGTTCGCGTCCTTCCTGACAGTATCTTCCAGTATTGCGAGTCATTGAAAGAAGTAAGCTTTGAAGAAGGTACTCATACTATTGGAAAAAGCGCCTTTCGTCATTGCGTGTTATTGACCAAAGTCAAACTTCCCTCTACATTGCGAGCGATTCTAGGCGGGGCATTCAGTGACTGTTTTGGCTTAACTTCGATTGATTTGCCTTTGCGCCTTCACGTCATTGGAGAATGCGCTTTTGGGTTTGCAAATTTACGCCATCTCAAAATACCTGCTACAGTGGAAACCATTGGAGATGGAGCATTCCGAGAGTGTAGACTTTTGGAATCCATCATTCTACCACCAAGGTTGGAGGTGATCGCGTCCAATCTTTTCCACGGGTGCAGTAACCTGAAAGATATTGAGATTCCAAGAACAGTAAAGCTAATTCAGGCATGGGCCTTCGCGTATTGTTCAGCTTTGAAGAAATTGGATTTATTTCGCTGCACCCAATGCTTGGCGATTGGAAGCTTTGCCTTTCGCTCATGTTCGGCGCTGTCATGGATAACCCTTCCGCCCAATCTCAAAGGTGATTTCCCGGGAATCCATGGCTGCTCGGAACTAAGACATCTACGCGTACCACCGCATGTCACTTCCATTGGAAAAGGTACCTTCAATCCATTGCTAGGGTGCACATCCTTCATGTCACTGGAATTTCCGGAAGGATTGGAATCAATCGGACTGCGTGGCTGCGATGATGGATTCGAAACAGGGGTAAGTATGACCGCATGTCAATCCCTGGTGAATATGTATCTGCCTCCATTACAGCAGGTGCCCAATGAAGTCTTTGATGATGAAGTGATTCCTGAAGGATTTCAGCTTGCGAAAGTTGCAACCAACTGGAGAGATCTCGTGACCAAACTAAAACAACGATTTAACGATCGCCCTCTTCACAGAGTATGCTACTTTCACAGCTACCATCTCATAGAAGACACGATTCAACGAATCAAGGATATTCTGATTGACAACCCAAGCGCCTGCGTCCAAACGGATGGCTTTGGGATGACTCCATTGCACATCCTGGTACTGGCTCAAAAGCCAAGACTGGAACTTTTTCAAGAATGCTTCACTTCGGCAGATCTAACCCTGCTGTCGGCTAAAGATCGGTTTGGATCAACTGTACTGGACTATCTTTTCAATAATACTTCCAACGATGGTTTGAAGGTGACTGGAGCGTTGATGAAAAAAGTTGTGGAACAAAGAGTTGCATACCTTGGTCTAGATCGATGGAAGGAAGAGCTATTGGACCTAGCAGAAAGGATTGCAAGCGCTGATCGCCCTTGGAGGATTAGGAATTTTGTCAATTTTCTGTTGCATAGGCTTCAACATTTTGAATTCCTGGAGGTGCTTTCGTTGCTGGAAATGGTTCTTTGGAGAATCAAATTGAGCGAGAGCGAAAATACATTGGATCAAGCAAACACCGATCGAGAAAGCTGTCGAGTCCAATCTGGCATTGCCATTGTGATGGAGAATGTACTCCCCTTTCTCCCGACCGAATGCAGACAAAGTGAGTACGGTTCTGATGACGGTGAAACCCCCGATGCCGAGAATAGCGATATCGATGGAGACAACGATACCTACTACAACGAGGATGCAGTCTAGTGGTAGTGACTACTAAATATAATCTGTACCAGTGGTACTGACTACTAAATATAATCACGCATTCCATATATAATACAATTTATACTTCCATGATAACCACATCATGTCATAAATAAATTTTATGCAGCACAAAATAGTACAGTAGGACGACTACTCTATGAGTTGTCACAGCAATATCGGAGACCAGCCTCGAGAATGGTGGTTACATATTCACTGTCGGCACCACCGGTTCCATTGTAAAAGTGTGAAAAGTGTCCCAATGCCGAATAGAATACTGGCGCCTTTTGTTCGCCAATATTCCGGTACCAAGCCAAAGGATGTCGTTCTCCCATTAGGCCGCCATCAGTGGTGCTTTCGTCCAATGACGCAACGACTGTAATGCTTGGATCATCGTAAACATTCTTGGTAAAGTTGAAGAATTCGTCCGTGTGCATGAATTCAGAAGGAACTGAGACAAGGTTTGGCCCAAGATCGTTCTTGAAGTTCATTGAGACCTTTCCTTTTTGTACTGGTGGGTGATTCTTGAAGTGTGACCCAAAGATGGTGTGAAAAATCTCGGACGTTGGTTCCATGACGGTAGCCCCGGACGCATCCTTTCCATTGAGAAACGCAGCAATGGCAGCGTGAACTCCAACGACACCCTTTCCTTGCTCAATATGCTTCATGAGCGCTTCCGTCTTGTCGAAGATTTGACCAGAGTTGTTCAAAAAGACGACGAGGTCATATGCTGATAGCTTTTCTTCCGATTCCAAAAAGTCCTTGTCGTCCGTGACGACACCCTTCCATCCAAATTCCTGAAGTTTGCAAAGGACCCATGATGCCATGGCAGGAGTAGAATCATGAACATAGTCTTCCATCTTTGTAAAGATGAGAGCCTTCCTTGCCTCTGTGCTCCTGCCTTCCAGCGAGACATGTGGAGCTGATGTGCGCTCATCTAGGACGTCAGACGGAACGCTGCGGGATGGAATTAATTCCTGTATGAAGGGGGAAAAAGAGAAGTGTAATAAGATTTAATTTGATAAAAACTTGGGACAACAACCAAATCAGAACAATTCTTACCAGTCGAATAATCCATGACATTGTGCAACCAACTTGAATGATAAAACATCTTAAAATCGAAGAAGCGGAGTGCGTGGCCTTCAGCCAATCGTGTTCAAGCAAGGAAATAGCTTTGAAATCTACAAAAGGGATGAGCGCACCATCGCATACTGCGGCTTTGAACTTGAAGTCGGACCCACTAGGCGAGACGGAAGTGCCATCTCAAGCAATGAAGCCGAGAACTGCAGCTTCTGTCGCTTTAGCTCGTGCTTCAAGAACGGTTCAAATCTTGGTGTAGAGAAGGTCCGGAGGGAGACTCGCAGAAGATGCGGTCGCATAGTCAAAGGAATCCTTGAGACGCTTCGACTAGATTGGTCCAATCGTGCCGCCAGATCTTGGAATGCCAGCAAATCTTGTCCCTCAAAATCAGAAAATTTACTCAATTGCATTACGGTACAAATTCCTTTGAGCTCAGTCGCCATCGCAGCTGTTGCAGGATCTTCGTTCCATACAATAATAGCGATGATCGACACATTGCAATCGCTGAATTTGTTGCTCGTCGGAGGAAGTTGAGCTGTTGTTGTGTTGTTCACTGGAATATAAAAAATTCGGATGCTTCGTATATCTCTTGACCTTTTCAAGCGCTTCGTCGATGATACATGCTTGACAGGACGAATCATGTTGCCGCAAGAGAGAATAAAGCATAACTCGGTTGCAGATGTCTCTTCGACCTAATCTTATCCACATGAATAAACGCTGCAATCATGTATGGCTCTCAACCCAAGAACTTCAAGACTGCAGAAGAGAATTCATGTGGACTATCAAGGTAACATGCATGTCCGCCATCAAGCTCCAGTGATCTTGCTCCGACATAATCCTCCAACCTCGTAGATATGTCCCTTCCCCCACGATCTTTACTTCCAAAAATCGCCAATACATCGAAGTGTTCGAGTCGTGACAAACGCGCCAGCTGATCCTCAGTGGCTGCGGATACGGCAAAACAAGCCACTGGAATCCATTTCTGGACGTACTTGGGCAAATCAGGAAGTCTACCGTTCGACATCCAATCTACAATGCCCATCCCGGAGGCAGAAGGTGTTATCAACGTGACAGGCAAATTTATTTGAGCTTCTTCCTTCATGGCGGATAGCATTCCTGCTATATCTCGGTGACCTGCCTCAATTGAGAGATCCATAGCTGACACTGACACATGCGGATTACTGCACAGAGTCTCAAAAATTCCAGACGACTTCCAGTCCTCCTTTGTGAAACGGGCGCCGTGAAGCAAAACCAAATGATGACTTTGGTCCGGAGAGAAATTGGAAGCGCAATGATAGTACGGCACATGGCGGGTCTCGCCGTACACTGAGTAAATAATATCGCCCATCTCTATGTTTATGGGAGCACTTTCAGGTTTTATTTTTGTCCCACTCTTCAACTTTAAATTCTGATGCAAAAGTACCAAGAGTCCCAAACAAATGCAGATGGACACGAATAAAACAAACTCTTGCGATTTCCATCGCTTGTTGCTATGCGCTTGGCGAGTAATACGTGACATATGCTTGTATTGAAGTGGTGCTCAAACCCATGTTCTGCATAATAATAAGTTTCAAGTTACGGAATATTTACCACAAGACACCGGCACGGCTAGTCTGACCTCTGCCTCCCACATCTGGTGAACCAAATTGGAGTGGAAGGACAGACACATAAAATAATTCACGAATTTTCACGAGTTCAAATACTTCTGGCATGTCATTATAAGTCATTATATACTGTATGATACAATAGTTACTATTTGTAGTCAGAAGTCAGCAGCTGAATTGCAGCTTTTTTAAAACACTTGAAGACAAAGTAAAAGAGCTGTCGGCTCTACTAGATACGATTTGACTGTACAATATACTACATCTAATATGATTTTGGTGCTGGTACCGGTACGCTGATCCCTCCTTCTTTCATTGCTGCCAAAACATCAATGTGTGGAGGTGCTTTCGTTGCTGCAAATGGTTCTTTGGAGAATCAAATTGAGCGAGAGCGAAAATACATCGGATCAAGCAAACACCGATCGAGAGAGCTGTCGAGTCCAATCTGGCATTGCCTGTGTGATGGAGAATGTGCTCCCCTTTCTCCCGACCGAATTCAGAGAATAGCGATGGAGACAGCGATACCTACTACAACGAGGATGCAGTCTAGTGGTAGTGACTACTAAATATAATCCATACATACTAGTGGTAGTGACTACTAAATATAATCACGCATTCCATGTATAATACAATTTATACTTCCATGATAACCACATCATGTCATAAATAAAATTTTATGCAGCACAAAATAGTACAGTAGGACGACTACTCTATGAGTTGTCACAGCAATATCGGAGACCAGCCTCGAGAATGGTGGTTACATATTCACTGTCGGCACCACCGGTTCCATTGTAAAAGTGTGAAAAGTGTCCCAATGCCGAATAGAATACTGGCGCCTTTTGTTCGCCAATATTCCGGTACCAAGCCAAAGGATGTCGTTCTCCCATTAGGCCGCCATCAGTGGTGCTTTCGTCCAATGACGCAACGACTGTAATGCTTGGATCATCGTAAACATTCTTGGTAAAGTTGAAGAATTCGTCCGTGTGCATGAATTCAGAAGGAACTGAGACAAGGTTTGGCCCAAGATCGTTCTTGAAGTTCATTGAGACCTTTCCTTTTTGTACTGGTGGGTGATTCTTGAAGTGTGACCCAAAGATGGTGTGAAAAATCTCGGACGTTGGTTCCATGACGGTAGCCCCGGACGCATCCTTTCCATTGAGAAACGCAGCAATGGCAGCGTGAACTCCAACGACACCCTTTCCTTGCTCAATATGCTTCATGAGCGCTTCCGTCTTGTCGAAGATTTGACCAGAGTTGTTCAAAAAGACGACGAGGTCATATGCTGATAGCTTTTCTTCCGATTCCAAAAAGTCCTTGTCGTCCGTGACGACACCCTTCCATCCAAATTCCTGAAGTTTGCAAAGGACCCATGATGCCATGGCAGGAGTAGAATCATGAACATAGTCTTCCATCTTTGTAAAGATGAGAGCCTTCCTTGCCTCTGTGCTCCTGCCTTCCAGCGAGACATGTGGAGCTGATGTGCGCTCATCTAAGACGTCAGACGGAACGCTGCGGGATGGAATTCCTGTATAAAAAGGGGAAAAAAGAGAAGTGTAAGATTTAATTTGATAAAAACTTGGGACAATAACAACAAATCAGAACAATTCTTACCTGGAAAGTTGTAGAATTTAATGTCTGCATTTTTGGTATGCACGGGATTAGCTTCGTCTCTTCCATTGATGTAATATCCAACGAATTCTGCCAATCGAAGTCCTTGGCGACGGCACTTTCGTTTGTCTTCAAGATTTCTTGGCTTCTTGGCAATGATCGACCCATAATGATTGGTGTCGAGGAAACCGGTGTAGTCCGTAATTCCAAAACAAGAGAATCCAAAGTTCATGAGGACTGTCTGCATTGCCATGGCGGCAAGTTCACCACCCCCTCCATGTCCTCCTTGAGAAGTAAAGGCAGTAGCGATCTTTCCGTCGGTCGATCCCCAACCTCCAGCCTGCGAGAATTCGTCCCAGAATTGCTTCATGCGATAAGAGATCCCACCCAAGTTTGTGGGAGTACCGCAAGCAATACCATCCGCCCAGTAGACATCGTTAAAAGTAGCAAACGGATGCGAGATATCTCGCTTGGTTTCCGGCTTTTCCCAAGTGGCAGCGGCTCCAGGAACGACGCGGACTCGGACGTCCATCTTGTCGAGAAGCTTGACTCCTTCAGCAATAAGGTCAGCGATCATGGCAGTAGATCCTGAGGAAGTATCGTAGAGAACTAGAATACGGCCATTTCGATGCTTTCGACTGACGCCACTGCTAGTATCATTATGACGAGAGATGGCCAAAGCTTTTTGGCTCACATCCAGTTCGACGGTCTCACTCATGCCATCCATCAAAGGTACAAGCGTTTGAAAATGAGGCGTGTTGAAGTGAGCATCAAGATGAGCTTGGGATTCCCATTCTTCGACAATGATGAAACGATTTTGTTTTTCTGTGCTGCGAACAAAGTCGTAAGAGATGCATCCATCTTCTTTCCATGTCTCGGAAGCCAGCTCCTTGGCCATTTCGAGCCACTTCTGTTGCTTCTCAGCAGGGACGTCCTTGACGACGGTCACGTGGATGTGGATTTGGTTTGACATGTTATCTGGCTTGCACATTTCTTTCTGTTGAAAATTATGATGATGGATGACGACTCATTTTTTTATTCCCATCTGATGTGGGGTCCAGGTACGTAGTCAGTATCTTTTGGGGGATTCAAACGCTCCTGCTAACGCGCGCATAATTTTAACGCTCTTCTTTCGTGGTTGCTAAAGTTCCCAATAGAGAACTTCCCTTTTATCAACGAAATTCAGAACACCGACCTCTCAAGGAGGTACAACGCACGGTGCGAGCTCTTCGTCACTTGCTGCCTGCTACACACAGTAGAAACGTATGTGAAACGAAACCGAACTTAGAGACCGTCAGTGACCCAAAAGCCAAAAAAGGGAGTAGGTTTCTATCAAAAGGAAAAAACGCCCCAACACCGACCTCTCACGGGATTTGGTTAAACGTGTTTTTCTGGTACATGTTTTACGTGAAAAGAACTCGAACGTGGCCGTCAGTGCCACCGGTGTGAATGATTGGCTGGTGGCTGTGCACTGACGAGCGTAAGTGCCAAGAGACACGTCAGCGGTCCCGTGTTAGCTTGTCTTCTCCTACGGAGAGTGCTAACCGATTCTACGACGAATTTGTGGCTGTGCGTAAAACGAGCTTTGATCGGAATTCAACCTCTCGAGCACGTCAGGTTTCTGGAAACCGAACGCTTTTGAAAACCGCAAATTTTTCTCTCACAATTTCACAAAACACGAAAAGTACAAACACTCAAACTAAACGAAATAATGAAGACGCAAACCCTGAACCTCACACAACCAAAGGTCACTCCTGGTTCTATCGATGAAGACAATGTCTACCGAAATCGATTTGCTCGTCCCGGTAAGCCACTTGAATCTAATATCATCATTGAAAGTGGCGCCCTGAATAAGCTCAAGACCCGTGGAAGAGAGTACGTTCCCGAACTGTGTCACGAAGCCAAGAACTATCTCTTGGTTGACGAGATCGTCGACTCAGTCTACGGCGATAAGGTCCTTCAAGGTTTCCGCGATGCCGGATTGGAAGTCTACAAGATCGTCACTCCCGCCGACGCCGTCGATGAGAGCGGAAACCCCAGTGCTGAACGCCACAAGACACTCGCTGTGTTCTCGAACTGCGTGAATGAGATTCTGGACTCCGGTATCTCCAAGCACTCCTGCATAATTTCCTTGGGTGGCGGCGTGACAAATAATCTAGCAGGATATATTGCTTCGTCGCTGTACAGAGGAGTAACGCTTGTTCATTTCTGCACGAGTATGATGTCTATGACCGATGCAGCCATTGATTTCAAGCAAGCCGTGAACCACCAGCTCGGAAAGAACCTGCTTGGATCGTACTATCCAGCTGCCAATATTGTGATTGACCCTGAAGTCTTGGAGACTTTGTCCAAGCGACACATTCTGAATGGAATCTCCGAGGCCCTCAAGCATGCCCTCTGTCAGTCGAGAAAGGTGACCGAGGCCATTGTCAATCCATTGGACGAGGACCTCCACCAAGCTCTTCGCAACTCTGACTTCCTCGAGATGGTCTGCCGCGATTGCATTGACCACAAGGTTCCCACTTTGACCCACTACAACGAGTCAGACTTTAACGAGATGGTCCCTCAATACGGGCATGCCATTGCCCATGCCGTTGAGCATTTGTCCTTTCACTCTAAGGGTGTGAGCCCTTTGTTGCACGGTGAGGCCGTCGCCATTGGAATGTGCGTGACTGCCGAGGTCAGCCGTATTCTTGGAGTCTGTGATGAGAGCACAGTTGACGAGCACTACAGCTACGTCTCAAGAGCTGGTCTTCCTGTTTACGTCCCTGATGGAATCGGAATCGAGGCCATCCAAAACAAGCTGTGCTATGATAAGCACTACGTCAAGAAGCCCACCATGGGTCTGTTGGCCGAGATTGGAAAGATGCACTGTAATCGTGACGGTTCATTTTCTGTTGAGGTTGATAACGAGGTCATCAACCAAGCTTTGGTGAACCACATGAAGCGAAGAGACAATGCTGACAGATGTACTGACTTGTACACTATCGAAGCCAGCGACACACTCAAGTCCGGCCACCCATCATCAGCTGGATTCACCGTCTCATCCGATGGTTCCGATTCTAATCCAGCCTCCGATCGCTCGCACAGTCGCAGTGCTTCCTTGGACAGTGAAAGCAACCGATCATATGGTCCTGCCACTACATTCGATTGGGATCCAATGACTGCAAAGTCTTTTGGAACTCGACAACAAGGGATCAGTAACTGCTACTGCAATCCATGGGAGTGCAGTTGTTGAACATTGACTTATTGATTCTATCTTACGAAAGATGGCACCAAATAGAATGCAAACTTCATATTAGTAAAACTTATTTTACAACTTCCTACTACCTTTTGGAATATTAGTCAACTAGAAAGTGGCTAGGTTGTATTGGAGTATGTTTATCGTCTTTGTGTGGTGTTCCTCGCCTACTGGAAGGTAGTGAATAACATCGAAGTCAACCCGCTTCTAGAGCACAACCATGGATTTTTTTGCCACTCGTTATTCGCTGAATGTAGCACGATGTGCTAAGTGCCAGTGCATACATGAGTAGGTATCCTGGTTATTGGCATGCATGTCTGCTGCCTGTTGCTATTGAACTATCCGACTCATTCATTCATTCGACTTCGTGAGTCATCATCATGGTTTTGAAAAGCGGTTCGTCATCAGTCGTCATAGACTGTAACCTAGTTGTGGGACTCAAAACGTATCATTGAGTGTAGCAAACGCTCGTGCATTTACTTTCAACACCTGCCTACTACAGTCGTACAAGAACAACATAACTGTTACAATACCTGTCGCCTCCTCGCCAACGCTGGATGCCACGTGCAAGCTTCCCGTTTAGGACGGGGCATTTTTCTCCCGTACAAATGTACAGGCATTTACCCTTTAATAGCGCTCAAAATCTTCCTTCCGGTACAGGATGGGTGTAAAACGACCTTCCGATCCTGTACGTTTGTCTACATTTTTGGGATACCAGCTCCCGATTGTTCTCAAATCGAAAAAGAATTTGTGGCTGTGAGTGAAAAGCGGACCTCTTAGTCCAGGGTCGAGCTCGTTGCAGAAGAATTCGAGCTCGCCACGACTTCGGATGCGCGTTTCACCTCTTCACAATTTTTTCCCTTCCTCCTCACAATTCCAGAAAACACAGAAACCAAACAACTAAACAAAAGTTGAACGAACCAAACAAATAAACAAACTACAACACAATGAAGACGCAAACCATGAACCTCACACAACCAAAGGTCACTCCTGGTACTATGGAAAACAACTCCATGAAGACGAAAACCCTGAACCTCGCACAACCAAAGGTCACTCCTGGTTCTATCGATGAAGACAATGTCTACAGAAATCGATTTGCTCGTCCCGGTAAGCCACTTGAATCTAATATCATCATTGAAAGTGGCGCTCTGCGAAATCTCGAAACGCGTGGAAGGGAAATCATCCCCGAGCTGTGTCACGAAGCCAAGAACTACCTCGTCGTGGACGAGATCGTCGACTCAGTCTACGGCGATAAGGTCCTCCAAGGCTTCCGCGATGCCGGATTGGATGTCTACAAGATCGTCACTCCCGCCGACGCCGTCGACGAGAGCGGAAACCCCAGTGCTGAACGCCACAAGACACTCGCTGTGTTCTCGAACTGCGTGAACGAAATCCTTGAGTCCGGCATCTCCAAGAACTCCTGCATAATTTCCTTGGGTGGCGGCGTGACAAATAATTTATGCGGCTTCATTGCTTCTTCGCTGTACAGAGGAGTAACGCTTGTTCATTTGACCACGTCAATGATGGGGATGACCGATGCAGCCATTGATTTCAAGCAAGCCGTGAACCACCAGCTCGGAAAGAACCTGCTTGGATCGTACTATCCAGCTGCCAATATTGTGATTGATCCCGAAGTCTTGGAAACTTTGTCCAAGCGACACATTCTGAATGGAATCTCCGAGGCCCTCAAGCACGCCCTCTGTCAGTCGAGAAAGGTGACCGAGGCCATTGTCAATCCATTGGACGAGGACCTCCACCAAGCTCTTCGCAACTCTGACTTCCTCGAGATGGTCTGCCGCGATTGCATTGACCACAAGGTTCCCACTTTGACCCACTACAACGAGTCAGACTTTAACGAGATGGTCCCTCAATACGGGCATGCCATTGCCCATGCCGTTGAGCATTTGTCCTTTCACTCTAAGGGTGTGAGCCCTTTGTTGCACGGTGAGGCCGTCGCCATTGGAATGTGCGTGACTGCCGAGGTCAGCCGTATTCTTGGAGTCTGTGATGAGAGCACAGTTGACGAGCACTACAGCTACGTCTCAAGAGCTGGTCTTCCTGTTTACGTCCCTGATGGAATCGGAATCGAGGCCATCCAAAACAAGCTGTGCTATGATAAGCACTACGTCAAGAAGCCCACCATGGGTCTGTTGGCCGAGATTGGAAAGATGCACTGTAATCGTGACGGTTCATTTTCTGTTGAGGTTGATAACGAGGTCATCAACCAAGCTTTGGTGAACCACATGAAGCGAAGAGACAATGCTGACAGATGTACTGACTTGTACACTATCGAAGCCAGCGACACACTCAAGTCCGGCCACCCATCATCAGCTGGATTCACCGTCTCATCCGATGGTTCCGATTCTAATCCAGCCTCCGATCGCTCGCACAGTCGCAGTGCTTCCTTGGACAGTGAAAGCAACCGATCATATGGTCCTGCCACTACATTCGATTGGGATCCAATGACTGCAAAGTCTTTTGGAACTCGACAACAAGGGATCAGTAACTGCTACTGCAATCCATGGGAGTGCAGTTGTTGAACATTGACTTATTGATTCTATCTTACGAAAGATGGCACCAAATAGAATGCAAACTTCATATTAGTAAAACTTATTTTACAACTTCCTACTACCTTTTGGAATATTAGTCAACTAGAAAGTTGCTCGTTTGTATTGGAGTTCCGTTTACCGGTGGCTAGTGAATAACATTCAAATTAAGATACTGGCTTGGTTGTACTGAGTACTGTAGGTTTGTGGACTTTTTGTGGTCTTCCTCGCCTACCGATACCAGGTGGTAGGAAGTCGAGGACCCGCTCTAGGAGAACTAGTGTGGGTTTCTTTTCCACTGAGGATGTCTTGCTCTTCGCTGAATGTAGCTGAATGTGGGAAGTGTTAGTACACCTGCTAATATCACATCAGTAGGTATCCTAGGCTATTATTGGCTTGTCTGTTGTCTGTTGACTGTTGCCTGTTGCTATCCGATTGCTATCGATCTCCACTAGCACTGTTGCCTGCTGCTATCCTCGAACTATCCGATTGCTATCGAACTATCCGATTGCTATTGAACTATCCGACTCTCCATTCATATAAGCAACTTGGTGAGTCGTCACACCAAGGGGTTTGTCATCAACAGTATCGTCACTGACAGACTAAATGAGCCTACAGTAGTTGTGGGACTCAAAAGTATCAGCAAACGCTCGTTCATTTCTCATCGAGAATTTTGACCTGCCCAATACTGTACCGGCAGGCTCACCAATGATGGATGTCACGTGCAAAAGCTTCTCGTCCAAAGCTGCAGTTTTCTGTACCAGGTACCAGGTACCAGGTACAGCACAATACAGTACACTCTGTAATTGCGCCTGAATATCTTCCGATGTGCGTAAAACGACCTTCCGATCCTGTGTGCGTTTGTCTACATTTTTGGGATACCAGCTCCCGATTGTTCTCAAATCGAGAGAGAATTTGTGGCTGTGAGCTTTTGAGTCAAACCTCCTCGTGGTCTTCGGTTCGTTTCAGTTCTTGTCAGTTTGTCGGAACTTTGGAATTCTTGTTTCCAAAGAACTCCAATTTTTGTCAGTGCGAGGTCTCGACTTTGTTATTCTTGTCAGTTTGTCGGAACTTTCAATGAAAATGCATCTCTTGCCCTTCGCAATTTCTTTTTGTGACAGTGCGTGGAAAGATGATGGTTTCAGATTGGGATGTATTTTATCGGTGGATGTGAACGCGACCAACCAATTTGTGTCGTCGTCAAGACCACTTTTTCGTCGACTGGTCGTCAATCATACAATGCATATTCATACATTACTACTATGCACTCTTAAAACTTCAATGTGATAAGCCATGTTTGAATAGAATAGTCCTATAGCAATTGTTTTTTAGTCATTGTATTTATACAGCGACAAAGCCACCATCGACAAGTAGATCTGCTCCCATAGTGTAGGACGACGCATCGGATGCCAAATACAAGACAGCACCTGCCAGCTCTTCTGGTTTTCCCAATCGCTTCATGGGTACAGTTGCTTCTACAGAGGCCAATTTCTCTTTTTCCTCTGTAAACTTGGCATTCATTTCCGTCATGAAGATACCAGGAGAAACACTGTTGACAGTAAGATTTCGTGAGTCTTTCTTTCCGGCCATGTCAGCAGCCAACGATTTGGTAAACAGAAGCATGGCTCCCTTGGTCAAGCAGTACAAAGAATTGTCTCCATTTCCGACATGACCAATCATGCTGGAGACGTTAATGATCCGACCAGCTGGGGACTTTTTCAACAGCGGCAAGGTTTCCTTTGACATGTTCATCGGGCCTTCAATGTTGACCTTGTTGATACTTCCCCATGAATCAGGAGAATACTGTTCTTCAAAAGGAGCTTCTGGTAAGTTAATTCCAGCATTGTTGACCAAAATATCAAGTTTTCCAACTTTGGACTTGATTTCTTCGACAATGGCACAGGTATCTTTGACGTCGGAGGTATCTCCTGCAGCCGCAAACACTCGGCCCTCGTCTTCCACCAGCTTGGCAATTTCGTCGACAGCCTGTTGGGTAGATTTTAGTTTCCTCCCATTGATGAATACTGTGCAACCAGCTTGAAGGAGGGTTTCCGCAATCGACCTACCAAGGCCTCCTGTGGATCCCGTCACAAGAGCAACCTTTCCATCCAGTCCGAGAAAGGACGACAGATATTCTTCTGATGATCGTCTGACCATGCTGAGAGGTTGCTGCCGAAGAGCAGATTGGCATTTTGGCTGTGGGACGACAAATGCCTGAGTTGCAGCGACACCGAGGAACGCCAGGATGGTGACCAATAAACTTCGTGACATCTTCTTTCTTGTTGCTGTTGCTGTTGCTGTTGCTGTGTTGTGAGATAGATTTGGTTGATGTTTCAACAATCAGTCAGATTGAGGGAGTTGATCTTTGTGTGATACAGTACTTTTCGTCGTTGCCTATCGGCATGTACGCTATCGACGATAGGTCGTTTGATGTACCGCGAATGAATCAGACCGGCGCTTGTGTTCTACTCTCTTCCATTTTTGTTGTTGACGTTTCGAGATTTGTTTGCCGTGTCAGTGATGACGAGTGTCGACGATGATGTGTAAAAATATGTGAAATCCTTAAATAAATTTATATAACTTTCTATGTGAATGCGACCAAAAGATTTCTTTGGCCCACTTTTTGGGGCTGTCGATCAGCTACCCTATCACGAAGCATGCATGCCTACAACTGCTACGTAATGAGCCATGTTCAAATGGAATACAATAGTAATTGTTTCAAAAAATGAATGCAAGGTGCAATGAACTTATACAGCGACAAAGCCACCATCGACAAGTACATCCGCTCCCATAGTATAGGAAGCAGCATCGGATGCCAAATACAAGACAGCTCCCGCCAACTCTTCTGGTCTTCCCAAACGCTGCATGGGCACAGTTGCTTCCACAGTGGCCAGTTTATCCTTTTCCTCTGTAAACTTGGCATTCATATCCGTCATGAAGATTCCAGGAGAAACACTATTCACTGTAAGATTTTGCGAGTCTTCCTTGCCGGCCATGTCTGCCGCCAAAGATCTTGTATGAGCTAGCATGGCTCCCTTGGTCATGGTATACAAGGAGTTCTCCCCATTTCCGACATGAGCAATCATACTGGAGACATTAATGATTCGTCCAGCGGGGGATAGTTTCAGCAGAGGCAAGGCTTCTCTAGACATGTTCATTGGGCCTTGAATGTTGACCTTGTTGATCTTGTCCCATTCTTCCGGAGAATATTGTTCTTCAAAAGTCCCTTCTGCCAAGTTAATTCCAGCATTATTGACCAAAACATCAAGACTTCCAACTTTGGACTTGATTTCTTCGACAATGGCAGTGGCAGCTTCAATGTCGGAGGTATCACCAGTGGCCGCAAAGACTCGGTTCTTCTCACCAGGAACCAGCTTGGCAATTTCATCGACTGCCGCTTGAGTCCTTTCTTGATTTCTTCCATTAATAAATACGGTACATCCAGCCTGCAGGAGGACTTCGGCCATGGACCGACCAAGACCCGCTGTGGAGCCCGTCACGAGAGCAACCTTTCGTTCAAGTCCGAGGAATTTTGATAGAAATGCGGATGATGCTTTGTTTACAGTTGTCATGATGATGAATTAAAAAGTAGGTACGAATATTATGATTTTCTTTAAGTCTGCTGCTGTCCCTTATCTTATTGCCGTCAATCAGAATAGGACTAGTGGGACTGAAGTTACAATAGAAGTCGTTTGGTGTAGCGTGAATGAATGAATGAATGAATGAATGGATGAATGAATCAGACCGGCGCTTCTGGTTGACCTTCCATTTTTGACGTTTTCACATTTTTCGTTTTTGGTTTGATGAGTCGCTATGACATGGATGACATGGGTGGACGATGCGAGGCGAAGTAGAACACACGAGGTCCTGTTTATTGACAGATTTATCGACAAAAGTATCAATAAATGATGAACGACGCCGGCCAGACAGGCGCTTCAATTACTGCTACCAAAGAAAGAACGAAAATATACCGGGTGGTCGGATCTCACGAAATTCGCATCAAAGCATCAAATTTGAGAGTGAATTGTGTGACACACAAGAAATACAATTGCAAATACAAACGAAGAAATAGCAACAATGAAAGTCTTAGACACACCAAAAACGGCAGATCTTAGAAATGATAGCTTCATCAACAAGCTTGCGATCGTCGCTAGTATGAGCGGCCTGCTCTTTGGATATGATACGGTAGGTCACACAATCACATATATGTTATGCTCGTCGTTACGGTAGAATCGTGGACAAATTGGGGCTTCTGAGCTGGACTCAAACTTCTGATCTGATTTGATCTGATCCAAGCTAAGCCAAGCTAAAGCTGTTGATCTCTGCTGCTAATGCGGCTTGAATACTCAATCAATCTACCCTGAGACATCCACATTGATACTGGAAGAATGATTGATTCATTCATCCATTCCCCTTTTTTTGTGCCGACTGACTCGTGTTGGTTGGAATGATCAATCTCGTGCTTGTGATTATGTTTTGTTCCGTTTCCTTCATTCGCTCTCCCTTATTCTGACACATCACTGTCATTACCATTGCTTCTGTCAGGGTGTCGTATCTGGAGCCATTGTGTACATGAGAGTCCAAATGGACCTGTCACCGTTTCAGGTGGAAGTTGTGGTATCATCCACCATCTTGGCAGCCGCCTTTTCTTCCTTTTGGGGACATCACATCATGGACAAGTATGGCCGAAAATTCACTCTCATGGTAGCATCATCGATTTTCATCGTTGGGAGTATCATTATGGGTGCCTCCTTTGGTCCCTACCATAAGGGTCTTACAATGATGGTGATTGGAAGGATTACAGTCGGCATCGCCATTGGATTGGCATCTGAGGCTGGTCCACTTTATATTTCTGAATGTGCTCCACCACCGCTGAGAGGAAAGTTGACAACGTTATTCAATATTGCCGTGGTGGGAGGTCAAGTCTTTGCTGCCATCCTTTGTGGTGCACTGAGTTATTTGCCATGGAGTTACAACTGGAGACTCATGCTTGCCTTTGGAGCTTTCCCTGCTCTTGGTCAATTACTCGGCTTTCTTTCCTTGCCAATCAGTCCAGCATGGTTGGTATTGCAAGGAAAGGAGGAAGAAGCTGAAATCGTTCTGCGGCAAATTCGAATGATTCCCGTCCAGCAAAACGAAGATGGCGAGATTATTCCTGATCCTGTCCAAAAGGAACTCAAAGAGATTGTTGACGAGTTTGAAGAATCCAAAAAGAAGCAACATGTCAGCTTGTTTCGACTGTGGACCGCGTATCCCAGTATTCGCCGGGCCATGATTCTTGGATGCAGTCTTTGGGCGGTAAGTTTCTATTGTCGTTGTCGATATTTTCAATATTGAAGATTTAATAATCAATGAATCGTCCATTTACTCACACGTGTTTTTTTAATTGCAATACTGTAGGTCTCACAACTTGCCGGCATCAACACAATCATGTACTACGGTGCCAGTATTGTCCGAAAGGCCGGACTTGGTGGCGATCGTTCCTTTGATATCTGGATCACAGTGCCTCTCTACTTTATGCAGCTTGTTGGTATCATTATCTGTTACAACATTATTGATCGCTGGGGCCGAAGACCTACGCTTTTGTTCAGTATGACCTTGGTTCTGATTGGCCTCCTAACGATCGGAACGGGATTTGCAACCGACAATGGCATTCTCACCATTATTGGAATGGTATGCTACCTCTTTGCCTTTGGTGTCGGTCTATCAACAATGCCGTACACCATGAATGCTGAAATCTATCCAACCGAATACCGTGGAGTGTGTGTGGCACAGTCGACGGGTGTCTTTTGGGCGACGAATTTCGTTGTTAGTTTGACCTTTTTGACGCTGGCCCGAGTGTTGGGCAATGCCGGGGTCTTTTTCTTGTACGCTGGCATTGTCTTTGTCAGTGAAATTTATTTCTACTTTGTGGTTCCCGAAACCAGCGGGCTGTCCTTGCATGAAATTCAAGCCATCTTTGAACAAAAGCCGGAAGAAAGTGTCGGCCTCTCTGATACGAGTACGGACGGTATTGAAACGACAGAGTACGGAAGTACCGATGTATCACCGGATGTGTCATCGTCACCAGCAGAAAGGAAACTTCCTATGTTTGTATAAAGCAAGACCAGGCGGTCGTTGGGGGAATGGTGCCATTACGGCCTGATCTTCCGTTTTATACATCATTAGTATTTGTTTCCATATAATATATATATCTTTACTTGTCTGTAGGGATTAAAAAGGCTAAAGGCTGGGAGTCGTTCATTCGTATCATAACAATTTAGATTAGAGGCTAGATACTATCCTACCATACGTATTAGTTCATGAAGGCTAAACAAAGAGTACATGTGGCAAACCATATTATCTATTTGCAACAAATTTTACATTCGCAACATGAAAAAGACATTGTATCGACCTCATTATACGGGGAAGGAACGCATTATATGATTCGCGAATCGTTGACGTCTAATTTGGTCGTCGAAGCTGCTCTGCCCTGCGGTTTCGATTCATTTTTAAAACATTTCTTTGGCGCACACACACTCGACGGTATTCGGTTGATTGATGTCGGCTTTCATGGTGTATGGCATTGTTGTTGATAAACACCGAAGGGAAGAAGGTAGCATATCATTCCACTAATGGCGAGAATGACATTGTCGATTGCAAATCCCGTTCCAAAAGTTAGGATGCCAATCAGAACCAAGGTTAAGCTGAACATTAAGGAGTGATTTTTCGGCCCCTGCGAGTCGCATAAAGTAGAAATCAAATAAAAGGAATGACCAACGCCAAGTACCAAAGGCCAAGATTGTGTAGATCGCGGCAAGTTGCAACACCTTTTACAAAAACAGTAATTATGATAGTATCACATATTGATATTCATTCAATACGGACGGCAGAACCATTATTAGTGTACGGTAATATACTGTATCTAGTTTTTATAATAGCACCTTGCATCTGTGCCATTATTACTCATTTCTCGTAGTATCCGACACAGCTCGATGGTAGCACATCTGTGCAATCCAGTAGGCAAGGCTACATCATGCGGTTCATTGAAGCTCAGGAATGGCGGAGGTGGTGTCAGGTAATCTTTAACATTCGTCGGTAGGATGCCACGAAGATGTTTGAATGTTATGATCGACTCCATTCGTCGTAATCTGAAATCAAGGGTAAGGTGCACAAAATCCGAGTTTCCTACTATATATTTAGCTTTGCACATATAAAAGTGTCTCTGCAACCTGCAACGCTATGTTGCGAAATAAATGGCAGGTATTCCATAAAATAGGTGATGAATATTTGAAAATCGTCGTATTTTTCATACTACCCCTACGATGACGGCACATTTCCGCTTGGAATAACCAAAGATCGAGCATAGGGCTAAAATCCTCGAAAGAATGCGCGTCGAACCGTCTAAATGGCGTTAGATTGCGACGTCTTTAAAAAATGACCATTTTTTAAATTGCTATGGTGATATTTTTTAGAATCGGGGTCATATATATTGAACACCGGTCAGAATTTGATTTCGGCACTTTTCCGAGAAGCCTGCAGTAGAATGTGCGCGTACCGGTACCGCTACCTCGTACCGATGTGCTTACTGCTTACTGGTAAAAGACATGGCATTTGTACCAAAGACCACGTAGATTTTTATACTTTCATCCTTGTACAGTATTCAGAATCGATCGTTACCAGCCATCATGCCGGAGAAAGAAGAGCCGTCCTCATCGGGAAGCTACAAGTCGCGATCGTCCTCTCGAAGATCTTCGAGTAGAAGATCGAAAACAACAAGAAAAGCAGTCGAAGATCGTTCCGAATCATCACATGCCTCTGATTTGTTGGAGAAGGGCGAAAGACGTACTCGATCTTCCACACGATCGAAAACAACAAGAGAAGCAGATGAAGATCCTGCTAAATCATCCCATTTAGAGTCCAGCCAGAGAAGCAGAAGATCACGAAAGAGTGATGGAAAGAAGAAACGAAGCGCTGCAAAGGCATCGAGGCCTGGTGCGATTTCAGAAATCGCTGCCAGCAGTTCTGGCAATCGTAGTAGAAACAAGGAACGAAGCTCTACACGAGCATACAAGGATGGTGTCGTTCCCGAGAACGACCGCAGTATCGCTGCTGATCGAAAGAAGGACCGAACAAGGTCTTCTAACCGATCATCCAACAAACCCGGAGCTCGTCCCGAAGATCGAATGACCCACCGCGAGAAAAGAAAAGAAGAAAAGGCTGTCAGCTCCTCCACTAAACAGCTGCCGGCGCCCGCTGCAGCCAAAGGCAACTCTGAGGAAGCTGATATTTTGTTTGAAGCGGTGGCTGTGGATGAAAATAACTCAGAAAGTCAAGATGCTGTTCATAAATTGACTCGCGAGTTTGAGCAAAGGGAAAAGAAACGTCAACAAGAAATGGAAGCTTTGAACCAGCGACTGGAAGCTGAGAGTGCACAACGAGAAGCAAACGAAGAAGCGCAACGAGAAGCACAACGAAAAGAGAAGAAGAAGCAAACAATGCGGATCGTTATTGGTGTATCTTGTTGCATTCTTGTTCTCGTTGCCGTCGGAGTTGCTGCTTACTTTGCTCTCAACAAAGATGAAGCAACCGTGACGCAGATATTTGTGACTCAGATATACAATCCACCCACTCAAGAAGAGTGTCGCGCGATCGCAAGGAATGAAACCATTGTTGTTGGACAAGAAGCCGAATTGGAACAGACAATTCTTGACATGGCCTTTGATGTCACTATGGATTCGGGTTGCGAAATTACTACCCCTCAGGTGGACATTATCTTGATGGCCATTCAAGAAAAACTTCTTCCACCCTTGGCCGGATGCTCCAGTGAGACTGCCAGTCGCCGTGGGCTGGTAGCTGATAACGAGCAGCCAGAACTTGCCAATGGGGAAAATCGTTATGTGATTTTGAATGCATTCGTCACGGGTCGAATCGATCCGGATGTAATCTGTGGTGACAGCAGTCAAGATGAGTCGAAACTCTTTCATCGGATCTCAACGAATGTGAATCTCATTTTGAAAGGACCTGTTGAAAGGTCGGATCTTGTCCTTTTGGCTTTTGACCAAGTCGATGAGGTATTGAAAAACGGAGGACACGATGATGATAACTTGAAGGATCCATTCGGTTTGGACGAATCATTCTCCACAGTACGATTGGTCAAAATTGAAGATCAATATGTATCATCGGCTCCATCAACTGCTCTAACGCCGGTTCCATCTTTTAGTCCCAGTCGAACGACCTCTCAAGACCAAAGCTTATCACCATCAAGAGTCACACCTGTGCCATCAACGAGGCCTACCTTTGCTCCAGTAGTTGTTTCAACGCTTCCGCCAACTGCAACTGTAATAATCCAAACTGTAGAGCCATCAAATAGACCCACATTGGCTCCAGTTGCAAGACCCTCCGATACGCCAAGTCTACGTCCTTCCATCACAACCTCTTCATCACCAACATTGGCTCCAGTGGTGGGTCCAACTCTTTCGCCCTCGAGCGCACCTTCGACAGTACCATCGAAAATGCCAAGTTTGTCTCCAACAGCTCTTCCAAGTGAAGTTTCATCTGCCGGTCCTTCGTGGGTGCCATCGGTAGTGCCATCTTTGAATCCATCAACCGAGCCGAGCATGTCTCAATCTTTGAATCCATCAACCGAGCCGAGCATGTCTCAATCTTTGAATCCATCAACCCAGCCGAGCATGTCTCAATCTTTGAATCCATCCATGCAACCAAGTATGGTTTCATCTGCCATTCCATCGATGAAGCCAAGTATGGTTCCATCTGCTACTCCTTCAATCCAACTCTCGCAATCTCAAAGATGCTTTCAAAGCAGCACTGAACTCAGTAGTGAAGTCAACAACTGGTTTGGTACCCCATTGCAAAAGTCAACAGTCGAAAACACATATGGCCTCATTGGAGACTGGTGTTTTGGTGCAGGTGTGACCAGTATGCATCAACTATTCAAGGATCGCTCTGCTTTCAATGAAGACATTTCGAACTGGGACGTTTCTTCTGTGACAAGCATGAGTTCCATGTTCTGGCGAGCTTCATCCTTCAATCAAGACTTGTCAAGTTGGGATGTTTCTTCTGTGGCATATATGGTTTACATGTTCCGAGAAACACCCTTCAATCAAGACATATCATCCTGGGATGTTTCTTCTGTTAGAAATATGAATGCCATGTTCTGGCAAGCATCTGATTTCAATCAAGACTTGTCATCCTGGAATGTTTCTTCTCTGCAAAATATGGGTTGGATGTTCGGTTATGCATCATCCTTCAATCAGAATCTTTGTGCGTGGGGACCGCGCTTGCGGCCGAACCAGGACCTGTTTCGGGTCACTTTTTCTGGCGCCACCAGCTGCCCAACACAATCCAATCCAAGCTTGTCGGCGAATCCACCAGGGCCATTTTGCCACTTTTGCTAAATAAGTGAACCCCCCAAATTTTCGATTGCAATCAGGCTGTTCTCTAGTGGACTCTATAATGAAATCGGGATAGACATAGAAATATGTTGAATGTCAGCCTCACCACCTGACCTGGTGACATGAAAGGCATTTTGCAACAGGGAAGGTGGAAGGAGGAAGGAGAGGCAACATTGAACCATCCATGCATGCAGTGGCAAAAAGCAAGATTTTAGAAAGCGAGAAGAAATCTTAAAGAAAGGTAGCAGAAAAAAGTAGTTTCGAAGTTGCTGTAGCGGTACCATTTCAAGACTTCATTCTTGACTATATGCCGGTACTATTTTATATCTGTACTGTAGAATCCCGATATATGTCTGCTTCTCCCACCAGTTGCAGACCCTACCCTGTACATTTATATACTGTAGGTTGTGATCAGAACACTTGAAATGAAATAAATGACAACAACACAACAAATTTGAAATAAAACGGCGGTAGTGACTGAAACGAAGTCACGAGTGGTACAGTACGTGTACTGTGCGCAGGCCAGGCGCAGACGATGAAATGTTTTTCGTTTTTCGATTTCAGATTTGAGGAGATTTGAGATGATTCAGATCTCGTAGCTCGAGGTGACAATGTAATGGCGGTGGAATATCTTGGCGTCCATCCCATGATGGAGGCGCCACTACCCTATATTATGACCAAGGGATAATACATGAACGCAGCCGGCCTTCATTTGCTTCATTTAGCACATTAAGTCGTGATTTGAAATTGGTTTGAGTTTGGGGTGTTGGTTTGCATCTAACGCATCTTCTTACTGAAACAATGCCCAAAATTATTCAAGCGGTTTCTTCCAAGACCGTGCTGCAATTTTGCAAAGCACTCGGATATGCTCATAAAAACAAAGCGTCAAGCTTTTGTGTGTGATACCTTCCTTACCAGCAAATAATCTTGTCGCAACGATGTTCTCCTTTTTCAGTGTTCTCCTTTTTCATTTGAACATCAACAACAGCAACAACAACAACATAGCGTCACTAGCATTGACTCTGATTGTCATGCTCACCGCCGCCATGCCTGTCATTGCTCAATCACTCATCAGTCGAGTTCCTCGGAAGAACCGTTGAGTTTGGCGTCATGATCTTCGCTGCCAGCCTCCCATTCTAGTTCGTTTTCATTTTCAAGCTCGCCTCCACTCGGAACCCTTTCATCGTTGGATTCGCAGCATACGGAGCTTTTCAACGGCACGATGCCATACAGGTATCACTTGCATGGCACTGTCTACGGCACCCCGCCGCGAACTACTTCTCCTTTTTGGTTCTTGAGGATCCATATACTTGCGTTCATCTCATTCATCGCTTTTCGCTTTTTCTGCTTAACCCAGAGATGCCAGTTTTTGGCACTCATCCTCCTGATACCAAAGCCGGAAGAAAGTGTCGCCCACTCTGATTTGAGTACGGACGGTATTGAAATGACAGAGTACGGAAGTACCGATGTGTCACCATGCGTCACCGGAAAAGGAAACTTCCAATGGTTGCATAAAGTCAAGACCAGGCCGGTGTTGGAATGGCGTCATTAGGATCTTCCGCTTTATACCTTAGTATCCGTTGCTATATATTAAATGCCTGTATGCATAAGGCTGGGAGTCGTTCATTCGTATCTCGTATCATAATAATAATGAGGGGCCAGAAATCGTCCTTGGACCAGTCCATGCAGGCAAAAATTAAAACGTTCTCAATCGATTAGCAAATTTACTAGTTACAATGCATTGCGGAAAATAATGTCTTGGGCGCAAGGAGTACCTTCGACTTGCTCTGGTTCGTTGTTGCTCATCATTTTGGGTTTCTTCTCTTCTAGCTTTTGCTTTCTCAAATGCCTCATTGACAGCTTCGCCTCATATTTGGCCAGCTTCTTGTCCAGAGGAGACAATGTCCCATCCAAATTTTAAAGAAAGAATCCGGTAGAAACGACCCAAAATGCGTTGGATAATTTCATCCTTCTCCTCGTGGTTGGCTTGCGGGTACGGATCATTACTCTTTCTCAGGAGTGTTCTGCATGTTGTTGTTGTTGTTGCACGATATTTTTGCAGCAAAGAGGTTTTCTTCCAAAGATGACAGAATCGAATTTCTTCATTGCGCTTCCCGCCATCGTGGGTTCCGAGTGTTGCACTCCAGATTCTTGTGCTCTTTTTTCATCCATGATGTTGCCATTCTGACATATGCGGGGCGTTTGCCATTTTTGACTAATATGGAAATGACTAGAGTCGAACGATTCCAACAAAAGACGAACTCACTTAGCTTCTTTGCTATCGCACCATTCTCACTTTCAACTTACCGTCTTACTACTGTCGCGCAAATTAACGCGCAGTTGCCTTTGTTTCACATCCGCATCCGCACCCAAACTGCACAATTCGGAAAGCAAAGCAGATCAACAAGATGAAGACTCCTGAATCCGTTTTGAAGAAGCAAGCCACTCAAAAGAAGCTTGCTGATGCTGCTGCCGCCGCCGCTGCTGCCGCCGAAAAGAAGGCTGCGGAAGACGCCAAGAAGTTCGTCGCCAACGCTGAAAAGTACGACGCGGAATACGCCAAAGCCCAAAGGGAAGCCATTGACAACCGCCGCAAGGCCAAGGTCGACGGTGGATTCTTTGTCCCCGCCCAGCCCAAGGTCGCCCTTGTCATCCGTATCCGCGGTACCATCGGTGTCTCCCCCAAGGCGAAGAAGGTCATGCAACTATTCCGTCTTCGTCAATTGCACAATGCTTCCTTTGTTCGTCTGAACGAAGCTACCATTCGCATGTTGCGATTGATCGAACCTTACGTCACTTACGGTTACCCCACCAGAGAGACCATCCAAAAGCTCATCTGGAAGCGTGGATTCGGAAAGATCAACAAGCAACGCATCCCCATTGGTGACAACAAGGTTATTGGAGAGGGACTTGGAAGTGTCGGTATCGAGTGCGCTGCTGACTTGATCAACGAGCTTTACACTGTTGGACCCAACTTTAAGGCCGCCAACAACTTCTTGTGGCCTTTCAAGCTATCCAACCCCAGTGGAGGATTCTCTTCCAAGACCAAGCTTCTTCACTTTTTGGAAGGAGGAGAAGCTGGTGCTCGTGGAGAAGAAATCAACAAGCTTGTCAAGAAGATGATCTAAGAAGCTTTAGAAAAGAAAAAAAGAAAATCATTATCCCCTAATCCAACACTGAAAAGGTTCCGACCCCTTCCTCACTTCGGTGAGGTATGGGGCGGTCAAAAGCTTTGCTACTTTTTCTATTCTGTACCATTAGTTCTTTTATTCTTTTTATACAACTACAGTACAGCAGTACCTTTTTCCTTTCTATTGATTCGCATTTTGTCAACTTCCTATTCATAGATGTTTCTGTATCCATTACAAACAGTCAACAATAAACCAACCAATTTCATACCGTAGGTATCATGAATTGCATGCGATAGACGACATGACTACTGTGAATCATCTATTGCATCTCGCCTTTTGTTTCAGCTGATGCAAAATGCATGATACCGTGCGGCCAGGCCGAACTTTGGAATGGGAGGGAAGGATACCACTATCATACCGACATACATATATAGGTGGGTCCGATCATCACCAGCCACTTCAACAGACAACAGACCTACAGCACTCCACAGCATTTTATGCCATGTTAGAAAGGCTAAACAAGTACCAATAAGCCGTCTACATTTTTGTGCTGCGGCGATGAGTTATCGATGATCTGCTTGAGGATGCACCATAGTAGTACAAAAAACAAAATGTTGAAGCGTAGAACCACAACAATCAGGATACCATAGCTTCTCTATCACTCCTTGGGAGGTGGGAAGTTGCGAAACGGCCTTCAAAGTCGTGCATATCAACTCTCAAAACGAAACCGTGTTTTTTCAACACAGCCGAACCTCGAAACGGAAACCATGACAATAGACATGGTTCGATCTACACGCCGTTTCTTATTCTGCCATCTTGTTTGCGACAGTATCCAGCAGACCATTCTCGCAATTTTGCAATCACTGCACAATTCACACCATTTCATTCATTCGACTTTCGAAATCAATCAAACAAACAAACATTTCAACCATGTTGACCAAGAAGTTCATCTTTTACTGCCATTGCTGCCTTTTCTGTTGGGTTTCAAACTTCAGCCAGAGAACTTTGCTTTCAAAGTAACCGTGGTTCCTGTTGTTACTCTCGATGAAGACATTCCATCGCCGACGAAGACAATTTCGCCGAACTGTTGAGCTTTGAGATTCATCCTCAAGCCATTATTATTTATTGGTCTCGTCGAAACTGTATCTGCTGAATGCCAACAACAACTTCATAAGGTTTACGAGCCAGTTGCAATCGATCTATTAAACACTGCATCTGATGAGCTCGCACGAGCCTATGAGACATACCAACCAATTGCATCATGGGAACTATTTGACGAAACCGCTCGCCCACTTTGGTTGGATCTATCTCTACTGGATTCCAGCAACTGTACCATGGATCTGTCACTGAAGATGTTTCGGTTCCCTGCTCTCTTTTCGACTATGAACGAATGAATCGAGGCTATTGTCGTGAGCAATCACGATGCTACTATTAGCAATCAGTCTTTTGCTACTGCCAACCAAGCTTCTCCTGCAGCACCAACTATGGTGACAACGCCTCATCATGCCACCCAGCAACTTCACTAACATGACAAACACCAAAGGACATGTTGCTAAAATCCAAGGTTCTCATGTGCCATTGAGTATTGACCCAATCTCAGCAATATTGGCGAGATCATAATCGTGGATATGGGAACCATCGCGCTCTGTTCTTTCACTACCACTATGATTCCAAAACGAACATGACTTCACCTATTATGAATTCCGAGAAGAATTCGACCACTTTTGCACTAGATCAAAACAAAAGGACTTCGGTTACCTTGGATTCCAAGAAGAACATGACCGCTTTCACTCTGGATCAAAAGAACTGGACCTCATGTTTCACTTTGGATTCCAAGTGGTGCTGATGGTGCTGATGGTGGAACTAATAATGATTCCACCACCATCACCACCATCACCACCACAAGTAGCAGCAGCAGCAGCAGCAATTCTTCCGAATACGAGTCCTACTACAGGACTACTATACGAAAGAACTGACTCATAAGTTTGTCAAAAAAGGTGCCTCTTTCGTCTAGGCTATACGGTCATGCAGAAGTTTTTGTCAGGTCAGTGCCCGAGAATCTCATTGAAATGTGCCACATTCTTTGGACCTTGGGGTATGCCATTGCCGAGTTTGGACCTTGGGGTATGCCATTGCCGAGAGCATTATTATCTACAACATCCAACATGAAATCATGAAACAGTTTTTATAAAATGAACTGAACGAAACAGTGTAAAAAGACACAAAATAATCGTAAGCTGATATAAAGGATAAACATAAATTTGAAAATAAAGGAAAAAAAGGCTAGCATTGCGAATCGAGACCAACAACAAAGTCATCGCACTGTCGCTAATATTCGATAGGGTCAAGAAGTATCCTTTTTCGCTCGGAACCTCCTACGATTTTGGTAGCCGGATCTTCTAAAGTAGCCATCGTTGTCATGCTGACACATGCAAAAATGTAGTAATAATCCTTAGGCTGTGCATCCCTGAGCTCCTGTCTGTCTCGTGCATTACCTGTCCACTACTGTATGGTTCAGCACACCCTTGAGGATCGCGATGCGATTGCGATATGATAATGATTCATTGGAATTATTTTTCGATTCATTCGAACAACGGTATTTTTTTGGTAGGCATCTTTAGAAATATAGCAGTAGGAAACTACGCATCACGGCATGCCAGCGCAACGTTTGAATCTAAATTCGTCAACACCAACGTTCATCCTCATGTTTTGCAGACAAGTTCAAGCACACAAAGGAAAGGCTTTTCTGTTGTACACATCTTGCTTTTGTGGTGTCAGTCGATAGTTGTTGTGATCGACTTACTAAACATCTGTTTAATTCAAATCAATCGCAATCATGGATCCTCCTGGACATACTGTGTTCTTGCATTTGCAAGAACTCAATCGATCTGAATTGCAAGCGCAAGCCAAACTTTATGGAATCAAGGCCAATCAAAAGAGTGAAGTGTTGCGACAACAATTGCAAGAAATCCTGGCTGCGAGAGGTAACGTGAATTCTCCAGCACCATCCGTGGCAGTGTTGGAGGAAGCAGAAGAGGAAGAAGCAAGGGACGACGAAGATGCCCAAAAGAAGGACGATGAGGAGCAGGAGGAGAACGAAGAGAACGAGCCGGTTGACGTGAAGGAAGATACGGAAGAAGAAGCAATGGCGCCCACAGTCGAAGAGAAAGGCGAAGACGAAGAAGAAGTGGAGCAGCCTACCAATACTACCATCGAGGAGGCAGATGAGAAGAAAGAGGAAGCCCGAGTCGATGACGACGTGGTTGCCATGAAGACAGAAGATGTGGAAGAAGCCGTGGCTCCCACAGTCGAAGAGGAAGAAGAACTTTTGGAGCAGCCTACTAGCAGCACAGACATCGAGGTAAACGAGAACGAAGACCAAATCGAAGTGGCGGTAGCCCAACAAGAAAAGGACCACGAAGAATCGACTACCGTCAACGAGATGGAATCCAAACACGGATCATCAGCTTGGGTGGAAGCAGAAGATGACAAAGAAGAAGAGGAAGAAGAAAATACAGTCGAGGACGCAAAAAAAGAATTGCCTCAATCTGACAATGTCGAGCAGGAAGAAACGGAAAATGAGGAGTCAAATGCTGCCCCTCCATTGCTAGTGATTGTGGATCTTGGCAGTGACGAAATGGCAGACTTGGCCGATGAATCCATTGTATCACCAACCGCTGCCGCAAAGGAAATGTTCCGTAGCAAGATTCCAAGTGGTCCTTCATCGTCGTCGGGTAGAGGAAAGGCCTTGGAAGAACGATTAATGCTACGAGCAAGAACTATACCAGCAAACTTGGAAGACAGATATCATGATAGTTATGAAATTGTCTATACTCGTTTCTATGCATCTAAGACACGCGTTGTTTCGGGAAAGAAGAAAATTCGCGCATCAGAGACGCAGTTTGGGCGTCAAGCTGCTGCACTAGTTTCAATTCAAAACTTCTTTGGCGTGCTGGAGCTGACCATCAAGCACTCGAAGTTTTTTTCCAAAGTTCTGTGGGCATTTTTTATAAACGTCTCGCAGTTTCCTCAAGGTCTTCCTCCCTCTCGTCCAATCATGGCTTTCAACTTGGAGGTCGTACATTTCGTTCGTTCGTTCGTTCGTTCGTTCGTTTTGTTCATTACTCATTGCTCAAAAGGCTGTTCCTTCGAAGCCTTCCGTTCCGCAACAGAGTTTTCTTGTGGGTGTCCTTCCAAAGGTACTTGGAGCTCTTCCTCTCGATCATTCGAAGAAGGCAGGCTTTGCTTCCAACTTGGCGTTCGTCTGGTCGTTCTCTTCGTCGTTCTTTTCAGCCTTTCGTTTTTCGACATGGTTGCCTTGAGCTGGGTACCTGCTTTTTTCTAGACTCTGCAGCACAAAGCCGCTCAGACTTCTTTTATAGATGCCTTGGGATCTTTGCTTCCAAGCTTACAATTGTCTAGTCGTTGCGGAAATTGCTAATATGGAAGGGTCCTCTCGAGGATTACTCCTCAATTCTCTTCATCAAAGCACTCAGAAAAGCCTTGTGCATGAGCTGTATTCATTCTCATCTGGTTGAGTTCTTCTTCCATTTCCTCGCAATGCTGCTCCAATGCATCCACTTCTTCCACTTTCTTTTTGTGAGCAAGCTTCTCCTTTGCTTTCTCCCGTCGTAACACGTTGACTTCGCTCTGCAGGTCTTCGATTTCAATACTTTGGGCGTCCTTTTGATTTTGAAGGATCGCCAATCGCCTTTTGAGTTCGGCATTTTCGTCTTTGAGTTCGGCATTTTCGTCTTGAAGTTCTTTGAATTCAGGTTTCGACTGGTGATTTTCTTCTGTTTGGTTGGTACCATCAGATCGAGTGGGCAACAGAACTGGGTCGGATTGATGGCCCTTTTGTTCTTCTTCTTGTTTGATTGGGCTGTCAGTTGCAGCATTGGTGGACTCGACTTGATCCTGGTCGACTGGGGACTTGTTCTTTGCTACAGAAGGGTCTTGTATCATGTGATTGGGTGGACAGTCTTCATTGTTCACAACACTGATTTCGAGACGGGACTTCTTGGTGGAGGTGGAAATGTCCGGGTGGCGGGCAACATTACCAGCCTTCTTTTCTGTTGGCACTGGTGGCGACACGCTGTTTGGATTTTCTACGATTCGAACTGAATCATCATCATCATCATTGTCATCGCCGCCATCGTTGTTGGCAATCGTCGCATTTGATTTGCGATCTTCGTTCTCCTTGTTATCTTCACGAGCTTGTCTTCGAAATGGATGCTTCGAGCCATCCGTCTCATTTGCATTGTCTACATTGACTTCTGCGTAATTTCGTTTCGTTCCATGAAGAGCTCGATTCTTGCGATGGCCTCGTTGAAGTGATGAGTCATTGCCAGCTTCCAACAGTGTAGTATCTGCAGTAGTATCTGCATCTTGCTCCTTCTCTACAAATCGAAGGCAGTGTAAGTCATGTTGTTGTCAGTTTGAATCGGTAAATGCTTCAGTCAAGAGAAATCTCACCTTCGCTTAGATCGATGCCATGATCTAGACACCTTTTCTCAAGCGGCACTATTTTGCGGTTGTGGGTTTGTTGGACAGTTTCAACTAATGTCACCGCTCTGACAAATGCCTGTTCCTCACTGTATTTGAAGTACTTGTTGGTTCCGGCAACGTATTTGAAATATTTTTGGCCTGGGTTCTCTTCTTTCTGTTGCTGGAGGATTCGACGAGCTATGCTTCTCGCACCTCCTTTTTTCAAGCAGATTTTCCCTTCCGTGTTTCGAAGCCTTGCAAGGTGCAGCAAAAGCATTTCTTCGAACTTCAGTGTAGCGTAGTTCCTGCTGCCCACGATCACGCCCTGGTGGAAAACAAGATCGTCGGCGCAAGGAGTACCTTCGACTTGCTCTTGTTCTTTGTTCCTCATTTTGCGTTTCTTCTCTTTGAGCTTGCTTCTCATATATGCCATTGACATCTTCACCTCATTTTTGGCCAGCTTCTTGTCCAGAGGGGATAATTCCCCATCCACAAGTCTAAAGAAAGCATCTGGCAGAAATCGATCCAAAATGCCTTGAATGATTCCTTCCTTCCCCTCCTGGTTGGCTTCCCAATACGAATCATAATTCTTTTTCAAGAGTGTTCTAAATGTGTTTGTTGAAGGATATTTTTTCATCCAAGAGGTTTTGTTCCCAATGCCAAAAACGACAGAGTCGGATGTCTTCTTTGTGCTTCCCGCCATTGTCTGTTCCGAGTGTTGCACTCGAGTTTCTTGTGCTCTTTTTTCAGCTATTGTTGCCATTCTGACATACACGGGGGCCGTCTGTCATTTTTGACTAAAGGATAGTGATTATGGAAATGACTAGAGTCGAACGAGTCGAACAATAAACGAACTCACTTAGCTTCTTTGCCATTGCATCAATATTCTCACTTACCGTCTTACTACCGTCGCGCAAATAATGCGCAGTGCCTGTGTTAGAGCAGTCACTACCGTGACCCATCCCAGATTGACTCATAACCTACATCTGGGACACAAATCTGTGACCTTAAATCTGGGAAAATGATGTTCACTACCGTGAGGAAATTCCCAGATTTCGAATGAGAACTCTTCATGTCGCACTAGCATAAGTAAATTATCAGCCAGATTGGTCGTGAAAATAAATATATGATGGATGAAACGTTTTCTGCACGACAAATATATTTTTGAAATACCAGGCAAAGCGCGCAGCTGCAAAAACCTGCTAAATCTTGGAAGGGAAATATATTTTTGTTTTATGTTGTAGCAGATGTGTCGGGTATGTGGCAAAAGTGTCGTCATTGGTCAAGGATTTAAATTTTTTTATGTTCGCATTTGTGTCATTTTCCACCCTATTCGTGGTTTGATCAACGAGCTTTACACTGTTGGACCCAACTTTAAGGCCGCCAACAACTTCTTGTGGCCTTTCAAGCTATCCAACCCCAGTGGAGGATTCTCTTCCAAGACCAAGCTTCTTCACTTTTTGGAAGGAGGAGAAGCTGGTGCTCGTGGAGAAGAAATCAACAAGCTTGTCAAGAAGATGATCTAAGAAGCTTTAGAAAAGAAAAAAAGAAAATCATTATCCCCTAATCCAACACTGAAAAGGTTCCGACCCCTTCCTCACTTCGGTGAGGTATGGGGCGGTCAAAAGCTTTGCTACTTTTTCTATTCTGTACCATTAGTTCTTTTATTCTTTTTATACAACTACAGTACAGCAGTACCTTTTTCCTTTCTATTGATTCGCATTTTGTCAACTTCCTATTCATAGATGTTTCTGTATCCATTACAAACAGTCAACAATAAACCAACCAATTTCATACCGTAGGTATCATGAATTGCATGCGATAGACGACATGACTACTGTGAATCATCTATTGCATCTCGCCTTTTGTTTCAGCTGATGCAAAATGCATGATACCGTGCGGCCAGGCCGAACTTTGGAATGGGAGGGAAGGATACCACTATCATACCGACATACATATATAGGTGGGTCCGATCATCACCAGCCACTTCAACAGACAACAGACCTACAGCACTCCACAGCATTTTATGCCATGTTAGAAAGGCTAAACAAGTACCAATAAGCCGTCTACATTTTTGTGCTGCGGCGATGAGTTATCGATGATCTGCTTGAGGATGCACCATAGTAGTACAAAAAACAAAATGTTGAAGCGTAGAACCACAACAATCAGGATACCATAGCTTCTCTATCACTCCTTGGGAGGTGGGAAGTTGCGAAACGGCCTTCAAAGTCGTGCATATCAACTCTCAAAACGAAACCGTGTTTTTTCAACACAGCCGAACCTCGAAACGGAAACCATGACAATAGACATGGTTCGATCTACACGCCGTTTCTTATTCTGCCATCTTGTTTGCGACAGTATCCAGCAGACCATTCTCGCAATTTTGCAATCACTGCACAATTCACACCATTTCATTCATTCGACTTTCGAAATCAATCAAACAAACAAACATTTCAACCATGTTGACCAAGAAGTTCATCTTTTACTGCCATTGCTGCCTTTTCTGTTGGGTTTCAAACTTCAGCCAGAGAACTTTGCTTTCAAAGTAACCGTGGTTCCTGTTGTTACTCTCGATGAAGACATTCCATCGCCGACGAAGACAATTTCGCCGAACTGTTGAGCTTTGAGATTCATCCTCAAGCCATTATTATTTATTGGTCTCGTCGAAACTGTATCTGCTGAATGCCAACAACAACTTCATAAGGTTTACGAGCCAGTTGCAATCGATCTATTAAACACTGCATCTGATGAGCTCGCACGAGCCTATGAGACATACCAACCAATTGCATCATGGGAACTATTTGACGAAACCGCTCGCCCACTTTGGTTGGATCTATCTCTACTGGATTCCAGCAACTGTACCATGGATCTGTCACTGAAGATGTTTCGGTTCCCTGCTCTCTTTTCGACTATGAACGAATGAATCGAGGCTATTGTCGTGAGCAATCACGATGCTACTATTAGCAATCAGTCTTTTGCTACTGCCAACCAAGCTTCTCCTGCAGCACCAACTATGGTGACAACGCCTCATCATGCCACCCAGCAACTTCACTAACATGACAAACACCAAAGGACATGTTGCTAAAATCCAAGGTTCTCATGTGCCATTGAGTATTGACCCAATCTCAGCAATATTGGCGAGATCATAATCGTGGATATGGGAACCATCGCGCTCTGTTCTTTCACTACCACTATGATTCCAAAACGAACATGACTTCACCTATTATGAATTCCGAGAAGAATTCGACCACTTTTGCACTAGATCAAAACAAAAGGACTTCGGTTACCTTGGATTCCAAGAAGAACATGACCGCTTTCACTCTGGATCAAAAGAACTGGACCTCATGTTTCACTTTGGATTCCAAGTGGTGCTGATGGTGCTGATGGTGGAACTAATAATGATTCCACCACCATCACCACCATCACCACCACAAGTAGCAGCAGCAGCAGCAGCAATTCTTCCGAATACGAGTCCTACTACAGGACTACTATACGAAAGAACTGACTCATAAGTTTGTCAAAAAAGGTGCCTCTTTCGTCTAGGCTATACGGTCATGCAGAAGTTTTTGTCAGGTCAGTGCCCGAGAATCTCATTGAAATGTGCCACATTCTTTGGACCTTGGGGTATGCCATTGCCGAGTTTGGACCTTGGGGTATGCCATTGCCGAGAGCATTATTATCTACAACATCCAACATGAAATCATGAAACAGTTTTTATAAAATGAACTGAACGAAACAGTGTAAAAAGACACAAAATAATCGTAAGCTGATATAAAGGATAAACATAAATTTGAAAATAAAGGAAAAAAAGGCTAGCATTGCGAATCGAGACCAACAACAAAGTCATCGCACTGTCGCTAATATTCGATAGGGTCAAGAAGTATCCTTTTTCGCTCGGAACCTCCTACGATTTTGGTAGCCGGATCTGTTGAAGATGTATTTTGAGATATTTGGAGATTGGAGAATGAGGAACAGAAACACGAAACGAGGCATTAGACAATGGGTCATCTTGTGTAAGATTGAACAGTACCTGACAATAATGTGAGAAGTATTGACAAGATCAAAGCAAGATCAATACATAAGGAGAAGTGAGTTGAATGTAGTCATGGCAAGATACCAGATGCTGTGCATGACTGAGAAGCAAGACTAGAAAATAGAGTAAGGAATAATTTAGCTCACAATTGCAAGACCGAAAAAAAAAAAAAAGAGATGAAGAGGATCATCAAGCATGTATTGGATACGAAAGGACTTGGATTGAAAATTGCACCAGTGATTGGATCTAAAAGTTTACTATGGAACGTTGTTGCGTTTTCTGACAGTGATTATGCAGGAGACCCAGATTCGAGAAAATCAGTGAGTGGTTTTATTGTTTATCTATGTGGAGTTCCAATCTGTTGGAGAAGCAAAGCGCAACGAACAGTGACTTTGAGCAGCGCAGAAGCAGAGTGGATTGCCTTGAGTGAAGTGGCAAAAGAAGTATTATTTATTGCGCAGATCCTGGAAACCATGGGAGTGAAAGTCGAATATCCGATTGTTATTCGAGTTGATAATACCGCGGCAATTTTTATGGCGACAAATGTCACAACGAACCAGAGAACACGACACGTGGACATTCGCACAAAATTCGTAACACAATACACTGGACCGGATGGTATTTTGAAGATTCTATTTGTCAAAGGAACTGATAATGAATCTGACATCATGACAAAGAATGTAACTGGAAACCTACATGAGAAACACATCCCAAAGATGATGACAAATGTCGACGAAGGAACTACAAAATAGGAAGGGTGTTGAAGATGTATTTTGAGATATTTGGAGATTGGAGAATGCGTAGCAGAAACACGAAACGAGGCATTAGACAATGGGTCATCTTGTGTAAGATTGAACAGTGCCTGACAATAATGTGAGAAGTATTGACAAGATCAAAGCAAGATCAATACATAAGGAGAAGTGAGTTGAATGTAGTCATGGCAAGATACCAGATGCTGTGCATGACTGAGAAGCAAGACTAGAAAATAGAGTAAGGAATAATTTAGCTCACAATTGCAAGACCGAAAAAAAAAAAAAAGAGATGAAGAGGATCATCAAGCATGTATTGGATACGAAAGGACTTGGATTGAAAATTGCACCAGTGATTGGATCTAAAAGTTTACTATGGAACGTTGTTGCGTTTTCTGACAGTGATTATGCAGGAGACCCAGATTCGAGAAAATCAGTGAGTGGTTTTATTGTTTATCTATGTGGAGTTCCAATCTGTTGGAGAAGCAAAGCGCAACGAACAGTGACTTTGAGCAGCGCAGAAGCAGAGTGGATTGCCTTGAGTGAAGTGGCAAAAGAAGTATTATTTATTGCGCAGATCCTGGAAACCATGGGAGTGAAAGTCGAATATCCGATTGTTATTCGAGTTGATAATACCGCGGCAATTTTTATGGCGACAAATGTCACAACGAACCAGAGAACACGACACGTGGACATTCGCACAAAATTCGTAACACAATACACTGGACCGGATGGTATTTTGAAGATTCTATTTGTCAAAGGAACTGATAATGAATCTGACATCATGACAAAGAATGTAACTGGAAACCTACATGAGAAACACATCCCAAAGATGATGACAAATGTCGACGAAGGAACTACAAAATAGGAAGGGTGTTGAAGATGTATTTTGAGATATTTGGAGATTGGAGAATGCGTAGCAGAAACACGAAACGAGGCATTAGACAATGGGTCATCTTGTGTAAGATTGAACAGTGCCTGACAATAATGTGAGAAGTATTGACAAGATCAAAGCAAGATCAATACATAAGGAGAAGTGAGTTGAATGTAGTCATGGCAAGATACCAGATGCTGTGCATGACTGAGAAGCAAGACTAGAAAATAGAGTAAGGAATAATTTAGCTCACAATTGCAAGACCGAAAAAAAAAAAAAAGAGATGAAGAGGATCATCAAGCATGTATTGGATACGAAAGGACTTGGATTGAAAATTGCACCAGTGATTGGATCTAAAAGTTTACTATGGAACGTTGTTGCGTTTTCTGACAGTGATTATGCAGGAGACCCAGATTCGAGAAAATCAGTGAGTGGTTTTATTGTTTATCTATGTGGAGTTCCAATCTGTTGGAGAAGCAAAGCGCAACGAACAGTGACTTTGAGCAGCGCAGAAGCAGAGTGGATTGCCTTGAGTGAAGTGGCAAAAGAAGTATTATTTATTGCGCAGATCCTGGAAACCATGGGAGTGAAAGTCGAATATCCGATTGTTATTCGAGTTGATAATACCGCGGCAATTTTTATGGCGACAAATGTCACAACGAACCAGAGAACACGACACGTGGACATTCGCACAAAATTCGTAACACAATACACTGGACCGGATGGTATTTTGAAGATTCTATTTGTCAAAGGAACTGATAATGAATCTGACATCATGACAAAGAATGTAACTGGAAACCTACATGAGAAACACATCCCAAAGATGATGACAAATGTCGACGAAGGAACTACAAAATAGGAAGGGTGTTGAAGATGTATTTTGAGATATTTGGAGATTGGAGAATGCGTAGCAGAAACACGAAACGAGGCATTAGACAATGGGTCATCTTGTGTAAGATTGAACAGTGCCTGACAATAATGTGAGAAGTATTGACAAGATCAAAGCAAGATCAATACATAAGGAGAAGTGAGTTGAATGTAGTCATGGCAAGATACCAGATGCTGTGCATGACTGAGAAGCAAGACTAGAAAATAGAGTAAGGAATAATTTAGCTCACAATTGCAAGACCGAAAAAAAAAAAAAAGAGATGAAGAGGATCATCAAGCATGTATTGGATACGAAAGGACTTGGATTGAAAATTGCACCAGTGATTGGATCTAAAAGTTTACTATGGAACGTTGTTGCGTTTTCTGACAGTGATTATGCAGGAGACCCAGATTCGAGAAAATCAGTGAGTGGTTTTATTGTTTATCTATGTGGAGTTCCAATCTGTTGGAGAAGCAAAGCGCAACGAACAGTGACTTTGAGCAGCGCAGAAGCAGAGTGGATTGCCTTGAGTGAAGTGGCAAAAGAAGTATTATTTATTGCGCAGATCCTGGAAACCATGGGAGTGAAAGTCGAATATCCGATTGTTATTCGAGTTGATAATACCGCGGCAATTTTTATGGCGACAAATGTCACAACGAACCAGAGAACACGACACGTGGACATTCGCACAAAATTCGTAACACAATACACTGGACCGGATGGTATTTTGAAGATTCTATTTGTGAAAGGAACTGATAATGAATCCGACATCATGACAAAGAATGTAACTGGAAACCTACATGAGAAACACATCCCAAAGATGATGACAAATATCGACGAAGGAACTACAAAATAGGAAGGGTGTTGAAGATGTATTTTGAGATATTTGGAGATTGGAGAATGAGGAACAGAAACACGAAACGAGGCATTAGACAATGGGTCATCTTGTGTAAGATTGAACAGTACCTGACAATAATGTGAGAAGTATTGACAAGATCAAAGCAAGATCAATACATAAGGAGAAGTGAGTTGAATGTAGTCATGGCAAGATACCAGATGCTGTGCATGACTGAGAAGCAAGACTAGAAAATAGAGTAAGGAATAATTTAGCTCACAATTGCAAGACCGATAGATTTTTACTTCTAGGGAGATTCCAACACGGATCTTCTAAAGTAGCCATCGTTGTCATGCTGACACATGCAAAAATGTAGTAATAATCCTTAGGCTGTGCATCCCTGAGCTCCTGTCTGTCTCGTGCATTACCTGTCCACTACTGTTTGGTTCAGCACACCCTTGAGGATCGCGATGCGATTGCGATATGATAATGATTCATTGGAATTATTTTTCGATTCATTCGAACAACGGTATTTTTTTGGTAGGCATCTTTAGAAATATAGCAGTAGGAAACTACGCATCACGGCATGCCAGCGCAACGTTTGAATCTAAATTCGTCAACACCAACGTTCATCCTCATGTTTTGCAGACAAGTTCAAGCACACAAAGGAAAGGCTTTTCTGTTGTACACATCTTGCTTTTGTGGTGTCAGTCGATAGTTGTTGTGATCGACTTACTAAACATCTGTTTAATTCAAATCAATCGCAATCATGGATCCTCCTGGACATACTGTGTTCTTGCATTTGCAAGAACTCAATCGATCTGAATTGCAAGCGCAAGCCAAACTTTATGGAATCAAGGCCAATCAAAAGAGTGAAGTGTTGCGACAACAATTGCAAGAAATCCTGGCTGCGAGAGGTAACGTGAATTCTCCAGCACCATCCGTGGCAGTGTTGGAGGAAGCAGAAGAGGAAGAAGCAAGGGACGACGAAGATGCCCAAAAGAAGGACGATGAGGAGCAGGAGGAGAACGAAGAGAACGAGCCGGTTGACGTGAAGGAAGATACGGAAGAAGAAGCAATGGCGCCCACAGTCGAAGAGAAAGGCGAAGACGAAGAAGAAGTGGAGCAGCCTACCAATACTACCATCGAGGAGGCAGATGAGAAGAAAGAGGAAGCCCGAGTCGATGACGACGTGGTTGCCATGAAGACAGAAGATGTGGAAGAAGCCGTGGCTCCCACAGTCGAAGAGGAAGAAGAACTTTTGGAGCAGCCTACTAGCAGCACAGACATCGAGGTAAACGAGAACGAAGACCAAATCGAAGTGGCGGTAGCCCAACAAGAAAAGGACCACGAAGAATCGACTACCGTCAACGAGATGGAATCCAAACACGGATCATCAGCTTGGGTGGAAGCAGAAGATGACAAAGAAGAAGAGGAAGAAGAAAATACAGTCGAGGACGCAAAAAAAGAATTGCCTCAATCTGACAATGTCGAGCAGGAAGAAACGGAAAATGAGGAGTCAAATGCTGCCCCTCCATTGCTAGTGATTGTGGATCTTGGCAGTGACGAAATGGCAGACTTGGCCGATGAATCCATTGTATCACCAACCGCTGCCGCAAAGGAAATGTTCCGTAGCAAGATTCCAAGTGGTCCTTCATCGTCGTCGGGTAGAAGAAAGGCCTTGGAAGAACGATCCATTAATGCTACGAGCAAGAACTATACCAGCAAACTTGGAAGACCCACCACCTTGAAAAATGTCTCCATGATAATTCGCAACAAGAACTCGCCCATGCGTCGTCCATCCAGCAAGATTCCACGAAAACCTATCCTAGAAACCAAAACTTGTCCTCGTCCCCAAGCAATGCCACTCAGTCGACGAAATGAGATGCAACTCCAAAAGTTTGTCGAGCGTCAAAATCGTGGACGCAAGAACCGCGAAGAAAAACTCAAACGTGCCGAGTTTGCCAACTTGGTCCGATCTCCAGGCAAGGCATAAACTTGTGTGCCTTGAAATATACCATGCATACAAATATATATGTACTATAATGAATGAAAAGTGTAATTGCATAGTACCGGTACTATGATTTCAATCAAAGTTTGTTTGAACTGTTCGTTTTCGAATCCAAGAGAGTGATCAGCTCGCTGGATAGGACCTAGCACCAGCACCAATATACAATTCCTAAAGAGGAATAAAAAGCTTATATTGTAGAGTAGCACTAAGCTTTCCGCTATCAACAACGCCATCCTAGCGAAGCTACGGGAGCCCTAACGAGAATGCATCAAACGCCTCGAACATAAGGTATTTGCTCAGTTTTGATGGAGCCCGAACGCAAAATGATATTTTATGACCTATTTGGGGGGTCCCATAGCATTAAATGTTGTGAACGAGGAGCCCCTGGAGCCACGCGGAGCCCAACGACTAAAAATTTATATAACGCCAGAAAAGAAGCGTGATCGCATAGTTCGTCAAAATAGTGGCAATATGAACCAGATGAAAAGTTCGGTCCCACAAGGAAAGATACTGGTCATGCAAAAAGAAAAAAATGTGATGGTCCTGCACTGGCACCGGTATCACAGTATCTCTCAACAAGCCTTCACCTTGTTGAATCTTTCTCCTTCACACTACCAAAGATATCAGCAAGATGCGCCAAACAGTCGTCATTACGAGGAGGGACTGCTGGCGGAGCGAAGCGGACACCAACTTGAAAGTGCCTTGGGAATTGCCAATAGATCGGACAGCAGGCCAGCCAGTTGCATAGTTGTCATTACAGGACGCAACTTGGAACGAGACAGGGGCACCCAGGAGCGCCCTAAGGAAGAATCTCAAAACATCAACAACATCAAGTTTGTGATCGGTGATGTTTCTTCCATTGATTGCCAAAGTCGATAGATACCTCGGTGTCTGAGATTGGCCGAGTGAGCCAGATTGTTGACGTGGAACGATTACAAATGAAGATGATCTCGAACTTCGTTTTGCCATTCACGTGATGGATGCTTACAGGCTCACCCAAAAACTATTGCTCTCATGCAAAAAGGACAAGAGAGCGCAGGGAAACCAACCACCTCGAGTAATCTCAATGGCACCACCAGTGACATACCAGCTGCAGTGGATTTGGACAATCTTCGAGTGGAAAAGGAATGCAAAGGAATATTGACCTACAGTCAATCAAAGAGTATTTTAGAAGCCACGACAATGGGCATCGTCAAAGAATTGGAACCCAAGGGTGTCATGATGGTAAAGGTAGTATTTCCACCATTACGGGCATCGACCGACATGGCGCAAGCTGTCAGTAGCAAATCACTTCTGGGAGCCATGACATTGTTCTATCCAACGCTGAAATTGATGTTTTGCAAGGACAATGGGGAATCCGCGGCCAAAGCGGTCACCTACTTTATTTGGGGTGCTACTAGTACTAAGTCCGGACTTCTTGTTGGAAGGAGTCCACGGCAAGGAGGACTTTGATTCAAAGTGCATGGAAACCCGATTCACAGTACGACGGTAGGCACAGCAACCGACGTGAAAACCTTGGAGGCTGTGAAAGCTGCACTGCCAAACTAGTGACTTGTAGACTGTTTGGCTTGAAGTATTGCGAGTCAGTCCTTCAGCTTTTGTTCAGATTTGTCGATTATTGAGATTTGTCGACTATTGATTAATTCGACTAAACAACAATTATGCGAACCCGCAACAACAATGCGCAACACAATAACACAAAACAACAACGAGTCGTTGTTGAGTCCTTGCTTCCTTCTATTCAAGCGAGACCGTCGAGCCTTGTACCATTATGGACTTTATTGCGGACGAACCTCGTACAAACTACCCTGTTCAAGGAGCAGAAGAAATTGAAGTTGGTGGGGGCTCACTTTGAATCTATCTCTACTTCCATCCATCATGATGTGGAGGCATTCTTGGACTCCCTTCTCCAAGAAGACCGTCAACCACGTTTCATCAGGAGAGAACGTATCAGGATCACAAACTTGATGATGGACAACTTCGATCTCATGCCCTCACCCGTCCTTTCAAAGCTCACCAGTCGCCAAAAACAGAGTCTTTTGCAATTGTTTTTTCAAGTAAACAATGAAATTCTTGATGCACACATGGCATGGGCAAACTTTTGTTTCTCTAAACTAGACGAGGTATTCGGGGACAACTCTGAGGGTGAGTTGCCACGTGCAATAATGGATAGAAGTTTATTTGATGGCCATATAGCCGTGGTCCACATCTGGTTGTGTTCAATGCGCCGTCAATACCATGTAAAAACTGTGCGTGCTGGACCTTCTGGCTCTTCTTCAAGTCTGGAGACAAATAATGCTCGCCAGTTGATCCCTTTCTGGCTTCAACGCTTGAACTCATTCAGTGGTAGATTGGCCCGCGGTATGATCTTCGATTTGGCAGCACTCCCAACATTCGAATTCACGAACGATATCAATGTTGTCGTCGAATATTGTCTTCTCCCAACTGTCGCAAGTTTCGCTCCCATTGGGAATGTTAAGCTTGTTGCGCCCGGTTTCGAATACCGTGAACCACGTTCAAATAGACTGGTAGTGTATTCTTGGGACGATATTTCGGATCGCCAGAAGATGATCTTGTGGCTCGCTGACATCTTGGAACTGTCAGGAACTTCGTCGAGGGATCCTGGAGTCAAAATTCCTTCCCCATTTTTTCGACTTGCTTCGAAAGGGAGACCAAGATTGGATCGAGACGATCATCTCTCACAAATCCTGCTTGCCATTTCGTCTGAATTGGATTTCGATGACGTTGTCCGAGTTGTTACTGCCCTGGAAAATACCTACTACCGTTGCAACAGTGATCAAAAGGGTAGAATGGAAAAGCGCGGCTGTGGTATTTCCCTGAAAACAGTTCATGATTCCGTGGGATCCGTACATGGGGTTTACTACCATATTGTTGTAAAGTACTGCCCCGTACCTCCTCCTCGATTCTCCGTCACAGGAGAAAAAGTCGTACCTCAGTTTGCCGAAGCGAAGTCAAAAGACTGGGACGACGTGTAGTAAAATAAGTCATGGTGTGTGTGTTTGACACGGTAATGATCAAACGTCAACATGAGACTAGGAGAGCGCATACTGTTTTACGATACTTCCGTGATATCTCGTTCTATTGGCCTTTCTTTTTCCATACAGTACCGGTACACGTACTGTACTGTACTGTATCTTTCTGACATCTGACTGACTCAGTGACATCAACAGTGACATTTCAATTGACATTTGCGTTCACGAATGAATGTCATTCCCGTCTAAAGACCAATAGGATCACAACAAGAAGATCCACGATCCAAATGCGATGAAGGTACACGAATGATCAACTTTATTAGCGACCTCTCACTTCTCATCGCCACAATCAGAAGTCAGAAGCGCACCCAATCACTCACCACACAAAATACAGTATTCTTCAAACAGAAGTCAAATACATATAAATCAAACCAAACCAAATCAGAATAACCATGGCCATGAACGCACCCCCCTCCATTATGCAACCGCACGACCCCAACGACGACCCGTTTGGCGACCTCGCACCAGTAGACCCCAACGCTCCAAAGCTCGAGTTGCCAACCGAGTTTGGTTCTGGATTGAAGAATGTCAAAGAGGCGGCTATTGCTGGTGAAGACGCTGAAGACGCTACCGAAGCCACGCACGACGAGAGTGAAGACGACGATAATAAGGAAGAGGAACCATCAACTGATGAGGACAAGAACGAAGAAGACAAAGCAGCGGAGGAGTAAAGAGTGCAATCGTCAAGATTGTGTTGCTCGCTTGACTGATGATTCATAGGGATGGGTGACATCACTCAATCCATAGTACTACCAATACAGATGGGGAAATCGAAATTAATAATAACGGTACTGTTGCTAGCCTTTAGGCACGTCATCTTTTCTTCACCCGTACAAAATCAGTACTATCTCGTTCTTTACTCGTCGTAAAACGGCCAATTCCGAAAGCGATCCATAAGGCTAGTGCAGTCGCTTTCAGACGAGATCGCGATGCCTGCCAAGAATGACTTGGCTGTGGTTGGGAATGTAGGTATTCTCTAGGGCATTCGTCAGATCTGGCTTTTCTTCTTCTTCAATCATCTTGATAAAATATCATCATACTCCGGACATATTCTTTCCCAAGCCGCGGAAACTGGAGGGCATTAAAATCTACCATCCTGCAAACTCATTCCGTTGATCATAAACTTGGTCACTATGGTACTGTAACGACGCCAAATCACATGCCGAGTCCAAAAGTCCTTTCCAATACGGTGGTCCTTTCCGCTTATGTCTCAACAAATGAGGTGGTCGTACCGTTTTGCAGTCATTGGCGGCAATATCCGAACTACTGCGTGGTTTGCAGATTGAGATTCAATCAAGAGTAGAGCAACATCGATTGGAGCGTTGCGAATTGGGTAGTTTCCGCAGCGATCTTTGGTCTGTGCCTTGGATCCATTTTTGTGATGGGAGATTCGATCAAGAAGGACTTTTATTCGTTCCGAATTTGGAAAAACCGAGCACGCTAAAATGTGCAAGGGTGTTATTTCAAAGGAGTCCCTACTACTTTTGGAATTGCCACTTCTTTGGCTAATATCTTCCACCCAGCACCGAGATCATGGTCGTCACATGATAGGAAGACAAACTCTCTACCTTCAGATCCTCACGTTGCCTGTAGATTCGTACCATGTGGTGAGTGGGCCTGCTTGTAGGATAGCCTCATTCTTGGTTCGAGCGATGCGATCGATTGAGGATGACTGTCTCCAATAATTGAAATCATACTTCTTCTTGAACTAAACTGTTACCGAGGAAGTCGCAGAAGCGTTTGAAACGCCTTTTTACATGCATTATGACCACTTTAGGCCTGAAAGATGACGTGAACCGCGCCTCCAATACACAAGTGATAGATACGTATTATCATCCATTATCTTGCATCCGGCCTTCTCCTACCGGTATATAGTATGGTGGTGGCATCCTGATCATCATATCATCTGATATTGTTGCCAATCCTGATCTGGCTCAAACCTCGTTCTCTTGAGCTGCCAATGTCAATGTCTTGGCTATCTATCTTGACTATCTGTTCCAGTGAAAATGAATCAATATTCCATCTCACTCCAAGATGATGATCATAGCGACTCATCGCCATCATCATGTCTCTGATGTGTCATTTTGGTGCATTAGCCAATGAAAACGCTCGAAAGCACAAAAGATTCCAAGCAAAGAGAACCTAGGGTTAGGTCGAAGGTGTGCTCACCCCTAATCTGCCTGATCGTAACCATGATTCCTTTCCGCGCTTTCATTCATCGGCGGGAACAAAGACATTTTGAGAGCAACGCAATGCGCAACGTGACGAAGAAATACCAGATACCACGATTGGCCAATAAGGTTAATGTACATATAGAAATACGTCGCATGTTACATCTGACAGCAGCTTACCGCATCATTCGCAACGCGTTCCGGCAGTCGGTATTTATTCCCGAATACCGTGTTTATACGAGACTCTCAATCATTCTGAGGGAAACGTTCGGGGAGATTCTACCCTTTCGTACGGGAAAACCAATCCCAAATTTAATGGAGTGGAATCTAGAATCCTATATATTATTGAAGCTTCAAACAAAATGAGAACATGAATGCATTTTGGATCACTCCGAGTCAATATTGATTTTAAGATTCCGTGTCCAAGGGTGCTGAAACATTCTACCTCCGTATGCTTGCAATATAGGTCTTCCAGAATCCAAACTTTCAGTAATGTATTCGATTACCATTCCAGATCGAATGGTCTACTTTTTGTAGCCATATTCTGAAAATATTTTTCAACTTTTTAATTCCACCAAATTCCAACACTCGTCAAAATGTTCATCTCATCAAAGGTTCTAAAAATGATGCGAAAGTTTTTAGTAGGAGACTTACTTAATACTTAGTTATCATGCTCCGTCCATAATTCTATTAGCAACCGACCAAAAGTCCATGGAAAAATAGTTGGAAGTGCTGTCATTTGACAAACTGCCCTTCAATAGGCCAACTGATGTGGATGCAATGCACATATCAATCTAGATTGTAACCCAATTTCGCCGACGGTCGCGTTCCTACGAGCCTGAGTTGCAACCTTTGCCAATCCATGAATCCAATTTTCCAAGGAGTTCCAATCACCAATTGGAGTGACAACGATTGCAGATGTTGCAAATCAACTCTGGCCGCGCTGGGATTGAATTGCACATTATATCATCAATCTACCATGAGGTGATCGATGATTTGATGTGTCATAAACCTCACAATCGGCGCTTTCAGCGTCGTTTTCGTTGAAGTCCAGCGCCGTGACGATTCAACGCCTCGCGTATCCGGCATTCCATTCCATTTCAGTCATTCCATTTCATTGTTATTACATAAATGCCTATGTTGCCCTCTCGTTCCTTTCTTGAACCATCCTTCTTGTTGGTATCCGATCGTCCATCACAGAGCAATGTCCATTTTTAGGTGCACCTTTGTCGACAGCGTCAAAATGGAGAAAATAGTAACCACTCGCGGCAATCCCATCATCAACCATACCGTTGAAACTCGCGGGAGTAAGAGGTCAAAACATATACCAGATCAAAGTAAATTTATCTGCGATCTCCAATCGAACTCGAACCATGTGACTTTCGCAAGTCAATCCAATGAGGCGGCAGGTTCCAAAAGCGAGTGTTCATCATCTTGCGTTTGAGATCCGAAGCGATGATGAAGATACAGTATCGAATGACTCTTCATAAGTGGGCGTCAGTTATCCATTATAAACGGAATGGAAAGGCAAGAAGCCGTTTCAGTTGTGACACTCATGGTCGATGTGACGGTGGATTGTTTCACAATGATGATGATGATGATGTGCGTTGGTCATGACGGATGCCCCTTACAGCTAAGAAGAACTTTTAATGCGGGTCGGCATCATCACAAGGGTCCTGAACCAGTCTGCTTCGCTATGGATATAAGTTGTTTCTTTCCTAACCGACGACAGTCACGATACACGTTTCAACATGACATCTGAAAGAGATGTTCATTGCCAGGTGGCGAAGAAGAGATTGTGAACTCGTGATACGATCAGAAATCCATTCGCAACGTGGCGAGTCTGACGTGGAAAATACTTATCGCTCTCTCGCATTAGCGTCTCTAATTTCAATTGATTTTCATGGTCGAAAGTTTCAGATCCCTGCGAAGGCAGTGAGAATCCTTCAGAAAAAAGATGTCAGTTTGAACTGACGACTGGATCGCTTTTCTCTTTCGAACACGAAAGCCACTACCATCATAACTGAAGAAGGTTTCCATCAAGTTAATATACTGTATGTCGTACTGCTAGCACCACCACCACCATTCTGCTCATAGATCGTATCAAGAGAACTTCTTTCGTATCTCTTGTCTTCAAATATCATAACGAAACTTGCACATAAAACGCTTTCCTTCACTTCGAAAAGGAAAGACAACGAAACCACAGCATTTTCAACGTCCTTCAACGATACTGTATACCAACATGATGAGATTCCTTTCATTACAACTGCTGCTTCTGTCATCATTGCAATCGGTTGCTTCAGCATTTCATGTTCAGCATCCTAACATTCATAACAATGCAGCAGCAGCAGCAGCAGCTATCTCATCATCATCGTCACGGCACTTGTCATCAACGGCACCCACCACCACAGGTAGAAGATCGTTATCATCATCTTCTTCTTCTTCCAAACTTCACATGCTGCCACCAATGCCAAATCCAGCACTCTTTCTTCCACATGAAGTTCTTGAGACATCAAAGACTCTGATGCACATGTACCAGAATGCCTTGATTGACAATCCAATCACCACCAAAGCTCTCACCTCTGGAGTTCTAGCCACTGCTGGAGACCTCATTGCACAAGTCTCAGCCCATAAAACAACCGCCGTTGTTGAGGGTAATGATGACACAAAGCCTTCTTTCGATTACGATTTGGCTCGTGGTATCTGCTTCTTGGCCTTTGGTGCCGCCTATACGGGAATCTTTCAGCACTATTGGTTCGACTTTTTGGGTAATCACATTACCCAATGGGGCGAAACCTTGCACCTGTGGGGACCTTCACACGTTTCCATTCCCGTTCGTGCTCTCTATGAACTCAAGGAGTGGTGGGCCTACTTTGATGTCATGGCAGCCTTGGAGGATCCACCCTCCAATACTGCCGTAGCTACTGCCAAGCTTGCTGTCAATCAGTTCCTCATGATCCCAACGGTCTACATGCCACTCTTCTTTGCAGTGACGGGATCGCTTGCCAAATTGAACCTTGAGGAATCAACGGATCGAGCGAAGAACATGTACATTCCATTGTTGAAACGAAACTATTTCTATTGGCTTCCCGTACAGTTCTTTCAGTTCTTGGTGGTCCCACAGGACTTTCAGATCCTCTACATTTCGTGTGCCAGTCTGGTGTGGACGGTGATCCTTTCCTCACTTGCCACTGATCAACAGCAGCAGCAGCAGCAGCAGCAACCACAACAATTGCAGCAACAGCAGCAACAACAAATGGAACAACAACAACTACCGGCATCTACCATGGCGGTTACCGATTCCGTCACCTTGGAAGATCTCGAAGAAGCGCTGCTCCCAGAAGCCGCTCGCAACCTCTTGGAGAATCCCAACTTTGGGTCCACTACCATTGGTGGAGCCTTTGGATTACTCGCAAGTGCTGCCAATGATGGTTTGGTGGGAGGCTTTGTTTCCAATCTATTGGGAGCCACCATTGGATCTGGAGTCGCCGTGACCACAGCTGCGGGAGCCGTGATTGGCCTCCTCCTTTCGGCACAATCGTCCGACAAGGCTTCTGAATCCAATCCAGATTGGGAATTGCTGCCCGAGGAAGCCATGCGCAATCTTCCCGAATCTCAGTTGCGACAACAACAACAACAACAAAAGCAACCAGAGTCTTCAAAAGACAGCAGTGACTTTGGCAGTTCTCCAACACTCCAAGCCCAGGTGGATGCCGAGGGAGTCCGGTGAAGAACCAAGTACGCCGGTAAAAAGCTGCTATTCCAGCATACCCAAAAAAGTTAATGTATGTGTGATATCAATGTAGAATGTTTAAAAGGAAGAAACCCCTTGTATCATATTTTTAAAAAAAGATTATACATGATGATTCAATTTCTTTTTGCATTTACTACTCCTAGGCGGATTATAATACTTCTTCTTTTTATTTTCGTCATTACACTCTCTAGATACTGATTATTACTACTACTACTACTATATGCAGGAACGAAATACCGAGAAAGAATGGGCCTTTTCTCTAGTCTGGCATTTCACAAATATAAAAAATACTGTAGTTGCGTTGGACAATGAACGATCGTCCTCCTCGTCGCCATTATTGTCATCACTCGCTTCCTTTTAAAACTACTACTGCGTAGGCAATTAGAACTTGGTTGGTCCTATAGTCGTCCCAATTCCTGAATCATCAAAGATTACAGAAACGACGAAGTGGCAAGTGTGATCACTCCAATCACCACCATGGCTATTGATGTGGTTGTATTAATAGTTGCCGACGACGCTGGTCCAAATCGATCTTCATTGGAAACCTTCCAGCTATCAGGATCACGAATGATAGCCTTTAGTTCATCGTTGGCATATCCATCGACGTCTTCGTTAAAGACCGCATTGGAAAATCCAGGAGCGACCTTGATGACTCCCAACTCTCCCAACGATTCCGGTCGTGCGGATTCTCCCGTGGGATAACTTGCTTGTCCCGGGGCCGAGAATTTGGAATTTCCATACAAAAAGGCCAAGAGGGGTCGTGGATTATCAAAGTTGTCCAAACAGTACAAAAAGATTGGTTGTCCATCCGACGATGGTTCAAAGGCACCGGATTCGGACAACCAACTGTTGTAAAAGAGTAGTGCCGATTCTCCAAATCCAAAGGGAGTTCCACCATCGACACCATCGCCTGGCACTTCCAACTACAGTAGAAGTAGGAATAGAAATGGAACAACCAATTGGAAATGTGAGTATTATTAATAATGCAAACGATATAATAACAGCAACAGTACAAACAACAACAATAATATATGTAGTACATACCGAAACAGTGCCACCTTGGTTCGTATTGAATTTCTCTCCATCCCACGGATTGGTGGTCATGAACAATTTGAATCCAGGATCCATTTCCACAAAGGCGAATAGTCCCAGAGTCGCTGGAGACTGACTGTTGATGAGCCAAAAGTAAATATCTCCCGGAAGCAATTGCTCGCATTGATTTGGTTCCAACGTGGGCGGATCCGTCGGAATCAATTCACAGGCCTCGTAGATTTGTCGTTCTCCAATGGCGGGAAGTGGAAGTGGCGGATCCCACAAGAGATCGACCAATTCGGGGAAATCGACCAAAGGGTTGCGATTTCCTTGCCAGGTTCCGCAGGCTTTGTCATTGCGTGCCCGTTCGGCATCATCCGGTGGATCTGCCTTGTGCCATGTGATCATTTGACTGAGATAGGCCATGTCACGTTCGTGTTGAAAGGGACAATCGGTCAATCGTAGGTTGAGGGTATTGTCATCTCTTCCATCGTAACGAAGGTCCATGTACATGAGTGCCCGGGCAATGTCTCCCTGCACCTCTGGTGGAGGTGTGTAGATGCGATTGCAGGTACAAGTTCCTTCCGTTCCTCCTTCGGCAGGGTTGACACAGGTTTCTGCGGGTGTCAAAATGCCACATTCTCCAAAGTACTTGTCTCCACGGACCACGTTGGAAAGATAGGTAGTGGGCCTCAAATTGTGAAGATCATTCAAATCGATTCCATCCACTCCCACTCCTCGGTTGATGGGAAAGATTTGTTCCTTGGTCCATCCTCTGGATCCCGCAAACGGAACCGCATCGACGTCTTGTTGAGCATACAAGAGACGAACTTGTCCTGGAAAGGAACCTTGATCTAGGTCCATCAAAGCTGCCCAGGTATCGGCGACGCCCGGTTCGTTGACATTGGTTCCAGGCCAAATGCCCCGATGGGTATCGTGCAACAAATTTCCCAGATAGGTGCGCAAGCTGGCTCGGTCCGCACCCAGATCGAGGCCACCGTAATAGGCACCTTGCGCACATCCTCCGTACGACGATTGTGCCGAAGCGACGGAAACCACTGCAGCGAATGTGGTGGCTGCTGTGTATTTCATTTTCGTTTTATATTGTTGTGTGTGTGGATTGATGATTTGATTTGATTTGATTTGATGATTTGATTTGATGATTTGATTGATGATTGCTATAATAGATTGATCAATGATAGCTAGCGGCTGTTGTTGTTATTGTTATTGGCAGAGATGAAATTGGTATCAGTAATCACAGTACTGTGTAGTGATGGCGACACAACCTAGAAAACAACCCTCTCTTTTTCTGCGTCATATACTGCAAAGTCTTCAATTTTTTCACAATCCAACGGAAGCATGATGGTGCACTGCTATTAATTTTTTCGCAAGATTCGATTCGGGACTCCCTTTTTCTTTTTGAATTCCGATTTCCCCCAAATATAAAAAAGCTCAAAATTGAAAATGCCAGTCACAACATATAAAAAGAGGAACACTTTTTCTGTACCCTACAGTACTGTAGTTGGAAGTTCAATCTTGGTTCGATCGAAAGATGATGAGAAGAGAAGGATGGGAAAATGATGATTCGAGAAAACTGCTGTAGTACGGTAGCTACTGTACAGAATGCCATCGATCGGTGTAAGAAAGAAGTGAAAGGTAGCTAGTTAGCCAGCCCTGCCTGGCTACACCCAACTAGACTCACTCACTCGTTGGAACGCCAACAATCAAGAAGAAAATGTTTCCTTTTTCTCACTATTTTCTTGAATATAGAATTTTATAATTGATATATAATATTTTATAATGTACAGTTTTGTTCTTGCAAATTTCTTGCAAACAAAACGGTCTAACTGTTGATACAACCGAATGAAATGATGAAGCTGTCGTGACAGCTACATGCATGATCATGTCGTGAAAGCATTATATAGTGTCTTCTTGTTTGTTGGGAGACAATAGAGTATAGTCGTCGTCATCATCCTAGCATGACCATAATTCATCACGACAATTTACATCTCTTCGTTCTTTCCTGAGCGGCGTTGGACCTTCTTGTTCTTCTTCTTGACGACATGGTGAACAGCATTGTGGTTCTTGGTGGTGGTAGACGACTTGTCAACTCCCCAGGCATGTGGGAATCCTCGACCGTACAAGCCTGATTGATTGATTGTTTGATTGATGGGATATATATATAGAGAGAGAGAGAAGAGAAAAGAGGAGAGTGTCAGATAATGTTTTGATAATAGAAACAGTGAGCAACCATGCCATTCGTATGACATAAATAGGAATCCTTCGTGACGATGATGATGATGATGATGATCAGAACACCTCCAATGAATCTTGAAAGTGACCCATCCCATCAAAAAAGGCAATCAATCGATACGGTAGAAAACACAGCCACACGACGACCAACACCAGCCAAAGCAGGACAGCAACGAGAGTATCAGTTTACATACCTAGTCCGGCAACGTCTTGATCATAGTGCTTGGCTGGAGCCACTGTAGGGGCGGAGCGTCTTGCCTCACTTGGAGCGAGGAGAAGAAGAGCGACAAGAAAGATGGTGAAAAGAGTAATCTTGGAGTTCATGGTCGTGCTGCTGGTTGGAAAGGTTTGAGGGTGTAGTGAAAGGTTTCTAAGACTGATGCGTCGTTCTGCTTGTTTACAGGTATGCGGTGTAGTATGCTGCTGAACTGGCACGAAAGAGTCAGTCACTTGAGGTATGTGATGTTTCTGGTGTTCGGCACAAAACGCAAAGAACAATCGTAGTTCCAGAAGACTGCCGATTTTGGCCAGAAGAGCGAGGTCTGAAGCTGATGCGTCACAAGTAACAAAGGTCACAGACAAGTGACGAAATTTCATTGGTTCGGGGAGTGATGGATCTGACGCGCGTCTTGAAGTTGCAGTCTTCCCGCCATTTGATATCCGGGTGCTTTTCACCATTTGGATACCTTTCTCAACTTCGTCTGTCTGTCGCTAGCTAAAGATAGATAAATACCTGCACGCAACATGATCATCGTATCTACCTACATATATACATCAGGGACATCAATAATGAAGACAAGAATTCCAACAAACAAGTAGTAGGTGCCGATTGATCAGAATACATCAATCCACCTTCTTTGAAAGAAGAAGCGGAGTTGGATTTATGTTGCTACTGGCTGCCATAATATAATGCTTCCAAAATTGAGATTGATTCGATTCGGAGTGGTTTGCCTTTTCGATGATGATGATATACCGGTAGTATTATGGTATTAATAGTATCCATTATTGTATCGTCCAACGCATATGATCGTATTATGACATCCAACAAACCTTCATTTCCTATTTTGGGAAGACTATTATTTGCACAAACCGAAGGCATATATATGGCACTACATGATCCAAACTCACCACCAATGACTCGCGATGAGGCAATTTTTCGACCAAGACATTCAATTGTTGGAACTTGATGACACTGGTCACATCACGGTGAAGCGGATGGCCTGGTTTGACCGCGAAATAACATCAATCTATTGGAGACCATGCTATTCCTATATTCTTTGCTCGACGATTGCCTTTTTTTTTAAAAAGCTCACTGCTGCGATTTTGTCAAGAAGGCGGGCAAGCAAGCAAGTAATGGGGGAGTCCAAAACGACAGATCAATAATGGTTCTAACAGGAGTACAACGGACCGGAAAGTTAATCCTTGGCGACATGATTGCTTTGTTCTTTGCCAAAGGTTTTGGTTGGAATGTTACCTACAAGCAATTGGGACAAGAATGTCACCCATGAATTGGTGAACAATGCTTGCGATGCATACAGAACAGTTCACGTTGTGGACTTGAGCAGAGGGAAAGGAGCGTCTAGCTATCCACCTGGTTTCGTTCTGATTGTTTGTTCCGCAAACCAAGACCGGTGGCATGACGTATTATTTTAAGTCCTCAGCAACAACAACAAACTATGACGGAACTTGATGGAAGCTATTGCTTTCTTGATCCGGCAAGCGAATTGGAGCTCGAAAGAATGGCGGCGAAGATAAGATCCAAGGAAGGTGATAACCTGGTAGAGACCACACGAAAGAATCATACCAGTATGTTGGCGGTGTACCACGACTGTGCTTGGATGGTCCTGACAATGCAAATTATATTGTTGACAATGAGATAATGGCCTACTTTTCCATGGTGGAGGAAGTCACCAAGCTTTCTCGCGTAACTGATTCTCGAAAGAAAGGTGCCATTCTTGACAAGAAATTATATTCTGGGCTTCTGTGCCACATCATCCCAACAAACCAATTTCGGAACAGCTTCAAGATCAATATTTCATCGCAGTATGTGGCCCAGAATGTTTTGAACCAAGAGACGCAAAAGTCGGACGGTAGTTTGAAGAAAAAACTCTTTGACGATTTACTTTGTAATCCCAAAGCACGAAGCCTAGCAGGTTGGATCTGGGAGTCACAATTAGCAACGATAATTGCTGGCAGCTCATCAAGAAATAACGATTGCTGGCGCTGAACTTCCCTTCCACAACAAGACCAACCCACAACAAGTTTTGACCTTGCTCGATGTATTTACGGCCTCCATGGAATCGTTTGAATTTGATACCTTTGATACGTTCAAGAGTCGGGCTATTGAACTTGTGGTTGGCAAACAAAAACTTGGTCGCTTTTGCAAAGGCAAAAAGGGATACCTTATTTGAAGCGATGGATGCAATTCTGTTGATAAAGAAGGAACGGACGCTGACTATAGCGGGATTGGAAAATGGGGGTTCTTGCAGAAAAATCTAATTCCGAAGCGGATGGGTCATCATCTGCAATGATTCATTCATTTTGTGCGGACATGCAACGAAATAGGCATCGCACAACCAGATGTTACTAGTATTGCCGAACCGCAGATATGGTTTGTCCAACCAGAAGGCAGTCTGAAGTACAGTAGTAGATTCAAGAATCTTCAGCCCATTGTGATTCGGCAGAAGGCAAACGAAATCTCTTCCGCAGAGAGCAATGCTGCAGCCCAATGTGAGGACGACGAGGGAACCACTACAAAGAGAAGGAGATCCAGTGGTCGTGGTGGCAATATATAGTCCTAGCCCCCGATTCAACAAGTCGACAAACAAGGGTGAAAATTGGAATGCAAAGAAGGTAAAGGATCTGAAGCACTTTCTTGCCATCGTGCGGGTAGTCGGAGCTGCCGAGTCGATTGACGAACCTGGCTTTGGGGAGGTTTTCAAGAATGCTTTGGAGACGGATCCAAATGACATGGACCTAGAACCTATTCCCTGTGATCCAAAGCAGCGCTCGTGGAATGATACCATAACGATCATGAAACGATTGCATGGTTGCACCCATGACTCACTATTTGGTGTCATTGAACAGCATATCGAGGCAGATAAGCATGAGCTGATGAATATTTTTGCCCAAAGCAGAGCTTGATGTTGGAATGTGAGAGATCTGAAGCAAGAAAGACAAACAAACCGAATCAATCAATCAATCCAGTATGATCTTTATCTCAAGTCGATTGAATTAGCAAGAAATAATTGATAGTCAGCCAAGGTTGCTCTCGCTGTGCCTTATCCTATATCCTGTACTTACTGTAACGAATCATCGTCATCATAATAGGGTGAAGTTATTTACGATCCCAATCAAGAGTAAATGACGGAAAGTTGGACTAGAAAAGGCCCAATATTTCCGGAGGAGGACAGACGCTATTTCGACTACATTCTTTTCACTTTTGCATCTTATAAAATTTGTTTCAACGCCTGTCATTAACGCAATAATATTCAAAAGACTGTGTCGGAAAACGGATTAAGCTTCCTATATTGATTCATTCATTCATACAGCGACAGAAGAGAAACTATAATCTACTTGTCGTCAACAGCAAGACAAAGAGAAAGCCCCATTTGCTTCGTCATCAAAAGCAAATCTTGATTGTGGGTATCCCAAACGTATTTTTGAAAAAGAGACAAAACCTACTATTGTGACCTACTACTGTGACCTGTATATACACATACACATACACATATATATATAATATACTGTCAAAAGAAACAGTTCGTAATGGCAGAGAAAGAATCAGCCTTACCGAAGGGCAACAGTGAGAGCGTCGCGCCAAAGAAGAGTCGATTCAG